TTAGGTATTCCAAATTAGTTACATGGTATATCAAAATTCATAGGCTTTTATTGCTATTTGTATTTTGGAAAAATTGTAAGAGCGTGCGGTCAGACAGCTTTTAAGATGTAGGCTACTTAGCATGTTATTTTATCTTCTAAATATAGACTAATATAAAAAGTACGAGTTCATCAAATACCTGTCTTTCCTAACCCTTAGATCTATTCATCCAATGGCTTATATCAAAAGTTGGATCACCCCAGCAATTAGCGATCCGCGTCCTCCCGCTCCACTTCGTGTAAAATTAGCGTCGGTTAACAAAAAGGGAAAAAGAACAATGCTTTTCTCCACCCCGACTGCTCCCAACGAGACCTCCATTACGTCTCTCGCCGCCGTCGACGGCCTCCACTGTACCGCTGCCATTTTCTCCCTCTTCACCGCTCGCCCTACCCTTTGTCCCGCCTCCTCGCGTGCTTGCGCTGCCGGCATCAGAGGCCGGAGAGCGTGGGGTCGCCGTTGGCCACTTCCCCGCTCTTCCCCTTCGTCGCTGCATCACCGTCCACCATCACCGTACGTGCATGCGGAGATCAACCTCACCGCCCTCCCCAGACCTCTCTTCGGCGAGGTGCATGGACTCATCGCTCATCCCGGCTCTCCCTGAGCTGTGGAATCGTCGTCAGTCCGCCACGCCCGACGACTTCCTGGTCACCGCCACGAGGGACCTCCATATCTAGCATTTGGAAACAGCGGTTCGTTCAATTTCTACTATTCGGTTTACTCCTTTTCTTGGTTCTATTTGATTGTAACTTGAACAATCAACCAATGAAGTAAATTCTTTTATGTACATACGTGTGAAGAATCTACTATGAGTGTATTGTGCCCTGCGGGGTGTTGATGAATTGCCGTTGAGGGAGGGATGGTCTAAGATAATCAGTTCACACCCTTTAATTTGGTTGTTCACTTGCTTTCAGGTGACATAAAGCTACCGACATTGTGACCTATTTGCATCTCCCATTTTTTAGGTATTTAGAATTCACCATAGATGTAAAGTATTTAAGGGGACATCACGAATGCAGGCGATATGCTCTTCTTCCATGGAGAGATCTTCAATTATCGAGCTGAAGATGCAGATGGATATGTTCAAGATCAAGGGCAGCTACTTCAATAAATCATGCATCTTCTCTCTTAGCAACTTAAACACTACCATATCTTAGCTAAGGTAATTACCTGAATCAGCTAAGATTTCGAAAAATCATATATATGGCAGTTCCTTCATATTTATCACCCTTTTTTGTTTTTGTGGAATATTGTTCTTTGATTACCCTGCTTTCGAATAGAAGGAAATGATGTTTGCTAATATTATAATTTCATTTTTAAAAATGGCTATTAAAGAAATTAAAAAAAATGTGTACTTATACTACTCAATTTCTTCTCTGGTCTTTAACCTTGCCAATTTGGCATGTGTAATTTTTTTTTTACAAAATCAGTCTTGCATAGCTACATCTGTGTCTAACGTAAGACTGACTAGGAAATTATTCATGTCTTCAGGCATGTTATCAAGAGTGAATATATATTGATGAAACAAGTTGATCTGCAGATCAAGGTGAAGGAGAGGGTACTCTTTTAATTGAGGCAAAAACATTGTTTGGTTGTTCAGTCAGGTCCCAGATGAATTTGAGACGATATCGTCTCTTTTCAGTTCATTCTTTAGTTTACATTCTTTAAGAATTGCACTGTGAATAATTTTGGTTTTCTATATCTGATGCATTACAGTTTCATGCGGTGCGATCTGAGATGATATGAATATGCACAACATCTTTTGACTTGCTGACTGGTACAACTTAAATTGCAATTGGAATGAATGAATAGTCCAAACACTATTGCCTTTCTGACAAGAGTCCTCTTTTGCTCCTAGATTTTTTTTCTTCCTTGGATTGGATTGCTGCCAGAATTTTTTTACCTTGGATGGACTCATCGCAACCCCAAGCTGGATTTTGCATGCTGTCCTTTATAAGTTGGACAAAGTGCTACAATGCGTGCTGTAAACTGTGAAAAAGTCTCATATTTTCTTTATGTTCCCCCCGTACCTAGCTGCTTGCTTCCGTATTTTGTCATGTTTACAAACTACTGTCTTTGTACATGATGAAACACAAATTCTTAGCCATTTCCATGTATTTATTCTTAACCACTTTTGATATTACTCATGTTTACAAATTGCTGCTATCTTAACTTATTATTAGACCATGTTCCGTCAGCACTATTACCACCAAAACTCCATAGTTTTAGACTGGTGGCTTCAGAATTTGCCTTCAAAAACTCGATTGTTTCTTGTTGCGATATTGTAAAGTTAGCACAATCTGTGAAATTGTTCATGTCAACTGACATCCTGTTTAGACGATCCTATAGTAATTTTGAAATGTGTTTGACTATACAATCTACATTATATTTTTGCATCATATTGGTGTTTTCAAATCCTATGAATTCTAGAGCTCTGTATCTAGAACCTAGGCAATGTGAATTCTAGACCTCTATTCGAAAAGTTGGCAAAATTTGAAATCCAACTTCTCCTATAGTTTAGCACATACTCTACACATTAGCAAAGTGTGATCTACAGCTACCCATGGAATTCACGTGCAGTCAGCACACATATGCCTATAACAGTTAACATGAGATTAATTGCCACGCTTCAAATTATTTTCCTCCAATTCAAAATAATTGAAATGTTATATGTGTTTATGTTCTCCTTCCAATGCTCTGCCTGCACCATGGTTCTCTCCTTTCACTCTTTTGTACAACAGCGTGGCTATTGTTTGTTTGTTAAAAAGCTCACCATATATTTGTTGAGATGCTCTATGAATATTTGCTCCAAACAGCCGTTGATATTTGCTCCAAACAACCGTTGCTTCACTACCAGGCACCTACAATGGACATCACTATTAGGGCCTCCACACCAATATCATCAACAAGCTCGGGTAAATTGTCTTGCTGCTGATGTCAACAAAGAGGTGTTATATTTCTACATGTTGTAGCTTTTATCTTACATTAACATGACATGCTACCATACTTTTATGTATGTTTGAACAACCTTTGTAATATTACTAATTTGAGCGCGTAGTGCAGAATGCAGTCCTTTTTCCTCTTTCTTTTTTTTCCCATTGAAGAAATATGTTCTCTGAAATATGAAGTTTCAGGAAACCTTCAAGGTGAAATTGTCCAACCTCCACATCAGACAATTATGCATGAAGTTCAAACCACTGTTTTTCTAGCATCAGGATGAGAAAAATGATTACTCCCATTCACCAAAAGACGCACAAGCATTCATTCAGTGAATAACCACTTTTAATAGTGAACTACCTAATGGGCACATCACCAACTGGTTAGCCTAACATATTTGATTATTTGAGACGGTTTTATTACATAATTCGTAGCACAAATGAACACCATCAACTGGTCATGGTCTTGATGTGTGGCTGGCATCAAGTAAATTGGTTATCAGTTATATCGTGTTTGGAATTTTGGAAAAAGTTGATAATTGATGTTATTAGTTACATTCTTCACATTCACATTAGTTCCTCGACGTTTTACATTTGTAAGATCCTTTTTGGTGTCCTTGGTTTTTGTCTAGAAATTAAATTGACATTGTTCTTCTGTCCATTATGTATTCTGGACGCTTTTAGGTGGTAGATAGCTAGATACTAAACAGAAACACAAGAAAGGTATTTTTACCAAGGAACGTGGAACATGCATTAAGTATATATGTTGCATATGCACTTAGCCCTTTTCATGGTGGCTCCCATCACGTATCTTGCTGATAATAGGTATTAAGAATGCATTTTTTGCAATACCGTAGTCAATATGGTAGTTTTTTCTCCATTTTATTTTGACCTAAAACTCAAAACTCAGTCATATGAATCCAAACTCTCCTATGATGCTTTTTTGACTTACATTTCAGTCTAACTTGTAATGATTACTGTAATTCAAAACTAAGAGATCAAGGCATCGAGCTGTCTTTTGTTCGTGTAGATGAAGGATGTTTGATGATTTGTATTATTTTCCAAGGCTGATGGTTTGTATTTGTATTAGACTGATGAAGACATGGCTAGCTAAATGTGTTCTCATCCTGAACCAGAAAGTTTAATGTGTTGTGATGATGATTTTGACAAGCAAGTAAAGGCACATATAGCTTGATAGATTTCTTGATCACTTTTGTTGCTCCCTATACCTGTGGTGATCAGCCTCCATGAGGAACTCCAAGTATTTAGCTTTTAATGAACACAAAATGCATTTTTCGAAAGTCTTTTAAGTTTCTTTGATACAACTGATTGTCACTCTACTTAATTCTACTGGTTATTTGTGAGTAACAATTGATAGTGCAATACATGAGTAAATCAAGTGTACACGTAAATCATTCGCAACATATATTTGCTTCCATATCATAGGCATTGTCTGATATGCGCTTGAGACATAAATTATCATTAGTAAACAAGAGTTGTGCTTGTGCTTTAGCATAGGCATATTACGGTGTTATGTTTTGCTTATTTTTGAAATTTATGAAATAACATAACTCAAATGAATTTTGATTGATTATGTTCTTCAATTTAATCCTTCAATATATGTCGACGTGCGTTGCACGTGCACGTTTACTAGTAATTCAAATGATGCACATATCGGAGTACATTAAGGGGGCGCAAGGGGCGGGCGAGGAGGGGTGCCACGTCAGGATTTCGCTACAGTATGTTCGGTGTGCGGGGTGGTCTTTTTGCGAAAAAGCCCTCCGGTTCACGCGTAATTCGTCCGCAGTCCCCCGTGAATAGTACTTGTGGGGTGTTATTTTCCGTAGAGTCCCTTCAAAAAGACGATTATTACATTATAAGTAAGGAAAGTACGCGCGTTAGGACCGCGCTGTAAAACTTAAAACTCGAGGGTTTTTTTCGCTAAACTGCCCGCACTAACCCAGACCCTAGCCGCCGCCGCCTGCATCCCCTCCCCGGCGCCGCTCCCGTCTCGCTCACTCCCTCTCCTGCCTTGCCTCGCGCCGCCACCGCCTCCCCCTCGCACCGCCGCCGAACGCCGCCGCCGCCCCTCCTCCCTCTCCCTCAGCCATCCTCCTCCTCCGCCGCCGGTCCACTCACCCCTAACCCTAGCCGCTGTCGCCCGCCTCCCCTCCTCCGCCACCGTCGTCGCCGTCGCCGCCGAGCGCCGCCACTTCCGCCTTCGCCTCGCGCCACCGCGTCCACATCTGCCTCGCCCTCGCGCCGCCGCTTCCACCTCCACCGACGCCGCCGTCGTGTCGCCGTCTCCGAGTGCCTTCACCTCTGCCTTCCCCTCGCTCCGACGCCTTTCCGCCGAGCGTGGGCTTCGAGGTGAACATGGAGAAAGCGAGGAGGCGAACACTCCTCTCCACCCCCGCCGACGCCGATGCCGACGCCGCCGCCGCCTCCCCATCGCGGTGCCACCTCCTGCTCTACCCGGCCGCCTCCGCCTCGCGCTGCCGCTGCTGTCGTCGCTGTCGATCGCCGTCTCCGGCTGGCTCACCTCCGCCAATGCCGAGCAGTGCCTCAACCTCTTCGGCCCCAACAAGCTCAAGGAGAAGAAGGTGACCCACCCAATCCGTAGTCTCTCTCCCAAGATTTAGTAGAGAAAAGTTTCTTGTTCTGTTTAGGAATCGATTCGATGGTGCAGAGTTTTTTTTTCATGTTTGTTTGTGTGTGTGTGTGTGCAGGAAAGCAAGTTCTTGAGGTTCTTGGGGTTCATGTCGAACCCGCTGTCCTGGGTCATGGAGGCCGCGGCGATCATGGCCATCGCTCTCGCCAATGGAGTAGTAAGTAGTAATGAATTTAATGAATCATGATGTTCCAGAGCATGGCATGTGAGGGATTGTGAGAGGTTTGATTGAATTGACGAGGGTTGATTTGTTTGGTGTTTTCAGGGAAGCTGCCGGGCTGGCAGGACTTCGTGGGCATCATCACACTGCTCATAATGAACTCCACAATCAGTTTCATTGAGGAGAACAATGCCGGCAATGCCACCGCCACTCTCATGGGCCGCCTCGCCCCAAGGGCCAAGGTGTGCAGCTGTGATGATTGTGTGTTGTGATCTCAAGCAATACTGACTTTTGCTTGTGGTTGATCTAGCGGACACAGAATCGAGCTCTCCTTGAGCAGCTTGCCACCATTGTCAACGATGACAAGGGGACGAATCGGCCACAACAGGGAGGCTAAGGGTCTCAGATCCTCCTTCCCCTTGTCTTTGCCGCGGTGTTCATCCCTTTCACAACAGAGAAAAAATTACCGGTTCAATCGGCGACAGCAATGGCCGCTCAACCTTGGTGGCAGTTCCTCGACCTGCTGCTTCCGCTGCTCGTAGCGGTCATGAGGCAGGTGGCTGGCGGCGTCCAAGCCCCATCCCCAAGGCTCTTCCCAGTGGCCATCTCGGTGAGTTACAGGAAGAAATCTCCTCTCATCCCCGATTCTTTACTGATGCAGCACGATCCCAGTTTGTATGGATTCTATTATTCACAGTATATGAGGATAATGGAGCTGCACAAAATGACTGATCCTTTATCGTGTTCGCACGATCAAAGGTTGCTTGTTTCTCTGGCTGTGGATAATTTTTTTTGTTTCATGAATGTGTTTACATCACTATGCACTGATAATTAAGAGGTGGCAAGACCGTGCTCAGAGGAGTTGCTTGGTTGTTCTTTGTTGCACAGAGTCATTTCTGATGAGCTTCAATTTTGCATGCAGTGAGGGTGGCCGGATTTCTGACCATGTTGCGCGGGAGAGATGGCAGCAGCGGCTGGAGCGATGTGATGGGGAACAAAGGAGGAGGCCAGCATCAGGTGGGACAGGAGGTTTGGGCCTTTTTATTTTTAATGAGGTGCAACCATCTGTCCATCTCACTCGTTGGTACAATTACAAGTTTTGCTTGATTTTCTTCACTGCTTATGACAGCTGAGATAAAAGCTCATCTGTGCAGCTTCATATTTCTGATGCAGGGGTAGGGTAGTTGTCTGGTTGTCCATGTTCTAATTTACCTCATTAGTGTTGTGCTAAATCGAAGGCGAGTTCCAGTAGTGCCATTATTCACGGTACATCCTTATATCTAATATCCCCTTCCTTCATCTCATCTAATTGCCCCCACCAAATCTCTATAATCATTTTTTTCACTGTTGCTGTTGCAGATCATTAGGAAAATAAATCAATGATGTACACAAAAGCTTGCAGGTTGGATGATACAGTAGCTTTTCCATTCATGTAACTACGTAATATTGTATTTGTGCAATTAAGATTGTTTATGTGCTTCTTTTTTCTGATGCAGTGCAACATTGCTGCCTTCCATGAAATGATTTCTTCCAAAAGAATGGAATGATAATGTCATCATTCAGCGTGCTGCATTTTTTCCACTGTATGTCTGTAGGACCCAAACTTCTTTTTTTTTAAAATGCTCAATCATCGGTGCAATTGTGTATCATATGTCAGATTGTTGCTGCAATTATGAATCATGTTACAAGCTATCTTGGTGGCCTTTTTAAGTTCATTAATTTCTTATTTCAGCGCTCTTAGTGGAGTTTACCAAGTCTCAAGTTGTTACATCGATCCCAGGATTTTTCTTTTGCATATGGTATTCTGCGAAGAAGCATTGGCTAGCAAACAATGTTTTGGGGATTGCTTTCTGCATTCAGTATGCTCTTGTCTTATCTTGAGATATAAGGTTAATGTGCATTATTGAAATGACTATGGTTCAAGAGCTTCACAAATATGTTCTGTTTTCCTCCCAAACTTCTTGGAGATAAACCTACTGATTCTCTTTATCTTACAGGGAATTGAGATGCTATCACTTGGATCATTCAAAACTGGTGCTATTCTCTTGGTATGGGTGGTTTGTACTGAACTGAAACTTATGTTTTCTGGCAGAAATCTTATTACTTTTTTTTCAACATTCTTCCATTAAAATCATTACTTAGTGGAGCATGACAATACAATTTGAATTATCTGACATTGTAGAATTTATGCTTGTCTTTCATTTGCCTATGAAATTAAAATCCGGTTATATTTGTAGAAACCATTGCACTGCTTGCTGTACTGTGTAAATCATTATTTATTTGTAACGCTTGTGTATCATGGGATTTCCCAAATCCGCTCCTACTCCTAGCCTCGCTCGCCGCGCCCATCATCATCTCCACTGGCGATGACACCGCGGCCTTCGATTCCACCATCGTGGGGCGGTCCATCAAAGGTATAATCGTGCCCGCAGTTTGGTGCACCATGGGCGGATTTGGGACTGCTGCTGCGTTTGCACGGGGATCGTAGCGCCGTTCTATATAGGGTTTAGGGCCTTTGGGGTGGTTTGGGGTTTTCGCTGTAAGATGCGTCTGATAGCATCTTGGTATTTTAGGTTTTCTTGGGGTTTAGTCATAGAATTGGGTTTTGGAGTGGGTTTGTGGAGGGGTGATTGGAAAGTTGCAACTCTTTTGCCGTGAATAAATCTGCAGTAACATGCCTTTCCTTTCACTTCAAAACCAATGCATTTCGGTAATGTCTCAAAATTTGTTTTGTATTTGGTGGTTTCGGCCTTTTTGGTTGAAGGATAAGTATTCCCGTTTTACGAAGTATACAGATGGATGATTTTTACCTGAATAACATCTCTTAATAGCTAGACCGTACCCACTTTGTTTCGATTAATCTCTGTGCTTGGTATGAACTTCTTTTCGTGTATAGTCCTTTTATTTACATATTCCTTTTAGCGCAACACTTGGATTTTCGTATGGTTCGCATATTTGTGTTGTTTCATAATCCCCTTGTAAGTTTGTATCTTCAAACTTTTATGGTTCCAATGTCCTATTATTATTTTTTTCTGTGTTTTTTTGACAGTCTTCTACATAACATGATGGTCTAATTGATTACTTATCAGCAGACAACATTGTTAAGTTAACTGACTGCATTTTGTTATTGGGAACTTCCATCAAGCTTATTATTAAGTATATGAAATTGTTAAGTTAACTTACTGTATTTTGTTATTAAACACCTCACTCTGAGTTTATTTATAGAATTTTCCAGTCTAAACATAGAAATCTCTTGCTCTAATTAGCGAAGATAGTTTTTGTTGTAATTTTGTTAGTTTGTTGTAAAATACACCATGAGGCAACTCTAAACTGTGTGGGAAGACCAAGAAGTAATACCATTTTCTTTTGATAAGGAACGTTCAGTGACTCAATTTTAACTAGGATTTTTTTTTTGCTTATGGAAAAATGTGTTCTATCAAATTGATTGTTGGTGTGACCTATTATTCGTTATAGGGGATGAAATTGTTACCAATGGGAAGGAAAAGTTTATTTTACCTCACAATTTATGGATCTGTGGTAAGTTCCATATGCCCACAGCTTTCTGGTATAAATTGTGTTGGCACACTCTTCAGGAAATTGCAATTAGTTCTGGTTACATAACATATCATTAGTATTCCGATGTTCAGGTAGGGGTTGGCTCCTATGCTGTACACTATTTCTCCACATTGGTTGCTTCTATTCTGGAAAATTTTGGTTTAAGTGAAGAGATGCACAACCCTGTAAGTTGGTCCTCTTGAATGTGTCAATGATATCAATTAACTGATCCATTTATTTACTTGACATGGTATATTTGCTTGCTGTCTGCTGGCTTATAATTTCTGCTCCATAAGGCAGAAAGCACATATAATCTATTGTTAAGGAAACATCTCGCAACGATCTACGGGGCGAGGTTGGAGTCCATCCACAGGAGGACGACGTGAGAGTGGCCGCAGCTGGAGCCAAGGCCAAAAAAGAAGCCGAAGCTGGTGGGAATGTCAGCGGCAAGCAGAGCACAGCCGGGTAGGGGAGGGGCGCCGTGGTCCTGCTGCATCCTGGTGAGCATCCACATCCTCTTTCTGATTCTGTGATTCATCTCTCTCACACACACCTACTTTGTCTCAAATTTGCTTGCATTAACCCTACCTTCTCTTCTACATCTGGATGAAACTCTTCTCTTGTTTTGTTTGTTCGTAGCCCCCAAAAGTCCAAGCTCGATCCGCCACTGCTAGGGTTAAATAAGATTCAATTCAACACGAAACACATCAAAATTATTCTGAAGCACAAGCCCCTTCACTCCCTCCACATGCGGTTCTTGTAGTTTAAAATGAACACAATGATTCATAGACTAAAATGAACAAATGGCAACGATCGCCATCTCTGAATCAATGGTAATTTACCCCTGAATGAATAATGCATGAATTTTCACTGCAATTTGAAGAAGTAATTTGTCTATGTTCTATTTTTGGCAATATAGTGCGTGCTTCGGAACTAGGGTCAACTACTATGTCGACTGTTGCTCGCACCTCCATTGACATCAATCTCATATCCAAGGTACACTGGGAATTAGGATTCTTGGCTTCATTAAGACTGAATTATGATTCTTGGCTTTGTTATGATTGAATTAGGATTCATCCAAGGTTATCTTCTTTAACAACATAAATCTTAGTTTCTTTCGATTTATTACTGTATGACGGCTGAATGTTGCCCATCTGCATCTTACAAAATCAACTCCATGAGTTCCTAACACACTATATTTTTTTTTCTGGAAAATGGGAGTTTGAAGATATAAGACTGCAGTGATATTGCTTGCTGATCCATCATGAGTTGACGACCTGGGAACCAATTTTCTTGCCAGAAACTCTGTACTATAGTTTTACAAAGTAGCATAAGGAAAAATTTAGGAGCTTCACATACTGGATGATTTTTTTAGTAGTTAGCATTTTGGTTATTGGCAGTCAATTTTTTTTAGTACAACTGGTAGCAGGAAGGGCTTTATATTTGGCACTATTATTCAGAAGATGCAAATCTCAATCTTCCATTTTACTGTACTGAATGTTTTCTTAAATGTTAAATACTTTAAATGGGACTGCAATGGGTAGTGATGGTTTCTTGATAGCCATAAGGAAAAGAGATGAAAATAATGAATTCATGCAGAGGTTTCAGTCAATTGCAAATAATATGAGTTTGGTTGACTTAAGATTGATGGTATGGTATGATGAGCCTCTGGTGATCTGATCATTTTCCTTTTTCATGTCAGGTTTGACACCTTTGGATTGCATACCAGAATTTTCCATGTTATTCAGCTCGCAATAATTCATCTTCAGGTAATATGACAGTAGTCCAGGTTTTTAGATGATTCGCAGCAAGGAGTGAAAATAAATTGATCAGCACTGCAACATTGATCTTTTTATGGGTTGTCGCTTTAGCTACCACTCTGCTTATTTGCAAGCTCGTGATATTCATACTTTGAAGTCCTTTCATATGATGCTAATTTCATATTCATTGGGAGCATAACATGGAATAAATTAATGGTCAAAGTATGTTATTGAACACCATGTAAAAAATATATCCCTTAAAAAATACATGCCTTCAGTAATAATAGGTTCCTTTATATCTCTTTCAGTGCACCCAATTCTTGAGCTTGAGATGTGCAACTAAACATTTTCAGAGTACAGATAAGATAGATATCAAGTTTGCATTGGCTAACTCTTTCATGAATTATGTGTTTGTGGAAATGGCAGGTATGGTTTACAACCATACACTGAGAGCACAAAACGATAAATATTATGTTTGCAACTTTGCATGACTAGCTGGTTCTTGGGTTGGGTATTTTTAAAATGGACTGTGTTGTCTATCACAAACTCTTTGTTTTACCTATTAACCATACAGATCATACATCTTATTAAGTTCTATTGCAAGCTGCCTAGCTGTATGAGAAAGGAATATATGGTCGTTGCATGCTAGAAGGATATTCTTTTCTTCATATATGAAGTAAGTGATATGGGCCTAACAGTGACAATTAGAGATGAGATTTCTATCATTCAAGCAACATGCTTTGGGGTTGTTCTCCATTTAAGAAAATTGAGGTTGTCTATAACTTGGGCAGTGTAAATATTGAAGCATCAATGACAGATATGCGCAATGGAACACCACCATCAGTTTTCTTCCGTTGCTTTGTATACCCTATACCATTTCTGAAGATCACTATAATACCAAACCAACTGCTAACATTTTCTTTATGAAACAGGCAACCATGCGGTCGGTGGAAAACAATTAGAGGTACAGTGTGGAGTGGTTTGCAATCCAGTTAGCAAGCTTATGCGCACTCAAGATGAAGGAAGGGGATGATGCAATTTGGAGCACCTCTTTCTGACCAGATGGACTCAATTTTCACGGGCTCAGAAACTAATGAAAAATTAGTTCATATGTATGTTGTGCAGGCAATAGCTGTCTCTTGAAAGGTTCTCACAGCCTTACAGATCAGTAGATCACAATGGGCAAGGTCAAGATTGGAAGGAAGTGAGAACATAACATGCATCTGATGAAGGAATTGACAGCAGGATAGACTGAGAATAAGCCGGTCCTTTTCTTTTCCCTTTGTTTGGACATAATATTGAAGAAGTGGGTATACATTTTTCAGAAGAATGTGAGCATAAATGTTGATTTATACAGTACTGAAAAACAATTACATAGAGTTTTTTTTTTTTGGGGGGGGGGGGGGTGGGGGGTGGGGGAGGACAATTACATAGAGTTGATTCATTTGTTAGTACGAAATTAGTAGTGCATACCTGAATTCTGAACATGAGCGGTCTCGACAATAAAAACTTGAGATCCTAACACCATTCTGGTCAATTGTTTAAATTTTATATTAGAAGTATATTGATATATTCAAATTTAATTTAAGATGAGCCCATTGTGCCGTGCGACAAGTGATGAAATTGGATATGCGTCATTGGGACCATAAGTGCTTACCATCCATACTGCAGAACTGCACTACCTTGCAGATGTTAAAGACCATCTGTATATGTGCCTATTACTACTAGAGACCACTAAGTATTAAGATGTCTATCTTATTAGCTGCAGTTTGCTTCTCTATGAGTGCCTGCTTTCTTATTTTTTTTAGCCAAAACTTGCTCATTCTTTCCTCCATCTACATCTCAACATCTGATGTTTTCCTAATCATCCACTGTCTCTTCACCATCATTCCACCCAGGCGGCGCGCCAACGGGCACTCCCTAGGCTCTAGTTTTAGGAAGAGTCTACGCACCGGGCGCCCGATGGGGGTGGGAAAAATCAGACACCCACGTCAGCATGACATCATCAGCATGCATGCAAAACTAATTAAAACTATTTTTTTCTCTTAAATTATTTATCCAAATCATGATCCAATTGCACGGTGCACCATTAAATTCATTGCAATTAAAATTTTAAAACAAAACCACACATGAATATATTCCGATGAAAAAAATAGCTTATTATTGAATTATTTTTAAATATTGCATGTTGTTCCACCAAGTATATTGGGATTGTTTCACTAAGTAGATCGAAAATATTTCAATCTTTTAAATCGGGCACTGTTTCACCTAATATAAAAACATTGTTTCAGCAAATAGCGAAGAATGTTTCAATTCACTGCAACATTTGATCCATATATACTGAAACATTATAAGTACACTAGGTGAAACATTTTTTGTGGAACAAAAAATAAAACGAATTCTCTTAATAGAGGGATTCTATAATATGTGGCTGATTCGTTGCAAAAGAATGTTTCCATTCACTGCAACATTAGATCTATACATAGTGAAACATTGTAGATCTATACATAGTAAAACATTGTGAGTGCACTAGGTGAAACATTTTTGGTGGAACAAAAAAAATGAAACAAATTCCCTTAATAGAGGGTTTCCAAAATATGTGGGTGATTTGTTGCAACGGAATATGTGGTGGAGACACGTGGCAAGTGGGCAGGGACACGTGGTGGGGCCCAGGGAGAGGCACGTGCGCGTTGTTAGGGGTGGGGAGCGCCCGATTTTGCTCACCCGCCGGTCGACTGATTCCCAGCATTCTCGCATATTTTATTCTAAGAGTGCAAAAGCTGTACATCATGTGTTACATGCAGGTTTGTTAGGGCGTTCACAATGGGATGAGGTGTCGTTCGGCCTCGAACGCACACGTTGGATGGGGGAGAGAAATCAGCGCCACTTGACAGGAAGGGCCCACCAATTCCTAGCGCGTGTGACTAGAGTTAGCCATCCGTTCTTGGCGCCGAGGCTGCGTGGGGCATAGATAGCATTGTGAATTTAGTCACTTGCATTGTGAATCAAGTGGCTTTTGGTGTTCTTGAGTCCAGCCCCAAGCCCAGGCGCAGCATTTGCCATGGCGCACTGTGAGTGCTCTTAGGGGTGGATACAGGATGATTTTAAAGGGGAAATTTAACTATTTGCCACTTTTAGGTTTGGCAATTAACCAAATACCCTTCTTAGATTTGCACTTAAGAATTTGCCATTGGAGAGAGAAGCTTTTGTAATTTTTTGCCACTTTCTGCACTGTTCAGTGCCACATATACATGCCAGCATGGACCAGGCACACGAAATGACTAATCTACCCTTGTTAGTAATGTCTGTAATATAAGCTGAGTCAGGAATAATATTTGGACAAATTGTTTTCGCGAATCAGTTGCATCGGTATGGATGCTGTTCACTTTTACGAGGTACTATATTAAAGACCGAGTACCTCCACATCAGTTAACAAATCAATATTTGAAGGAATAGATCCACTGAGATGGTTATAACAAACTTTCAAAACGATACTTAGATTGAGTTCTTTTGTTCACTTTCACAACTCATCTCTCTCGTTTTTCACGTGTACGTTTTTCAAGCTGCTAAACGGTATTCCAATTTGGCTGGTATTGTTGGGATGGTGCCACCTGGAGTGAGCTCGATTAAGGTGTACGATAGCATGGTTTGGAAATATTTCTCTCTTCATGTAAAACTGAGCAAAGAATTAGCGCATGACTAATTTAGTTTGAGTTTTAATAAATAAAGAATAGATTAATATATATTTTTAAAGTAACTTAATTTTATTTAAAAAGTTATTAAAGAAACGTGCGAAAAAAAATGAGGGAGTAGAACTCAGACCGGCGGAGGCCCTGGTTCCGGTTTTTTCCAGTCCAACCGCCGGTCCGGTCAGTCCTAATAAGTGTGAGTAGAAGTTAGAAAAAAGACATCCGAATGCCGCCTCAAAAAGTTAATGAACTGACTGTAACATGAATGGTGCCATTGATGTTGTTGCCTTATAAATTTAAAAGGGTAAAATGGGAAGATTGGGCAGGTTGCTGGTTTCTCTTGGTATCTTTCCAGTGAATGAATTATGACTAAGATTCAATGCGGACAGGCTTAGCAACTGAGAAACTTACCACTAGCTAGAAGGGGTAGGTTGGTCATTTTTCACGTTGGTCCATGTTGGCATGCACATGTGGCACTCCACAGGGCAAAAAGTGGCAAAAAGTTACAAAAGCTTCTCTCTCTAATGGCAAATTCTTAAGTACAATCTTAAGAAGGGTATTTGGTTAATTGTCAAATGTAAAAGTGGCAAATAGTTAAATTCCCCATTTTAAAGTGGGTATTGGAGACTTACATAGGAAAAATTCAGTAACATTAATAACAAATATTAAAAAGAAAGAAGAGAAGAACAAATATTAGAATCTAAAGAGAAAAGAGAAGAGGCTGATATTAGTAGAGAAAAATGAAGCCCTCATATATGTACCCACACTCGCTTTTATAAACACACATCATCTTTGAATATATCTTGAGATTAACGAAGTTATCACAAATGCATCACTTAAAAGAATAATTAGCCATAAATATGAGCACCGTGTCAAATCTAAAATTTGAATCCGGATAGACAAGTTTCACCTCCAGTAGCCTAATCAGTTAAGTTACGCTCACTCCTCGATAAATCTATTTTTATTAGGGAAAAGTCCGAATTACACCACTGAACTATTGCGTGAGTACGAATTACCTCCTCAGACCCAAAAACCAGACATCTTTCACTCTTAACTATCAGTTCTAGATGAAAAACCCCCTTAACTCAAACCGGAGTGGTTTAGCAATTCTTCTTTTTTTAAATCGATGGGTCCCACCTATCAGTCTCATCCTCTCTCTTTTTCCCCTCACCTCTCTGTCTCTCTCTCTTTCCTAATCCTCTCTCTCTTCTATTCTCGGCTCTCCCTCTCTCTATCTATCACTAAGCAGTCGGCGGAGAGGAAGCCGAGGATGGCGGCCGCGGGGAGGCGACTCGGAGCAGCGGTGGCGGGAGGGGACGGTTGAGGGGGAGCCCAGGACGGCGGCGGCGGGCGGGGACGGGGGAGGCAACTCAGAGCGGTGGCGGCAAGCGGGGATGGCAAAGAAGGAGCCGAGGACAGCGGCGGCGGGCGGGGACAGCGGCGAGGGAGTCGAGGACGGTGGCGATGGGCGGGGACAGGAGAGGCAAATCAAAGCGGTGGCGGGCAAGGACGGGGGAGGGAACTCGCGCGGAGCGGTAACGGCGAGCGGGAACGGCGGAGGGGGAGCTAAGGACGGCGGCAACGGGCGAGGACGACGGAGGCAGGCAAGGGACGACGGAGGGGGAGCCGAGGACGGCGGCGACGTGCAGGGATGGGAGAGGCAACTCGGAGTGGCGGTGGTGGGCGGCGACGATGACGAAGGCAACTTGGCATCGCGCCCATTTGCGTCAGTCGCTTCAGCCTCGTCATCTCCTTCACCACCGATGCCGCTGCGCGCCTTTCCCTTCGCACGGAGAGCCAGCCTCCCCCCTGCCGTCTACTCCATCACACCGTCGCCTGTCGACTGCTAGAACGAGGAAGAAAGGAAGAGGGGAGAGGGAGTGGCGCTGGCGGTGACTCAGGCCCGTGCAGGTGCTGGTGGTGTTGTCTGTGGCGATGGCCAGCTGCCACGCCGAGGTCCATCTCTATCGCCGCCTCCCAGCTCCTGTCCCGGCAGCTGTTCCCCTTCCCCCCGTGGCGCCGCAGTACCCTCACGCCCGCCGCCAAGCTCGACGCCCCTCAAGGCCGCAATGTCGTCCGCCTCGCCTCACTTTGCCTGCCTCAACAGAGAGAGAAAAGAGAGATGGGTGAGGTTGCCTTATTATTATTATTATTATTATTATTATTATTATTATTATTATTATTGGATTGGTCTGTCATGTAGACGCCACGTAGGACAAAACCGCTCTGAATTGAGTCAAGAGAGGTAATTCATCCAGTATTAATGGTTGAGGGTGAAAATATCTTGTTTTGTAGTTTAGGGAAGTAATTTATACTCTAGGAGAGTAATTCGGACTTCTCCCTTTTTATTACTGTCTCTTGCATACTTAAGCATTTTTTTTCTCTGTTAGAAGTTGGCTTTAGATTGTGTAGAACACTTGAATGAACTCTGTTCACAACAATCAAGAGTTTGAAAAAAAAAACGATCAACGTCTGAACTCTGAAGGTAACTTAATTATCTAGTGTTGTATCCTTCTCGATAAACTACTAATGACCTAATTCGATGCTTTTATTTGCATAATTCTTCTCGCAGAACAAATTTACGGACCTAGCTTGTTTCCTGTGAAATCATATACAGATTAAACTATCATAAATAAAATTTTTCAGTAGTTGTTAGTACTTGTTACTCATCAAGTTCCCACGTGTCTTGATCGAGGGCACAACATGTTCACAGATAGATTAGCATCCGATTATTATTAAGAAGGTAGCCCGCGTATACGCGCGGGTATTTTGTTTAATGTTGTTTGAAATTTTATTATTACAAACATTTATGTGTGTATGATATTTTTGAAATATTTTTTACTCTATTTTAAACGTATATTCGTTAATAACTGTTGGGCGTATTATTTGAACCTCTATATCCTCAAATTTATGAGATAAAATATGTCCCAATATTGGAGTTAGTTCATATCTATTTATATTGTGTGTGATTCTTTTTTAAAAAATTTTGGAGTTTCCAAACTTTATATAACATTTTTTGTTTTGTATGGTATAGATGACTTTAAGTAACATTTTAATTTTATTATATATTAATGAAATATATTTTCTATTAATAATATAACTAATGATACTACTTCATGTAATCAAAGATAGACTTATATTACTTATATTCCCCTTTGTCACATAAATGGAAGGAGTTAAATTTTATCCTAAAATAATAGAAGAATTTATACCTAACCAAGATAGTGATTTTCTAAGTACCACCACGATAATCTCCAAAGTATCGTATCATATTTTGACAAATATCTATACTGTAGTGCATGTTCGTTCAGTGTCCGGTTTGTTTTCCACACCTATTGTTTCTAATCACATAAGACACCTTTAGTAATTTGGAGAATACATATATACATTTAAATTAGTGTTGTATATTTGTCAAGTGTTTTTCACACCTAAAATATGATGTGAAATTATTATCATAACATTAATTATTACAAGTCAGCTCCATATTTGTGATGTATTTAGGGCTATATATATTAGTAGTTTATTTATATAAAGGAATACGACCGGATCACAAATTGGATATAAAATTTTAAAATAATTTTAAAGATAGAACGCTTAAAAGCATTGATTGGATATTTTGTATTTACATTTGCGTAAATTTCAAGATTATTATATTTTTTATCCTTAAATTGTAGAAAACTATTTTTAAGGAGTGCTGATTTTTTTTGGGCTTTATCATAAGTACATTTTATATTCTTCCGGCAAACAATATGTAAGCATTATTGTTTTTTTCAACCATATGTACATACGGAGTACTTTTTCAGTCAACAGTTATATATTTCTCATATATCCGTATATAGGAGAAACAATTAATCTAACGGTGTAAAATGAAACAACTAAATTGTGTTGTTTTCATTTTTACAAATGTAAATTTAAATTAGCATTATATATTTGTCAAGTGATATCAGCCTCGTATGTTAAGATTGAACGAACAAATATCATTGATGGGATATTTTATATTTATAATATAGATTTAGTTTAACAATGATTTGTAGAGTAATATATTTATCTTTAAATAGTAGATAATACTATTTCAAAAGACCATCCATCTTTTTCGAATGATACACCTTTTTTTTTATAGTAAAGGATTTTGAAAATACTATTTCAACAGACCACCGTGCATAGATTTTTCTTTGTTCCGAACTTTCGATGGATAGTGGTTAAGCTTTATTTCTTTTTCCAAGTCGTATGTACTTACAGACTACTTATGCTCTTTTTCTTTTTCTAGCCTAATTGTTATATGGATCTCCCGTATACGGACACAGAGTAACAAGTTATTAGTTTTTAAAATAAAATACATCTAATCTAATGGTCTAAATTATTGGTTCACCAATTTAATTAAAAATCGACGGTGATATTTGCTTAAATTTATAGAGTAATAGATTTTATCTTTAAATATTATAAAACTCTATTTTAAAGATAATCAATTTTTTAGTGGTACTAAGCACGTATGTTTTTTTTTGCTTTGTTGTTTTGTTTTTTTTGCTTTGTTGTTTTTATAGTAAGTCTGTGCATAGTTTTTTTTCTTTCGATATAAACAGTAGGTAATAGATTCATTGTTTTCTATTCTTACGTATGTACGTTACCTGTATATACGTATATACGGGATGGATGCATATGTCCGCGCGGGGTAAGGGGAGGACTAAAATCAGTTTTGTTTTCTTTTTCCGGTGAATAGTAGTAAGGTATTAGTTTCTTTTTAAATAAAATACATCTAATCTAATGGTCCAAATTATCGGGTCCACCGATTTAAATAAAAATCGACAGGGAGATTAGACATTACCACGTGGTGGTCTAGAAGCGTTTGTAGAAGTGCCACGTGGCGAGTTTCATGGACTTTTTAGTATAATAGATAGATAGATTTTTTTTAAAGAAAATGATACTCCCAGCTGAGCAGGATGCCAGGATGGAAGGGAAAGCGCTGAGAATGAAGAGTTGGAAAACGTGACGGTTAGAACTGGTACCTCCGTCGTGCGTCACAGGCAACCACATCCGTTGACCCAGCAACCAGAGAGGAGGAATGCCCGTGGAAGGTCCAAACGGAAATTAGGTGATCTCGCATGGCCCATGTATGCTTCCATTCCACCCGTATATCTGGCGCGTCTAGTATCGTCAAATCTCTACCCATGCACATGGTCACTCCGGAAATGCTAATGGGCGGGTGATCGCTCCCCCGTCCGCCCAACGATCACCCTTTACTCCTCCCCTATACTCAGATACACTCCTCCCTCCTCTCCTCCTTCCTTCTCCTCTTATTCTCTTTCTACTATAGTACACCGCAAATTTTTTTTAAAAAAACAAAAAGTTAGAAAAATTTATGTATAGAAATACTATATATAAAAAATTTAAATTTAAATTCAAATTTGAATCGGCTATGTAAACTTTTGGCTTATAAACTTTGGATCTATAAACTTTAGGCGTATAAACTTTAGATGTATAGAAATACTATATATATAAAATATTTGAATTCAAATTCAAATTTAAATCGGATATAATTCAAATTCAAATTTGAAACGGGTATATAAACTTTTGACTTATATAAACTTTAGATGTATAGAAATACTATATAAAAAAATATTTGAATTCAAATTCAAATCAGATATAATTAAAATTCAAATTTGAAACGGGTATGTAAACTTTTGACTTATAAACTTTGGGTCTATAAACTTTAGGTGTATAAACTTTAGATGTATAGAAATACTATATATAAAAAATATTTGAATTCAAATTCAAATTTGAATCGGATATATAAACTTTTAACTTATAAACTTTGGGTCTCTAAACTTTAGATGTGTAAACTTTAGATATACAAACTTTAGGTGCATAAATTTACTAAAATAGGAAAGTATTACAGTGCTTAAAAAAAAAAGAAAATCAGGTGGAGAGATGGAGGGGGGAGGGGGATTGATCGCTACCCCATCTTCCGGCGATCGATCGCCCAGTAGGATCCTCCGGTCACTCACACGAACCGTAAGCGTCTGACCATGTATGCCGGGCCACCATCCGTGGTCCGTGGACAAGGGCAAGGCTCCGAACGGCCGAACATTCCCAAATCGTATCGAATGAGGGCCTACTGGTGGCAGTTAGTACTTAACCATCTTCTGCCGTATGGAGCGGGACCACAGACGGGTTACAGGAGTTGAGGAGTACGCAATACTGTGATTTGCTAGCCCTCTTACAATCTTTGATACAATCCTATGTGGCGGCCTCTTACTTTGCTCTCACACCAACACGAGTACCATAAAGAAACCACTCATCGCCTCTGCGAGTAGGACACCATGTTGGAGAGAAGGAGAACCACTGAACATCAACATATAAGAAAACAAGCCCAAACACATCCCTTGTCAGTCCAAAGTCCAAATTCAACCATGGTACGTCGGTGTCCATTTGGCCAATTCCAATTCCAATTCCTCGGCTGCGCGTTGAATTACAGGTCCAACTATTTCGGCCACCTCTACTGTCTCTCTCCCATCCTCTCCGCCCCCAAATGGGCAACAAAATAAAAAACCCCAACCCGCGATCCGGCGAATCGGCGTCGATGCTTAGCCGGGGAGGTAAACCCCCGACGCAACAATTCCACACCTACCGCGGCTACCGAGCCACCGGCCAACCCCTCCCCCTCCCTCCAAAACCCGCACGCGCGGATCCCGTCGCGAGAGCCGAAATCACACGTCGCCACCGCAGCAGCAGCCGCGGCGCGCCACGCGGCCGCGGCGGACCCCGCCCGCCCGCCACGTCCCCCGCGCCGCCGACCACTCCGGCACGTAGTAGGCCGTGAGACATCCACCATATCTTCCCCGCCTCGGCGCGCGCGTACTCCTACGTCTACGTGCGTGAGCCCCCCACACACCCTCGCTCGCCGCGCCGCCGTCTCTAGTTTTTTTTTTCTAAAAAAAAAAAAGCCTCGGCCGCCGCAGCCGCCCCTGCCCATCGATCGCGGCTTGTCTCTTCCCCTTCCCTCTGCCTGGCGTGGAGTACTACTGCGCTACTAGAGAGTTTGCTGGTGGAGGAGGAGGACGAGGAGGAGGAGGCTGGGTGGTGGCGGCCGCCGCGATGGACATAACGGAGGTGACGGTGGTGCACCACGCGGCGCTGGTGCTGCTCGCGCTCTGGGCCGCCGTGTCGGCCGGGTGGGCGCACCCGGCGATCTTCCTCGCCGCGCTCCTCTATCTGTTCGCGGTGAGTCCTCTCTCCCTCTCCTTCTCCCTCTCCCACGGTTCGATTCGATTCCGCATGTTCTGAGATTAACGGGAGCTGGAAATGGAATCCCGTGTTGGGATTTGTTGTGGCCGGGGTGAGGGCCCGATTTTGGGATGGGTTTGTGGATGGATGGATGGAGGAGGTGAGTACTACTTCCCTCCTTGCGTTGTTCTCCTCCGCTGAGCTGCATTGGTGCGTTCCCGATCAGAGCTAGAATTTCTTGTCTAGTTCTTTTTTCCACTCCCTGTTTGGTAATTGGTGCGCCATCAACTGATTTTACTTCTCCTCCTCCGTCGCTGTTGCACGATAACTTTTACATTTCATGGAAAATTGTAGAGTATTTTTGATGGTTTTGATTAAAGCAAGTAGCTGGCAAGCCATCATCTGTGGATCATTTTTATCCTTAAATTCCCATCAATTCATTTATGATATGATGCATCGCATCAGGACGCATCGCATCAAGTATGACGTAGGCTGATGTTTCAGCTTGATAAAAAAAACTGGTCAACAATGGAGTCTGTACCTCACCTTGATTCAGCCAAAGTGGCCAGGTAGGAGTAGATGCCAAGGAATTTTTTCCCCCTTCCTGTGTGATAATTGGTGATCTGTGGTCTGCTAGCCTACGTCAGCAACAGCTTTGCTTGCAAATGGTGAACTCATTGGGATGGTGGGATTGGTGTGGTTAATAAAGTTTTTGTCTATGATCACACAGCTTATTCTGGATTGCCTGATGCTGAGTCGCTGACACTGAATTCAGGGTTCACAGATCAGTACATCTTAGTGGAACAGTTGCACAGCATGGAGTAGTTACGATGGTTGTTTGTCGTGCTTTTTACCTTTTTCTTTATTGGGATAACAAGGCCCCCTTTTTGAATGTGTGGCTTTCCTCAGTCAAATTTTAACAGCAAATATGAATTGTTTTGGTGCTTAGGAGTAGCCGTGTTCTTCTTTTTGAATACGCCACTGTGGTGTTCAAGGAAAAAAAACGCCATGCTGCTTTCTTTAAAGTTAAGATTGTAAACCTTTTTTTTCAAGAACTCATGGATGTAGTATCCATATATTTAAGTCAAGACAAATTCTATCTCACGTTGATCATAGATGACAAGAAACAAAAGAAGAATATAATCACTTAGTCTTGTTGTACGGTTCATCTTGCACAACATGCACCCGTTCTGTTTTTTGTTGCTCTTGACATCAGGAATGAATTTGAAATTAAACTTTGTAGGTCTACTAAACGGTTGTGCTACGTACTTGCATTTTGTCTAAATTTTGAAAACATTGCAACATTTGAATTTCATTTTGTGTCTTCAAATCTTCATGCCCAGGAAAAATTATATTTCATTAGCAAAATTGAAACGACAACCCTTTAAACATGGTGAACAGAAGAAATACATTGTAGTCATATGGATTGGGAAGATTTCTGATAAAAAAATATTGAACTCTGTAATCTCTGTTTTTACAGAACTCACTGCCCAGGGTTCAATCTCTAGAGTTTTTGTCATTCTTTTTTTTTTGGTATCTTATAACACATGTAGAATGATAGATTTTTCATATATTGCAAACCAGGTGAATGAACGATACACAATGAGGCTGCGAAAGCGAATACAACATGAGGAAAGGAAATGTGCAAACCAAAGAAGGGTAGGCATACTCTGTTTATTTAACAGCATTTGTAGGCTACCATTCAAATTTGCTGCAGAACAATCTAAATGTACTTGTTTTTAATAGTCTTCAGCTATCATGTCAACTACAGAACCTAATTTCCCTAGATTAAGCTCATTTATTTCTGGATCAGCTTCTCTCTGATGCAGAGACTGTCAGGTGGTTGAATTATGCTGTTGAGAAGATCTGGCCGGTTTGCATGGAACGGGTTGCATCTGAGCAGTTCCTTTTGCCCATATTCCCATGGTTCCTGGAAAAGTTCAAACCATGGACAGCGGTAAGTTCAATATTTTGGACACTAATTCCGTTGCTCATTTTCTTTTGCTGCCTCTTGAATGGCAACCATCAGTTGTCTGGCAGTACTATTATTTGTGCACAATGTACTGTTTGGAGTTCACAGATCAATGCTGAAATGCAACCTTCTTTCACTACGCATCTTTTATGATAACTTACTTTTACACAACATATCAGGTCCAACCACCTAGGTGTACTAGAATGTTGCTCTAGCTGGGGCATTAAATAAATAAATATTCTGAAACAAAATTAATGAATGTATGGAGTCTTAGATCACAACTTGTAGAAACACCTAAAATTTTCAACAACAAACTTAAAAGTATCTTAGAAGAAATAGAACTTGGTATATTTGATTGTGAACGATTACTTAGAAGACAAATTTAAAACTGTACTTCATCAATATGTATGTTAAATAAATTGAGAGGTACACGTATACTTTTAAAAAGAACCATGTGGTTTGGTATCTTAACCAACTTGGTTACATAATACTGATGTATATTATGCTTGCAGAGGAAAGCAGTGATCCAAGACCTTTACTTGGGCAGGAACCCACCAATGTTTACAGATATTAGGGTTGTCAGGCAATCAACTGATGATGACCATCTGGTGTGTAATTATATGCCTCAGTTGTTCAATTGCTTTAAAAATGTTCTCTTTCTGGATATTTACTCAAAATCGACCATAAAATTTATAAGATAAGTTAACATGCCAGGTTTTAGAGATAGGAATGAACTTCCTATCTGCAGATGATATGAATGCAACAATGGCTGTGCAACTTAGGAAGAGATTAGGATTTGGCATCACAGCAAACATGCATATAACTGGGATGCATGTTGAAGGGAAGGTAAGCTCTTTGAGGTAGAATATGTAAAGTTTAATACAGTTTTGTGCTTACTTAACATTGTCTAGAATTTATGCTTACATAGGTCCTAGTTGGGGTGCGATTTCTCCGACAGTGGCCATATATTGGTCGCGTAAGAGTGTGCTTTGTTGAGCCTCCATACTTCCAGATGACAGTCAAACCATTATTTGGTCATGGGCTTGATGTAACTGAACTTCCAGGAATTTCTGGATGGCTTGTAAGTCTTATTCCATTCCCATTCTGGTATCTTGTATATGGAATTGTCTCTGCATTGAATTGTTCTGCAATTCTTTGAGAACGTACTTTTGGTGTTTTGGATATGGCAGGACAGGATGTTGGATGTCGCCTTTGGACAGACCCTTGTTGAGGTCAGATTTCGCTATTAATCTGTTCTATCAACAAACATGTTATTTTTTTATCTGTTCCCTCCAGTCACAAACAAGTGAAGTTTTGGGTATCAACATTGTACAAAATGCAACTTTCACTGTGTTAGTAAGTGGTTGAAATAGCTTATTAGAATTTAAGTTCTATATGAAGCAAGAAATATTTGAGAATTTCCTATGAACATATAAACTTAGGTTTTAATTAGAATTCAATCAATTTGAGTTACGAAACAATGGAGCTACTGCTAGTTTCTGTTGTAGTACAATATTAAATTTTACTGAGAATATAATAATGAAAGAACGTTTCAAGACAATTTGCACAAATCATTTCTACCAATCTCCTTTTCTCGATTACCATGTTTACAAATCTAAAATATGAATATTAAGAGAGCTGCTAGCCACACTGCATGTAATCCTAGGACTCACTTGTTCCTGGGTAAGACAGATCTAGGGCAATTTTGACTATATATCAAACATTGGTTCTCTGCGTGTGTGTGAGAATGGATAGGGTTGGCATTAGCTGATGGTGTTTCTTGGACAATTTTTGTTCTAGTCTTAAGCAACAAGAAATAATTTTGTGAAATTGTTTTTTGCAGCCTAATATGCTAGTTATTGACTTGGAAAAGTTTGCATCGGAATCAACAGGTAGTTTTCTTTCAACATTGTGAGAGCACCATTTTTTTTACTTGTTATCGTTCCTTTTCTGACTAGCTCAGTAAGTTCTCAGTTCATTCTATCAATCTTTTTCTGCTCGAACAACACAGGAGAACTGTGTGTCGTTTCATCAAATATAGGAGGAATGAAAACAAAAACAAAGGGTAGGGAAGGTCCATTCAATCTCCATAGTGAATTACCATGATACCCATAGTGTTCAACCTAGACAATGTAGGTGCAAAGATTAAGTTGGCTTTGGTTTTATGGTGAGCTAGACTTGACTTGCAGCCATCCAAACAGGCAAGGAGAATATATGCTTGTCATTCCTTGGGTTCATTATGTATGTATGGATGACATTATGTCATTGCAACAGAACATTATATGTTTGTCATTCCTGAGGTTCATTATGTATGTCTGGATGACATTACGTCATTGCAACAGAATACGATTTTAAGTTTAGTAAAATTTAGCAGTCAGAAAAAAACATGGCATGTGGAACATGGACCCATAGTCACAAGCAAACTTGAATACCGTTCACAGCACTGATAGTATATTGAATCACAAATTGCTTTTATTCAATGATGATTGTATGATACTAACAAATTCATTATCCAAATATGTCAGATAGCTGGTTTAGTGTTGATGAGAAGCCACCTATTGCACATGCCAAGGTAGAGATCTTGGAAGGTGCTGATATGAAACCCTCTGATCCAAATGGTATGTTCTCAACTACCAAGCCCGTCCATATATAGTATATTTGACTAGGAAAATTCCACAAGAGATTCTCTGTTGAATTACTGTACTGGTCCTTGTTCATATTTAGTTGATTCTCACAACAATGCTGCTTTGATGGATCTATGTGCAGGATTAGCTGATCCATACGTGAAAGGCCATCTTGGACCCTATCGTTTCCAGACAAAGATCCACAAGAAAACACTCAATCCAAAATGGATGGAGGAGTTCAAAATACCAGTAACCTCATGGGCAGCTCTCAATCTTCTCTCTCTTCAAGTTCGAGATAAGGATCCCATCTTTGACGACACACTCGGGTTGGTCTCTTTAATACCGTCCATGGAACCTGCTTTTAACGGTCCAATTAGTACTTAGTAGTGTTCTGAATTATATTTTATAGTTCATACAAAGGTTGCAAACCTCCATGTAGTCCCAATAAGGCTAAACATTGACTCACTTCTCATGTAGTGACTGTTCCATAAGCATCAACAAATTGAGAGGTGGACAAAGGCACGACATATGGATTGCTCTGAAGAATATAAAGACAGGGCGGATTCATATAGCAGTAACAGTACTTGAAGATGAAAATGAAAAGGTGAGAGGAGGGTTTTAAGATTTGAATTGTTATTTCCCGGCTACCCTGCTAGAGTTCTTTTTTATCATTCTTGTTTGGAACTGGTGAGCTGGTCAGAATTGCAGTTCTTGGCTGGCACTAGATCATGCATGAGCTCTACCATGTGTTTAAATGCGAAAGTTCAGTTCAGATTGAGTGTACCTTTTCTTCTTTTTGACAGGGAAGTGATTTATTGCTGATATCACATACTTGAACTTGCAGGTTCCAAACGATGACGATGAGCAGTGTGGAACACCCAAGGGGGGTAAAGCAAGCACACCAAGGTCTAGCTTTTCGTCCAGGACCAACAATGAAAGTGAATCATCAGAGGAGTTTCGAAAGATATCTGCTGAATATGAGCCAGTAGACATTGAAGGACTGGAAAAGGTTGATGTTTGGGTCCATCGGCCAGGCAGTGATGTCGCAGTCACTTGGGAGCCTCGGAAAGGACGTGCGAGGTGTCAGGATTCCAGAATCCTACGAGAGAATGATGTCTACTGTGACAGCCCTAAGTCGTGCCAATCAGAATCTCAGAGAAGTGACTCCAGTACTGAAGAACCAGCCAATGGCAAATCACGCCATCATCTCCACAAGGTCAAAAAGGGTTTGGGGAAACTAGCTGGTGCGATGTTCAAGAGCCCAAAGAAAGAGAGTGATGATGAAGCCTCGCCATGTGTGACGCCTCACCCAAATATAAAACCACTTGGAGAAAAAAGGGTGTCAGTAAGATACGTCGTCGATGAAGATCCTTCTGAAAACTTGCCAGATGACCAGCATTCCAGTCCTGAGAGAGGCGAGTCGGAAAGTCCGACCAAGAGGCATTTGAGGAAGAAGGCTGTGCACATGGTGAAACATGCGGGGAACAAAACAGCTCATAATCTGAAGAACATGTTCAGCAGGAAAGGCAGTGACAAGAGCAAAGAAGGCCAAGATGACCAGAAAGACGATCCTGATACTATAGTAGTAGAACCTTCAAAAGTTAAGAAAGACAATCCTGATGCAAGTGAGGTAGACATAGACCCTTCACAAGTTGAGAACGACATCCCCGATTCAACGGCAATTGACCCTTTGAAGGTTGATTCTAATGTGGCCAACAACATTGTGGTTGATGCACTAGAGTATGCATCTGAATCTGATGCGAAGGACAAACCACAGTGAAATGTGTTCTGCTATTTTTGGCGGTCCTCGTGCTGTTGGGACTGTTCATGTAGGCAGGATACTAGGTAGCAAAATAGTCTGATAGCCTCCTGACAGCAAGCGAAGGTTGACAGTATAGTCCGTTTGGTTGGTTGAGTCCTCCATCTTACCTGACGACCGATGTTTTTCTTGTATTATAGATGCTCAAGGAACAATACCTCTGTACATGTCGTATGCAGACTGTCTAAGCTGTTTGCTTCTTGGACATGGAAAGCAGGTGGCCGGTTGGCTTTGGCAAGGTGTTGGATAGGAGAGAACGGACAAGGAGAACCAAAAAAAAAAAAAAGAGATTGAACCAAGCCTATTATGTGACCATGCAAAAGTAGGGAACATGCCCATCCCCATCCATATACTCCTTTGATAATACAAAAGTAGGAGTACTAGTTTTGTATAGAATAATAGAATTAGCCTACTTGCTTTAGATGTAGTCTTTCAGCGTACAGTATGTCAGTACTACAGTTACATCCCTAAAGTTGCGTACTTTGGGAACAATACATCAAAATACCAAAGTATGGGACATCCCTAAAGTTCTGTTTTTTTTTCAACATTCCGTGTATAAAATGAACCATCAAGTACATATGTTTACTTAAACACCATGGGAATGGGGAAGATTAACTTGCCACCTGATCAATATTTTCAGAAATACCTCTCATCTCTGGTTAATTGCATTCTGGTTCAGGCAATCGAGGTCCGTTCGATCTCGGGCTAGTTACAATTAATAATTGAGTGAAAGCGTTAAGGCTAGTTTGGTTTGGTTCCAAATTGTGCCTACCAATTCATTTGCAATTTTTAACAGTGTTTCTATGTTTGGATTGGTGCCAAATTTTAACAACACATCTCTTAGATAGTAAAATCTAACATCTCTTAGATAGTAAAATCTAAAAGTTTTGGCCATCCAAATTTGCAACTTTAGCACACCAAGATTTTGGTATGGCACCAAACCAAACTGGCCCTTAATTACTTCCTCTGTTCCACCATACTAGTCTTTCTAGCATTCAAAAGTTGTTCCAAAATGGTTATCACATCAACCACTTTCAATTCAAATTTCTTTCCATTCTACCCCTAACCACCATCTCAAATCAAAATATACATTATCTATTAAGGGGTATTATAGTCTTTATCTCTTAACCTTAGTACATGCTAAACAATCCAGAACGACACGTATTTTGGGATAGAGGTAGTAATTAACCTTGTCGTCTGCTCAATCCATCTGTGAAAAGAGTACGGGGGCATTTAATATTGCCATTTTAAGATGTGAAAAGAGTACGGGGGCATTTAATATTGTCATTTTAAGATGTGATAGATTTGTCACTTACAGTCTATAACATATGAGTTTCTATGTGTCTATGATATGTGATTTTAGTGGTAAATCCTTAATTGTTACTCGTAAGAGTTACAATAGTTAAACAAGAGTTCAGCTAGTTTAGTGCAATGTCTAATAAGCAAACTTTTGCTAGTGTCACTACCACGAAAACGCACAAAGCATACAACACTATAGGTGTCGAACCAACTAAAATCGACAACCAACACCTTTATGAATAAATAGGTGTCGGTTCTAGAGAAAAATCGGCACCAATATAATAAATATCGGTTTTTTAAAAAAACCACCACCTTTAATTTATTATATTTAAAGGTGCTAGTTAATAAAAAATCAACACACGTAATATATTATACTCCCTCTATCCCAAAATATAAGGGATTTTGGGTGGATGTGGCATTATATTTTGGGACGGAGGGAGTATGTACCCGTTTTTAAAAAAACCGACACCCGTAAGCTAGGCCGCCAAGGTTTTACTTTTCACATTATTTATTATAAGGAGGCCTTGTGGGATCTTTCAATTGGTGCCATTTTAATGACTTAAAATGAACAGTGAACCAGAGTGGGTGTCCTAATCCACTCCACTCGCCTCCCAGTCATGAGGGCGATGCGGTCAGCGTCAATCCACCCGGAGGCGGTGCAAGCCGTCGAGGCCGCCACGTCTGGTGCCGGAGGAGGTGGAGCGGCGCCGATGGCAGGGCAGATCCCGTGGCAGATCTAGATGTGACCATGGATAGCAGTGACCAAGGATGGGCAAAGCCACGACAAAATCCAATGGCTGCAGTAGCGTCGGTGACTTCCCGTGGTGGATCCTCGGGCGTCAGCGGCTTCCTGGAACGGTGGCAACGATGGTGATGGAGAAGGAGGCTCGCCCCTCTCCATCCAACTACAGCGGCGGTAGTGGATGTTCCTGATGTGTTCAATATTGTAGTGTTCTTGGATGTACTTGGTGGTCTTGGACACCGATTAATACTGATGAAATTTGGTAAGTGAAGGGGAGTTGCTCGATGCACCGGCTCAAGCCAGCTTTTTTTTTCCTTTTTTTTTGTTATTTGTAGGTTTTTAAACTGACACATTTGAGACCTCACTACATGTCGGTTGGAAAATTCAGCACCTATGACCGGTTCCCAACCGACACCTATCTTCTTTTCTGTAGTAGTGTGTTAGTTAAAGGTGGATTAAGGACAACGCTAGATGACTAATATGCTCATCATGAATGGGGAAAGAAAGCGATGAGGGAATTATAACGAGAAGAAACTTTGATTGCTAAGACGAAGAGTACCGCACTCAAAAGTACAATTTTTGAGATAAATTTTTAGGCTAAAAGTACGATCTTTTAGACTTTAGGAGTACAGTTTTTTCCTTCAAACCTTTGCATCTTATATCATCGATCCAAAGTTTTTCAATAAACGTACTATAAAACATGAAAATGGCATGCATAGATTTGTTCTTAAGAGTGCTTTGTTCTCATAAGCTTATTAGAGTTTATAAATTAAAACTTATTATATTTGTATAAACTAATTCTAAGGACAGTTCCAAACATCCACCTCAGCTAGTTTGCATAGTGTTAAATATAATGCAACATAAGCAAAAAGTTAGGTGACAAGAGAGTTAATGCAGAGGGGCAAAAGATGAAATCGTTTCTCACGCGTGAAACCAATTTTAAGCATGAACCAAGAATGAAAAGAAAAAAGAATAGATGGGTGAAAGGAGAAAAAAGAGTTGATTGGATGAGAATTTTAAAACAAAATCTGCTTATTGGTCTAGATCAACATCGATCTACCCTGAAAGAAGATTTTTATAAAAAAAAACATCGATCTCCCTGCACTTGTCAGCTAACATACTGCTGATACTGATATGTTTGCCCCCCGAGCTGGCGCCTTTAAACAATTAACTCATCAACCGTCATTTTGATCAAATTTTGCAATATATCCACCAAAACTCCAGATTGTTCGAACAATGCACGATGAACTACTTCATCGACTGTAGCTTGAAGTGTTTCAACCATCGACATAGTAGATTGTTTCTTCTTAGCATTGACTTCCTCTTCAGACATGTTGGGTGCAAAACTTGTGTCCCACTGGACGTGCCAAAAATGTGTTGACGCGAAAAACACACACTACCCTAGAAGATCTGCTTAGAATGCAGGTCCAAATCTTGGTGAGGTGCGAGCATGCCAGTCAGTTTGACCCTGCAACTGACAAAATATGCAAATCTCTAAACACAATGCAACTAAAGATAGAATTGAGATATCATGTGATGGAATAAGCCTTGTGGTCTTTGGTCCTTGTGGTCCTTCTCTTGCTTTTAGGTTGTTTTTCCTCTTTTAGGACAGCATCCTTTCAGTTTTGCTTTTAGCATCTTTCGGTTTTGCTTTTAGCATCCCTAGGACAACATCTAGCATCTCCTTTATGCTTTATTCAGTTTGGATGCTCTCTAGGACAGCATTGCGTTCAAATTTTAGACTAGTGTGGGCAGCAATTAGCTAGCAGCCATCCAGCCAGCTATGGCTATATATATGTATCCAACCTCCCTCGGGAAGGTATGGCTTTTGTGTTTAGTGAATGAAGAAAACCAGAAAATTGCCCCATCTCGAGTGCCATCCTCTTCTCAATGAGAGTAACCATTGAAATTCTAACATCATGTAGGTAAATATATCAACCAAACCAGAGCGATCCAAGAGATCGAAGCGATGCAGCCTTGAACACCAATGTAGTCGATAGATTCACCAGTGCCGACGAAACGTAGGACTTACCCCTTCACCGGAGATCGAAAGCCGATGTATCCCGCGTCTGTCGGATGATAAGTAAAAAACCACGGTAAAGAGGATGGCGATGCGCCGAGTAGTTGTATTGATCGAGAAATATTCCTTACAATGACTCCGGGTGTACATATTTATACCCATGGGGAGATACTTGTCCTTGTAGGACAAGGACAAGAGAAACTTTCCTAAAGATAAAAAGAAAACATTAAGTTCTTATCAGACACTAAACACTTTCCTAAAGATAAAAAGAACTAACAAACTATTCCTAATTAATAGATAACTTGCCATGCCGCATACTCCTTGAACTCGAACTCTTCTCCTTGAACTCAATCTTTTGGATAAATTTCCTTTAATTGATCTGACTCCACCATGAACACAACTGCTGGCGATTTGATAACTCCCATCGGTCGATTCCAATTCCAAGACTCTGAAGCCGATACTGACTTTAGGCCGATGATGACTTGCGGCAGAGGAGATGGGGGCTGAACGCAAAGAAGAAAGTGAGTCCACAGAATAATGAATTGATGGGTATGTTACATTTTTTTTCACCCAGCATTCAATTTTGTTCATGCTCTCATGACCTTCAATTATAGATTATGTCTCGCTCTTCCTTACCTCCAATCCATAGGAGTATAGTCTTAAGTGTCAACTTTCATCCTTCTCAGAAGTTGTGAACATTTTTTGTGCCTAATACTTTTCTATGCCATTCGTAAACTTAAAATTATTGTCATAGTAAATCATCACCTCCACCTATAAACACCCCAGTTGTCCAAACTAGTTTAGTGTACGTTTGTATATGACATGGAACTTTATTTCATAGTGTCCATTAACATAGGCTAGCGCTTTATTGGTTTTTTTTTCTAAACACTGGATAGAAGATAAATGGTAGCATAGTGGGATGGGACTGATGGCAATTGGCAGGTGTGAATGAGTTGATAGGTGGACAGTGGCTGAAATTGCAGTAGGCGAGCAGATTGATCTGGTGTGGAGTCCTGGATATTTGAGGCGGAAGGAACGGGCATGATATATCAAATGATATGACAACAGCAAAACCATTCAGAGAAGGATAGGGGAAACCACTCTGGTAAAGCAGGCTCACATTGCACAACAAAGGCTCTGCTCGACATGGACTTGGTTGGATAAAACCTTTCGTGTTATTATTGCTTGATTTATCATAATACACACCAGGATACCTTTACAGTATCGAATTTTTCAAGGCACCACTGCCATGTGTGTACGCAGTTGATAGTTAACACTCGTAATACCAGTTCATTATAGTTGTATTCAGAAGCTTCACCTTGTGACTGTTATTAAGTACCTTTAATCCCAGATACTAATCGGCAGTTTGTTTCTACAAGCCCATTTTAAGAAGAGAAAGATGTACCCACAGCCATTAATGGAGTAGATAACAGAAAGTACCATTTCGGTTTGTCATTTATCAATTAATTTGACAAGTATTTTTCCATATTTGTTGTATTATCTTCTTTATGTAGTAATTTTACCAATTTTTTACTACCACTGGTGACCGTGCTATGGCTAGTTTCATTGAGGATAGACATCATGGGGAGGTCCAGGAATATATCTAGGCAGTGTTCGCATGTCAGCTAGAGGATTATAGGCAAGGATGACGAACTGAGGAAGAGATTATAGAATGATCTTCATTACTTAATTCAAATGACTAGCCCAATACCCTTTTTGGCTGGCACCTATTTAGGGATCCCTAAATAGTCATAAAAGTTAAACACAAATAGTCATTCATTAATCTAATTATTAGAAAACATTAAAGTTCAAGCTACTAACATATGCAGCAATTAACTTTGGTGTATACTACACTCTTAGCTGTCAAATCATGACAAAACAAGATAAAAATGAAATTTCCGCTACAATTACAGGATCCAATGCATAATTAAATATTAGATAGCATATCTTTAAATAAAGAAAACAAGCATGGTAACAGATTACCTTATGGCTGCATGATTTTCAATTGTTTTTTCTTCATCTTCAGTGAACTCAAACCAGATGTCATTTCCAGTGAAATTCTCATTATCAAATTCTGATACAAATGCAACATTATTTATCACAATTTTCTTTTGTCATGGAATAAATTGAATTTTCTTGTACAATAATCAGAATCAAACAAACCTTGCAGCAATAGCATCTTGTTGTTCGAATAGCCATCCAGCTTCCAGTATGCCTCCCTGTCCTCTAACATCAAAGGCTTGCTCCTAAGGACAGTTCCCAGCTTCTTCTCTGTTGTTGGCACAGTGTGAGAAATGAAACAAGAGAATTAGTAAAGCACATGTACTTAGTTCAGTTCTCACTACACATTAAAGAATGATGTGAAGTACCAATAAGATCAAAGTAGGGGACTTCTCAAAACAGTTTCATTTGAAATGCTAAGGACAAAAGACAAACCATTCAGTTAATTCATAGTCAGGAAAGATAAACATACTCTCAACTCTTCAAACTAGCTAAATATGAAAAAAAAAGGATAAATAAAAACAGCAAGTAAAAGAATGTTGTCTTAACGAGAGAAGGTGAAATAAGTAAATAATTAAAACTTGATCAGTGTGTCATGATGGAGACTATTCTAAGGTTTTGATATCTCAACCAGAAAGCTTCAGTAGTTTATTCCTACATGTGATGCATTTTCTATTTAAGAAAACAATATAAAGATAATAAGGAATCCTTCTTGGTTTGTATTCGAGCATTCTTTATTTTCCAAACACAATATATAGTTCTATTAATTATCTATCAAAAACATTATCACGTTTCACTCCTTTTGACAGAACTAGTTATGACCATACTAGGCTCTATCATTGAACATGCTCTTATAGGACGCCCCTAACATAATCTCTAATTAAAAGAAAACAAATCCTTCTTTCAAAAGATAGCAACTAATCCCCTTGACTTTCTCCCGCCTGCTATACGCACTCTGCATGTGTGCACAATGTCCGTGAGCATGACCAGAACAATATCCTTACGATCTGTGGGCAAAATGCATAAAGCTAAAACAAATCAAGTTCAAAGATATGTAGCTATGTCCTCTCAAACGGTTCAGACCTTTTATGGCTGTCAGCTTGACTTCCTTTGCCTTCTTTATATCAGAAATAAGCTGATTTCTGTTTCCTTCAATAGGGGTTGCTCCTTCTTTCATGTCATTCTTTAACCCTTCTCTTAGTTCCTTTTCCTGCGAAATGACATAGTCGTGTTGGTTATTACTAGAAATACAAGTGAGTAATTAAACAACAGTAATAAGCTTGACAGCATTAAGGACCTTTGCTTTTGCAGCCCGCAGTTTTGCTTTGGCATCGTTCCTTCTTTCAGCTGCCCTTCCATTTTGTTCTTCAATCAATTTTCTTAACTTTCTGTTCAAAGGTTAAGACACAGTTAACAATTCAATATAAACTATAATAAATTGAATCATTCCAGTAAATGTGGTAAAGAAGCACTTACACGGTAGAGAGGGCCTCATCGCAAAGTAAATTAAGTACATGCAGCTTACAAGGACTCAGCTTGTTGTATCCCAATGTTCCCTTGTTTACAAATTCAAGATGCAATTCCTTTGACATAAATGCCAATTCATTGATATATGCACCTAAATCATTTAACCATGCATCTCCATTTGTTATGTAGATTGAATTCCTGGAAACAAAATAACCCATTTTTATCGATTTACTACCAAAAATTTGAACAAAATGAAGGAAATTTTGATTCGGATGGTATTTACTTCTCCCCTCTGTCTTCTTTGATGACCGATAGCAAGTTTTTGTGAAAGCCAGCAATAAGCTCGGGTACTATTTCAACCTCTTGATCTCTTGCTATGTCTTGTAGAATTTGTTCAGGTTGGCCCTTCCTTATCTGGAAAATCTGCATCAAAATCATCCTATATGTCATTCCATTTAGAATACAAAATATAATTTATAGAAGATAAAGGAGCTTACAGTATTATATAATAGAAACAAGAAAACTTTCTATGGAGATAACTTTGGTAACTGCAAATCAATTGGTGACAGACAGCCATTAATTCAATGAACAGAATTTCGGCTTGAGCCAACCGGTTCGAATTAGTATACATGGAATTGTTGGATATTTGCGCATACAAAGAAAGAGTTAGGACAAATAAGAAATCCGATTCTTTAAGATGTATTGTATTTTTATATAACTAGGATAGTGAAGTGAAAAATATGGAGTCCATGATATTATCTATTAGGTGAGAAGCAAAAATGTGTCTAGTTGGAGTCACATAGATTTCTTTTACTAAGAAACATTACATTAATTCAACTGTCTGTGTATGCTAGCAAGATGTTGTCATAATAAGACATGTGTCGCCATGCTATTAATAAGGTTGTTGGTTCAATTACCTCGCCAAATGAATTGCAGAACTCGTATAACTGAATTGCTGGTCCAACATCTTTCACCTCCAGATCTGCACCTAGAATGTTAGTGACCAGACTACCCCTTGGAAGCACTTTTTTATTGGGTGAAGAAACTGCGCTATTATAGCCCAATATAGATCCATTTTTGTCTTTAGCCAAGGAGCTTTCACCATCAAAATTTTTATTCACCACAATGTTGCCCTTCAGCTTTATTTGATCCCCCTCGACCAGCAATTCTTCAACAGAATTCTCTATCCGAAGGGATCTACCTGTGCTTTCCTGCTTGTTCATTACAATTGTTAACCATAATGAACCAGCAGCATACAACAAAGAATTGACAAACAGTTAAATATAATATGTATTGCCAAATAAAAACAAATATAATACCTCATCGGCAGCCCCTTGTTCTCCTTTCTTGGCAGTGTGGACCAATCTCCCTGTGGGTTGTTGTCCTTTCTTCCTTCTGCCATGCCAAACAAAGTAAGCTGCTGCAGCTATTGATTACCATTCCATATCAGCTTCTGATGGCTTACCTGCAGCAGCTGCAGTTGCAGATGCCTCTACATTTTGGGCAGATCCAGGCTTCCATCTGTCCCACTTCTTCATCATTCTCATCATACCTAAAAGAATTAGTCACAAACCAAAGCCAAGTAGATTGATATATTCTTAGAAAATCAGTTTCCTCCACTGTGGAGATGGTGAGTGTCTTCAACTATGAAGGAAAATCTCACCTGCCAAGAAAATAGAGGGAAGAAAATTCTTACCTCTTAAGAAGGCACCTATGGCAGTATTTTATTGGGCATACCCCCTTCTTAACCTGCGTGCATGCCACTGCAAAGTTTCGTTTCATTTGACGGCACTGTGGATCAAACGGAGAAATCAAACGTTAAGACATACACCATGTGACCCAAACAACAATAGAATAGCAAAAGGAAAGACAACTTAGGTCATTTACCTGGTGGCAAGCCTTGCCAGCCATCACAATTTCCATGGAAGAAAGTGCTTGGGCAAAACAGAGATCCCAGATCTGTGATGTAAAGTCAAATGAATTTGTTCACAACTTGTTCCAAGAATGTGTATATATTTAATTTCATAGGTGTGAAAAGGGAAGGCATTTAATGTACAAATCTTTTTTGTCAAATACATTTAATGTGCAAATCTGGAAGCATAAATGGTAAGCTGCTTGTAACAGATGTAAATGATTTAAATCCCTCCTAAAATTTGTAACTAGTAAATCCCTCCTAAACTATCTCTTTTCAGTTTTGGAGTGTGGAAAGGCCTAGAGCCATGGCTATATATTTTACGGTGAAGTGGTTCAACCATCATCTAACACGCTTAGAAGTGTGAGTACTGCGACCAGGCAATCTTCTATATTATTTCTATTGTATCTATAGGATTGAAGTGCTTTCAAAAGAACTGGATTTATCTAACTTATTTCTATCATTAAATGTGACAGCAACCAATCTACATGTGATTTCTATTTTTGTATCTCCTTAATTGGTCAGGTCTTAAATCATTCTAAAAGAAGATGATGCTCCTTTTCGAAAAGAACTACACAATGTAATGTTTTCATGCCTAGCATAGCTTATAAATTAATTGGTTCTATTTCTTCTTTGGGGCAAACAATAAAATAAGTAAAATTTTAAGTTTACACCTTTGATACTTCCCAAGAGAAAGATTAATAGACTATATATGATAAAAAAAGCAAGCGGCAATGCAAGTTTGCAACGATGCTATGGGCTTTATGAATAAACAACATGCGAAAGAGAGCTTGTTGCATCTTTTGACTACAAATATATATCTACAGGATACACTGCTTTTAACAAATTGGATGTATCTATAATTAATTTAGTAGAAGTGACAAATAATCCACCAACTAGATATTATGATTTGTTTCTTTGGACTTGGCAATGCCTTTAAATATGCAATCATTTTCCCTCTATCTTAATGAAATGATACACAGATCTCCTGCGTGTTCTAAAAAAATAAATATACAATCCAGAAGGTTGTGTTACTTGTGAAGAAAATATCATTTGGACTTCACCTCTAGAGGGGTTGATGTCAACATCTCTGCAACAGCCACCACATATGAACCCTTGTTCAACAATTTATGGACGGAAGTGTAACCCAACGTATTGACAGCATGATCCAGTATCTCTGCCAGCATCTCCCAATTCTTCTTTCTACCAAATTAAAAGGATCAAATCTAAGTATCTAACCTTAAAATTATAATCTACCATGGCATGCATGTTCTTCACATGGCTTACCTGTATAAACGGTAACTACACATGCCCCTGCATTTGGAGAAGTTCCAGACCTTCTGCGCCACCCCTTCTGCACTCTGGTTGCATCTGAACAGATAAAAAACAAATGGAGAGCAGAGCAAGATGCTCAGAGATTCTTATGTTGCTGAAACACACAGATAATTACCAAAAAGACATAAGAGAAATTACACCAATAAAAAAAGGGGATAAATTGCGTACATGTTCACCAGGTACTCACGACAGTATTTATTTTCACATGGCCTCCTCTTGTGCTGAGAGCTAATCATTGTGAAATCTCTTCTTTTCTGAGGTATAGCAGTAGGGAAAATATTGAATGGAATAAAAACCACCAAACAGATCCATAGTGAACCATAGAAGCTAAAGAGATTGCTCACCTGGTAACAGATCATGTGGTTCTCTAGGTCATAGATCTGGCATTCCGAGATATGGACTCCAAGTAAAGGGTAATCCTTCACCTTAAGTTGCAGTGGTTTGACAAAGCTTTCTTCAGCTCCTTCATCTCTCCTCTTGAGATCCATCCACCACAGTTTCTATGGAAGATGAATTGTAGAAAGGGAAAAACTCACGGGCACTCACATGGCAAATGAAACTTATGCTCCCCATGGCTAGCTCCGTTGGCGTATTTATTCAGTTTTGGGTTCCCTTTTCTAGGAAGGAATTTAATGTGTTCCATATAAAATAATGGTGTTTGGTGTGACGGTTTCGGAAGCAAGGGGAAGAACCCAGAAACTAGTGGTTCATGTGGAAAAACACACACGCACCAGTGTGCGCCCCATCCCGAAATCCCTTATATTATGGGACGGAGGGAGTACATGTTATTTTTATTTGTGGATACTTTTGGTTGGTAAGGTCTTAAAACATTCCAAACACTACGTGATGTTAACTAGAATAGCTTATAAAAAACCAATCAGTTGTACTTCTCTTTGCAAAAGAAGAAGTGATAGACAAAAAAAATATATTGTTATTAACTTTTTAATACTTCCCAAGACAAAGATGAATAGACTACATTGTTTTCAGAAAAAAGCAAGGGGTGATTCAACAATATTCTCTATGAATAACGAACATGTGCAAGAGAGTTTGTTGCATCTTTCGACTTCATATATATCCACATGATACATTGCATTTGAATAAATTGGATGTATCTATATTTTATTTAATAGAAATGACAAACAACCAACCTAATGGACATTATGATTTTGGATCTTTTTGGGCAAGGCAATGCTTTTAAATATACAATCCAAGAAAAGAATAACTTGTCTTGTTTTGCAGTGAGCGGTCACCATAGCTATAATATGAGACATGAGCCAAACATAATGCTGCTCTTGCAAAATGTATAAGAAAATTCCTTGTGTGCCTAAGTCTTCACTCCATCCTTCTATACATGCTCCTGATTCTTTCTTTATTCCTAGATACCACCGAGTTTACGTACTAATCACCTCAACTCATTTTGTTACTATTCGATTTTTACAAAATATCTATATTGCACCTCGCTCAAACATATCTAGCTTCATATAAATATTGAGGTTAAAACCTTTATAAAAAAAATGAATGACACAAAATTGTTTGACCCAAAATTTGAAATTCAATTTCGAAATTTTCAAATGTATTGAAACAAAATTTGATGAAATTTCAATACATAAATTACACAAACCACCATTTTTCTATTTCTCCTCTTCTTCGACACCAAAACAAATACTCCCTCCGTCCCAAAATATAGCAACCTAGTATCGAATACACAACCTAATAGTACTATAAATCTGGACAGGACAGGAGGTTTGTCCATATTTGTAGTACAAGTTTATGTTCGATCCAGTACTAGATTGCTATATTTTGGGACAGAGGGAGTATCTTTTTAATCAACTTCAACCAAATTGGAAAAAATTTCCATGGAGATAAGTGAATCTACTCTCCAAAAAAATCATCAAATTTGATTGAAACTCATTTCAAATTATAATTTTTATATTTCAAATTTGGGGTCATATAATTATATCCCCTTCTATTTTTTTAGAACTGAAACAATTTTCACCTTGAGAATGATGCTTTTTATGAAGCAACTCACCCAATGTGTATAGAGGGGATTAGAAAAAATCTAGGGCATGCAAGACAAGACAAAGCTCAATGGCATGGAAAGGATGGAGCAAAGACTCAGGGGAACATAAGGAATTTTCTAAGGTATAGCTTGGTGATCACTACAACAAAAGTATACATTCATGATGGCTCAACTAAAATGGTCGTTGATCATTGAGTACCAACAGCAATACCAAACAAAAACTACCGCTAATAATTTGACTCATGACACAAAAGGCAAGCACATTTTTTAGATTTGAGCATGTCACCAAAGTTCCTCACTTATGAGTCGAGGTACAGGATCAAGGAACACGGAATGCTATTTTTGAAAGGTTTTAAAACAAGGCTGGGATGGGACGATGATCTGAGGACAAGCAACACGGCATAATTCCATGTTTTGGCTGACTTTTGACTCATACTCCCTCCGTCCCATAATATAAGGGATTTTGGAGGGATATGATATATCCTAGTACTACGAATCTGGACAGGGAGCCTGTTTAGATTCATAGTACTAGAATATGTCACATCCCTCCAAAATTCCTTATATTTTGGGACAGAGGGAGTACTGCACTAATAAACCCACCTACTTTTCTTTGGAGATCATATTAGCCCAAACAATGTGATAGCTCAAGAAGAGCAATTTATCAAATTTGGAGATTCAATTAATAAATATTGGAGTTTAAGGACCTAGCATGAACAGGGCAAGTTCGTGATCCGGCTAATAAACTGAAAGGATTTCAAAAGGTAAATTTGATAGTGAAGTAACGCCTTCATACGTCCACCAAATGCACGCAGATTATAGTATCTGCTTCTTAGTTCTTAAGAACAAAATTTGGAACAAACTGGCAGAACTTTTGTAGGTACTAGCTAAATGTTCGTGCTTTGCTACGCTAAAAGAAAATATATCATAATATTTCCAAAATAAATAAAAGCATATCTTTCATGAAGTATATTGCCACCTTTTTTATAGAGAATACTCACTTCCGTTTAATTTTATATGTAGCTAACCATTTAGATTTAGATGTTATGTGATCTTAAGAAGTTCAAGGGGTAATATGTAAAACTACAATGGAAATAGGTGGGGTGGCAGATACACCGCCACCACCATTGGAGTCCTTTTAAATGAGTATAGATATCAGCGATTTTCTATCAAGTTGCTCTTCCGAAAGTGATGCAGCTATAATCTAAAAACAAAACTGGTGGTTACTGCTGCCTTACTAGAAATGGAAACAAACAGTTTTATGAGTTCACGATGAACATTCACAAGAAATTACTTGCAAGCATGTGTCACATGGTTCTAACAATCCTAACAATTGAAGAGGAAATTTCAACATTTCATAGTGTTTGTTCCCTTCATCTTCTTGCTATTTATTCTCTTCTTTATAATTAGACTTGACTGGTTTCCTGGATGATGGCCTTGCATTAGAACCAAAGCTACCTCAAAATCAAACAGCTATCTTTCCTCGTTTGGACCACTTGCAGAACTTTCCAGATTGTTTTTTTTGTTGGGTGATGGGTTCATGACATCCTCACTTCTAAACCCAAGCTCTGACATATCTTGCTTTGCCATCAGGTTTCTGGAACAAAGATATTTTTCACAAAGATATAATACACAAGAATAGCATGTCTTGAATTTATAATGGAAACAGCAGCATTAAACCTACAACTGAAAAACAAACTCTTCAATGTTTCGACTTGTGAGCCTGAATAGGTAGGTTGGAATATCGAAGTTCTTAAGCACTCTTAACACAGCAAGAATTTCAGGTATTAATAGAACTGTTTGATTTCTCTTAAAGTTGGCTACTACAAGCATCAAAATATCCCCCACAAGACCTTTTGCCTCGAAATAAAGAGAAACCTTCAAGACATGGAAAACAGATTGAGCTAACCATTGTATGGTAAGAGTAAGTCATGGATCTGAAATTAATATGTCAAAGTATCACCTCTCCATCCTACATTCCAGGTACTTCTTCGAGAACTGCCGACATTTTTCGGACTGAAATCCAGTTGATTTAAGGCACGCAAGATAATCTTTCTTCTCCTGTTTGAACGTGCAGTTGTCACATGACAAGTTATGACACCAAAAAAATCGGGGCAAAAAAGGTGTGCAAACTTACCAAGTCACACTCGTGCAAGTGATCCAGTGGGAACACTCCCTTTTCGGGAGGCACAGGCCTCACGCCCCGATTTCCACCAAACGCACCGCCTGCGAGAGCCCACAAAGTTATTCCGAACTTCACATTAGCATCACTTAACTTGGGAGATTAAGCAGGAAACAGTCAGTACACGAATGGATTAATGGAACCCATAAGTTCTTCACGGTTGTGACATACATCCAGAGCAAATCAATGTAGAAAAAAAATATTAATAGAGGACAAATTCAGGATCAGCACACCTGCACTCATTTCCAATGGTGATACTTTCTCAGTGCTCAAACCGCCCCACCAGAACTTCCCAGATGAGTAGCAACCAAGGGGGGAAATGCGGATTCAGTTGAAACCCTAAACTTTTGTGGGGAACAAGCAAACTGTTACTTGTATTAAGGTTAAGGCTCTGAAATTAAGAGAAGAGCTTCTTCCAGATCTAGAAGAGAAGCTAGGGTTAACGCAAAGCAAATTCCAGACAGAAGTACTCCCGGTGGGAGAGAGAGAGAGAGATGAATCAGAAATAGAATGTGGATGCTCACCAGGATCCCCTCCCCTGCCCTGCTCTGCTCGCCAGATGGAGATCGGCGCCTCTCCCCTGTTCAGCCGAGGATGGCGCAAGTAGCGGAGGAGACGAGACGGGAGATTTTCTTTTACGCGCAGGGAAGGGGAAGATACTCTCAAGTACTCACCTTTTATCTCTTTTTTTTTCTTTAAAACTGCACTTGCAAAGTTTGAGATGTGCATCGGAGATATTAAAACCATCGCAGAATGCTCGCACCATAGCGATTGTGCGGTTTTTTGGCTGGCGTGTTCGCTTCTGGTGGTATCCACATCGCCCTGCGTTGGAACTGGTCATCTTGTAAAAAAGTCCTCGATTAACTTGATAATTACTCTTACGTCCCTCACCCTATGTTCCTGTGTTTTGTACTCTTTCGTAACAGCCCTCAATGTCTTGGTATATACTATGTGAAGGAGACAAAATTCTAGATATAGGACCGCGCTCTGAAAAAAGGGAAATAAGTGTGTTTTCTGCAAAAGAGAACATCCCTATCCTATCCTCTCCATTCCCCTGAAACCCTACACATCACTGTTCTCCCGCCCTTTCTCTTCCTTTCCCCTGCCCTTGCACCGCCGCCGCCTTGCCTTACCTCCCCGGCTTCTCCTCGCCGACGACGGCTTTCCCCTCACGCTCTCCCGTACCCTCCTCCTCTCTTGGCGCTCCCTCCATCACCCCCCTCCCAGTAGAGCAAGGGGATTTAGGGACTGGATGGCGCAGCGTTGGATTTGGGTGCGGTGATGGAGTTTCGCCGGCGACGGCCTCCCCCTCGCGCTCTTCCATGTCCTGCCCATCTCCTGCCGCACCCTCAAGCACTCTCCGCCCGTTTCTCCTCGCCACCCGTTGCAGCAGTTACCCTGTTTTGTGTTGGGCTCCACGGAGCTGCGACGACGGTAGCCTCGGCCAGGAAGCGACCCATGGACCAATGGTGGGAGCATTTGGCAAGGACACACTCACTCAAGAACCAGACATTGGCCTGCGATGGGAAACAAGCTCGAGGATGCCAGGTTCGGTCGCCATTGAGGTGGTTCCCCTTTTTATTTGCTTTTCTTCAGTTTTTACTCGCTTTGCCTACCGTGAGATAGTCTTGATCTGGTTTTTTCCTCTATGTCAGATGGCTACAGACTTGATCCTTCCACTCTCACAGCCGTCAACAACATCGGGGCGATTCGTTTTGCTGCCTGGTGGGCTATTGTTTACTGCTGTCTGCTTGCTGCTGAATGAAGCAGCTAGCAAATATTGTTCCAAACTAAAAGTTGTAGTGGTTTGGTGTGATGAGGAAGCCAGAAAATTAATGGTTAGGATTCAGTGGCCTTTCATTTTATCTTTATATAGGAATTCATTCCCCTAAATCTTGCCTTTATATATTGATTTTAATTATGCAGATTTTCTGTACAATTGGCACTGGACATTCTTTCTGTATCCAATTGGCACTGGACATTCTTTCTGTATCCAGATTCATTGAAGCATGTAATATTTCATCTTTGTACCATGCTTCTATTTAAGAGGTGTGCAGACTCTCACTGTTTCGTTTGAATATGCCAACCATCATGTTTATTTTGCAATTACCTACGGCACTAGATGAAGCACTTATATGTAAATATTACTGCAGAGTGTTTATCATTTTGCTTAGGTTGCTTCTTAAAATCTAGCGCAGGTGATTGGAAGAAGGTTTAGCTGATCTTGGATATGTTAGGATTATTAGAAGCTAAATGTTTCCTTGATTTTACTTAAAGTAGCTGTTTGCCGCTTGATTTTAGCGATTAAAGTTTCTGGTCTGAAAGAAGTTAGGGTGTGTTTGGTTGGTGGGATATACCCGGATAGGACATGGCCACCGCTTTTTGGAGGGTGTTTGGGAGTGGGATAGGGCGGCCCAGAGGAGAATATTTCCTCCAGATGCTGGATAGAGGGATCCGGTTGATTTGGCCGGATGCAACCGCCCGAGGCTCGGGCGAGCCGGGCAAGCGAGTTGCGTAACTCGCGTCACCCCTCACCACCACGACGCGAGCGAGGCGACGAGCGCGGTGGCCGGCGAGAGGGGCGACGAGCTCGGCGGCCGGCGTGGGCGACGAGAGGGGGCGATGAGCTCGGCGGCCGGCGAGAGAGGCGACGAGCGCGGCGGCCGCCGAGAGAGGCGACGAGCTCGGCGGCCGGTGCGGGCAACGAGCGCGGTGGCCGGCGAGAGAGGCGACGAGCTTGGCGGCTGGCGCGGGCGACGAGTGTGGCGGGCGGCGAGAGAGGTGACGAGCTCGGCAGCTGGCGCGGGTGACGAGAGAGGAAGGCGGCGGCGGGAGGAGGCGAGCCTCGGTGGTGGGAGGAGGCGGCCGGCGGCGGGAGGAAGCCGGCGGGAGGAGGCTGCTAGCGGCGTCGGCGAGCCCAGATCTGGCACTGCTTTTTTTTCTTTTTTCTTTTTTCTTTTTCTTTTTTCTATGTGTATTTATAATGGAATGTGTATTTATAATGGAGTGTGTATTTATAATGGAATGTGTATTATGTATTAATTTGATGGGGTATATTCACCATCTCAAGTGAGAGGTGACCACACCTACAAATCCACCATACTTCCTCCAACCAAACAAAAAATTGGATCACCAAATCCACCTTTGTCCCTACAACCAAACAAAAAACTGGACCGCCATATCCAGCAAAATATGGACCACCGTATCCCATCCAATCTTGACCAGGAACCAAACACACCCTTAGTGTTCTATACAAGCATGTTGACTGTTTGATAAAAAAAATCACAATACTGACTCTGGTTTTTGAAAGAAGTTAGTGTTCTAGACAAGTACATCAGGGCTTCTGTCCTAGATCCCCATCCATTTGTGCCTATGAATCATGTTGCTTCTCAGAACAGATGGTAAATTCAATATGCAGATTTATTTACTACAGCAAAAAAATAACACTCAATATGCAGATTAGTTTTCTATTAAGCAAGCATGTATAACTGGATATGTGCTTAGGACAGAGGTGATATTGGTAGGAAAATTCCTATCCAGATTAGTTTCCTATTAAGCAAGCATGTATAACTGGATATGTGCTTAGGACAGGGGTGATATATTGGTAGGAAAATTCCTATCCAGAATCTGGTATGGCGCCACTGTAAACAGAAACTCCGTGTGTGTTTATTTCTACTTAGTGATCCTGGATCCTGCTAATATTTAGACCTTGAGATCCTGCTAATATTTGGACCTTGAATTATATCATTCCTCCACATACACAGCCTGTTGTAACTGCAGCTCTTATCTGTTCTCTCTGTTCTTACCTTGAATTATGCAGATTTTTGCATGGTCAAATTAGATAGCCATTAAAAAAACTATGGTATGTTGCTTCTCAGAGCACATGGTAGATTCGATATGGAGATTCATTTTCCAGAAAAAAAAGAGGCAATAGCAGATTAGTTTTCTGTAACAAAAAATATCACATCATTTTCTGCTGGCGATAGGAATTTGCCCAGTAATTCTGTGGCATGCTGCCACCAAAATTTAGCATGTGTCTTTCGTGTTGCTACACAGAACATATTACCTATGTGATTAATAAGATGAATATATCACGTTTGGTTTGTCGGTTTAATTAGGTGGTGTTTATAGTTCATCCTGTGATGCCTTGGATCCTTTGTGTGGTTCACCGTGGGCATGTGGTTGGGTGCGTGTGTGCCATTGGTCCTAACGCTCTATGGCCCACCTGGAAATCACCTTGGTCCATGCTGCGCCTGGCCTATGTAGCTCCCTCCCTGCCTGACAGCCTTGACTTTTGGTGCACCCCCACGTTTACCCAGCATAGCCTCGTGTTTCTCTATGCGATGTCACTATGTGCGACAGTGCGAGGCAGGCACGTTTCTTCATGATTCTCCTACCAACGTCTGGTCCACCGTAATCCCTGGTCACACGAGTGCTCCTCTCTACCTGTGTTTTGTGCGTTAGGAGCACGTTCATCCAGTGCAACGAAAGGATTGGGCAAATTACCTACTGGTTATTACCTTGGATAAATGATGAACATGCACCTATTCGTTGCAGAGCCAATGACAGGTGGGGTCGGTTTTGTGGGTTGTCCCATATACCATGTGTTATGTGTATCCAAGAGGCTGTGAGTCTATCGTGCCATGTTTTTCTAAGCGCCGCGTGCTACAGTGTCTGACGTGCCGCGTCAGGCCACATCAAATCGTCCTGCGCACGAGCCGTACCGGCATGCGCGCAGGCATCGATGCATCCGGCATGGCCCTAGCCTTTCCTATCGTTCCTCTTACCCGGTTCGTTAGTAGAGATTGAGGCCATTCAAACAGCTGCATTGCTTCGGTTGTCTTCTTGGCTCTTCTCTCATCTTTCCCCTTTTCGCTCTTACATCAATGGCCAACACTAGGTAATCTACTGCCCTGATTTATGCTCCCTGCCTACTGTTCTGAATGTGTGTGCGTGTGCAGGGGGGATCGTGGATGCTGCGCCGGCGCTGCTGCTTAGAATTTGCCTCACGCCTCTAGGGTGGTCCCCCAGCCACGCTTCCACGCCGTCTTCCTCTCGAATTTCGCAGGCGTGGCCCTCACCAATCTACCCCATAATTTCCTGCCTATTTATCGATGTTAGTTCCAATGGTTGTATTTGTGATGTATAATGTACTCTAGATTATGCATTCTTCTCCACAAACAATGTTAACATTCAGTCTATGTATTTTATGTCTACTTAATCCATCACTGGTTTTCCTCACAACCTGAATGCTATAGCTAGCGGTGCTACAGCCAATCCACTGAATAGGCTCTTCAGGGCCTCCTTATTTATTTTCCTTATTTACACAGCAAGGGCGCCACGAAGCGCGCCGTAGGTTCTAGTGCTAGTTTACAATATGATATTTCGAAATTTTCAGCAGATTTTAAAAGTTTTCATCTCAAGGGTACTTCGGTCATTAAAAAAATTACTCTCTCTGTCTCATAAAAAACTAATCTAGTATTGAATGTGACACACGAATTTGAACATACATCCAGATTTATTGTACTAGAATATATCACATCTAGTCCTATATTCAATTTTTTTTGGGACGGAGTGAGTATACAATACTAATGAATCTTACTGCACAACAATGATATATTATAGAAGTTAAGTATGGCTCAGTAGCATATTATAGAACAACAAATTCAATAGATTCTCTCTTAAAAATTTAATCTAGACAAACATGTTAGGAAAAAATCGAGAGAAGGTAACATGAAGGGAAAAATTGCTTACATTCATGGTATGGTATATACGCACATTAATCGATAATACGCTAACATTATTAAATTTGTTCTTCGCCATAATGTGATGTGAAACTAAAACTTTCACCCCATATTCTTTTGTTGTTCCATCTTCTTGTTTTCTCGTTCTTTTTTTCATTTTCGATAATAATATTGCTAGAGTCAGCCTATTACTTACACATAAATACTACTCCCTCAATCCCATATTGATCATCCTCTAAGATTTTTGAGGTTTTACCAAAATGATCATCTAACAAGTATCTTTTTGTTTATTTGTGAAAAAAGTAAATGTGTATCATTGAATATATTGCATGCAACCAACCAAGATTAATCTCAAAACATGAATTTAGGCTATGCATGATCTTCTCTCTTCTCCCTCTTCATCTCGAAGCCGACGCGGTGGTCATCTGCGTTGACGCGGGCACAACATGCAATGTGCTCGACGGTGGCGGCAAAGGATATCGGCGAGGAGCTTGTTGGGAGGGGTAGGAAGAGGAAGTCCGATGTGGCGGTAGCAGGGAAGTAGAGACCGTGGGCCTATTGGGTTGTAGTCTGTATAGGATCATAAAGGGCATTTTCCACCCCAAAAGCTAGTCTACGAGATGAGGTGCTCCCCCACTATTCTTTGCCCTTCCACAACCAATGTGGGACTATTCAACAATCTCCCCCATTCACAACATTGATGTCCCTCAACCATTCACTGCCCTTTCATCGTATCCCCACGGTCCCTCAGATATACAAGCCCGCAAACATGCACGGTCCATCAGGCCTTCACACAGTGTCTCTCGGGTCAGAGATGTTGAAGTAGTCAGGCTTTGATACCAGTTGTAGGATCGTAAAGAGCCTTTCTCACCTCAAAAGCTAGCCTATGAGGTGAGGGGCTTCCCCGTTTATATATTAGGTCATTTAGCCTTCCACAACCAATGTGGAACTATTCAACAGCCCGAGCTTCCTCCTCGTCGCTGCACCGCCGCCGCCTTGAAGCTCCTTGCTAACTCAGGACAACTCTCCCGCGAAGCGTGACTCCAATGCCTCATCTTCTTCCTCTCCCTTCGCCTCGACCTCCATGTCATGCGGCTGTGGCGACAAAGACGATGACGGCAAGGACCTGCACCGCTCCTCCTCCCTCCTCCCTCTCCCAACTCAGGGCTCATAGTGTGCCAAGGCGCACGGACTGGAAGCGAACAGGCAAGCGTGCCACCTATGGGCTCAGTGCAGCACGCGAAGAGGCTGGGTCAGTGATGCTCCGTTTCGGCCTCCACCACGCCTCCACGGATGGGCTGGCGAGCTCTCGCTCACTGGCTACCTCTCCTATTCCATCACTCAGATCCACCGAGGGCCCATCCTAAGTCCTAACTAGTCGCCCATAGCAACCACCACCGGCCACCATCACAGCCGTGCGTGGCCAAGGGAGAGGGAGGGGTTGCACCAGAGGGAGACGGTGACAACGCTCGAGCTTAACATTCACTGCGCGTCTAGGGAGGAAGAGAGGAAGAGGGGAAGAGATAGAGAAGAGAGAGAATGAGGTGGAGGAAGTGTGACCCACTAACATGTGGGTCCCACTTTTTTAATCTTATTATTTAATTGACATATGAACCCACAAATTTTGTTTTAATTTTTAAATTGAACATTCGTTGCGCGTCTAGGGAGGAAGAGGGGAAAGGGGGAAGAGATAGAGAAGAGAGAGAATGAGGTGGAGGAAGTGCGACCCATTAACATGTGGGTCCCACTTTTTAAAATCTTATTATTTGATTGACATATGAACCTACATATTTTATTTTAATTTTTAAATTGTTAAAAATTGCTTATCGTGCCATGTCAGATGAAGACCAAGCCAAATTATAGATACCAGTTTCACCGTCCAAACCTCCATGGACCTATATTGCATCAGTTTTGATAGTTGCATCGGTTTTCATAGTTGAGAAACCCGTTGTATCTCGTATTGCGGTTCAAGTACAAATCGAACTCCCTATCAAGTTAAGGACCTAAAGTTAACTTATTCAAACGAGGTGATAGATATTTTTGGCGAAGTTCACGAAAGCTATTGTCAAATTGGCAAAGCGCAGCGAAACAGATGTCAAATTGTCAGAATTTAACTGTGCTAGTGACCGCCCGAATACAAGTTAAAGGAGATTAAAGTGAGATGGCAGATGGACCTGAAAACCGTAAAATGGACAAACATTTTTCCGCATTAGAAAGCAGCAGCACGGCCATGGTGTCTACATTTTCTAGGAATATTACCATGAAAGTGCACTTTCAGGATCAATAAACCGACCATTCTGACATCATCTCATCCGCTGTTCTCTCAACATAACATACAGCCATGAGAAAATTCTTAACCATTCACATTCACATTCACCGGTTCAATTGATGCTTACCACAACTTTGCCTAGAGTTCCCGTCATCGCCTCTGCGATAATACCAACAAAATTTGATACAAATCGTGACGAAAGCAAACAATATTGCAATAAACATAATTCACCTCGGCAATCTATTGATTCTTAAATAAATAGTCTTTAACAACAAATTCTAGAATTTAAAAGTTCTGCTTGAGTTCATCGAACCACCAAAACAAGTAGAACTGGTCAACTAACAAACGGTCAGGGATGTAAATGAACTAGGGCGTACATACACTCCACATTCTTGAACCTCCACGACTAGGGTCTAAAAAATCATCGATATACTCAAGCATCCATCATATGAGCTTTCTGTATGCATTCAGCAATTGAGCATGCCTTCACGGGCTATCACCAATCCCATTTTGCTGCATACAGAAAAGCTTATCTCCTGAGAAGTACCTCAAATCAAAGCAGAAAGCTGATCTATTCTCCCATCAGATTGCAGGGATTTCCAACTATTCTCAGCGGTAGCCCCATCCTCTTCCCCGGCCTCCCCTGCCCCGGCCTCTTCCACTCCCTCTACCACCACGGGATAACCCTTCAAAAGCTCTGTTCACAAGTTGATTCCGGGCTGCTCCCTCTCCCCGCCCCTTCTTGCTCGCAGGGGTGTTCCCATTTGTAGCAGGCTGGGACCTCTTCCCTCTAAAAGATCCACAAAGCAGACTTAACTATAATGAAATGCAAAGTCTGAGGGGGAAATGGAATATTAGGTAATAGAAATCTAACCCTGTTGTTGTAGGTGCTGGTTTCTTTGGCTGCTCCATCCATGAGAGAGTGATTTTCTTGTCACCAATAAATAAAGGGGATTTCGCACGCAACGGCTGAAATGAACATTCATCACGTTTAGTTAGAAAGCATAAACATTTAGGTAGGTTAGTATTATTAGTATACACAAGCAGTATATTTCATACATTGCCGTGTACTTATGCTTCCTCCAGCAGTAGAATAAGATGTGTTTTAGACATTAACACATGCAACTTTTCCATTGTACAAATTAATACAACTACAATGGAATTTTTTGACACAACCTACTCGTCATTTTCATATATCTAAGGTAATTCGTAGAGATTGGTAGCCAAAGTTGAATTCGGTTGTGTACATGCAATTATAAAAGGCCACTTAACTTTTACTTAAGATAGTCCTGCAGTTCCTTCACAGGCCTCAAAAGCATAGTGCAAAACTCAAACCAGCATGTGAACTATTCACTCAAATCAGTCCTCGGTTCGCTGATTCAAACATGGTTTGACAGTGAGCCAGACAGTTCAGAGTATTAATTTTGAATTAAACCCCAAGCCTGTATTAAAATAAAGGCTCATATTGAAAACTTCCTTAAATAAATCACATGCCAATCTCAACACAGTTGCTTATCAGCACATCCTACACATGCAATATAACCTCAGGTAAAAGGGATTCGACTCCAAGCGGAATTAAAATGTACCAGAAAGTTTAAACATCCCAGTTTTTCTCACTATCATTGTTTCTATTAATCCAAACCAGACCGGGCCCTGGTCACAGTTTTTTTTTTGGTCTTGACTAACAGTGGTCAGATTTCGGTACTATGCTCAAAAGCAGATCTGTAACGAAAAAAAAACTCCCACTGCTATTTGCTAGTATTTTCAATAGTTCTTTTGTTATACATTTAAAATTGTAACTGGTCCACCATGAGAAGCCCAAGCAGAGAGCATTTGGAAGCTTCTTGTGATTTCAAAAATACCCTCATATGTGTCACCACATTATTCTCACATGCGATAGCATTTTGCAATTCACATATCACACAGTTCCACTAAAGTAATAAAGAAATCACCTGCGCCATTGCTAGTATGTTGTTGTAGGCCCTCATTGTCATTGTTGATTTCTGCTGATCAGATTTCTGCCAAAAGAACATCATATCCAAACGATGATCAGTTGTTGTAATTGTTTTTAAAGTCATAGTATCAATCTAATTGCCAAACAAAGAACTTGGAAACAATCTTGTAGAATATGATGTTACAAGATTCTGAGACAAGGATAAGTCAGCTAACAATAGTGCTGATCCAACACGGAAGGAGGAACATAGAAAATTTATGCAAAGCACCTAAAAACTCACAATTTTAGTTTTCTCTTCTTCAGTCTTTGCTGAAGATATTGCCTTGTTAAAATCTGCCATCCCCTGAGTTAGTCTCTTTGAGACTGCTCGAACTGTCTCTTCTGTTCCAGTTAACCTGTGCACGTGCAGCAGTAAGAAACTAGCAAATAAAACAGATCACCAAAACAAAATACCATACGCTCTCACACCATATTAAAAAATTGAAAGGAATTTTATCATAATTTATAGAAAAACGATTTATGATTTATATTAGATTACCACACCAGAATATGGCGTAAAAGATGTTTCGCAAGCTATGGGAGAACAAAATTTGTGTAAGATAATGTTGCCACACATAGCGAATGACGGCCAATTAAGAGAGTTATAACAAATTGTCTATTTTCCTCATCAACGGAAACCGCCAAGCCAAGCATCATGTTTGTTAAAATCTTAATACAAGTCTACTAGTCGAACAACCATAGAATAATTGATCTGATTCAATCCTAGGTAGAATCTTGATAGTGGCACAGGGGGAAGAAGAGAGTGGAAACCTCACATCTCTCTCTCTCTCTCTCTGGGTTATGGCGTTAAGCCCTTACGCCCTGACCCCTTGGCACACCCTAGCACTACAGCGATGCCTTAACAATCATGCAAATCACTTCCAAATTCCAATTATTCTTCAATTATCTATATGTCCATATTTATATAAAATTACTACAGATCATCCATTTACAATGTACCTTTGGTCAAATCTTCTAGTACAACCTATTATTTTATTCTAAGATTTAACAATAGATGTGACCCAGATACTAGCGTCATGGCATCACTCATTTTTTACATGTCAATTACCCCTTACCTCAGGATCATACTCAGACAAGATGGATTCCTTCACCCTAGTGCTAGATTTTTTTTGTCCACTTAAGCACGTGGTAGTCATGGTACTACTGCAACTGCCCCAATGTATGATAACTAATGATTTGGTGGAACTAATTTAAAAAATAACCATTGTCTAAGCTGTGGTTCTTAAAGGAATGCACACAAATAAAAATAGTTCAAAGAAATCATAAGGAAAATGCAACCTACCTCTCCGTAAAGTCTTTGTAATGTTCTGAGAAATCCTCTCCAAGTCTATCCGATGGTTGTCCAGTAACAATCTTGTAACCACATAGGCTGTTTGTGGTGTTTGGTGTCTGTATTTCATTTGGTCAGCACAAGGCCATCCATGAAGAAAAGACATGGTTCATAATAGATGATAAACATTCTGTCATCAAACCTTATGGGCTAAATGGTGAAAAATGTACATCAGGCACTCAACATAATTATGGTTGATATCTTCCACCTTCTTCCCAGGCATATATTTCTGTAAAAGAAAACGTAAATGCAATGGTAAGACACGACATTTATTGTGTAACACCGCGGTGGAGGGGAAACCATCTAACAATGTCTTCTAGGGGACAAAATAAAACATTAACAAAGGGGGATTGGACACCTATCAGACAGGAATTGCACAGACCTTGAGCAATTGAACAACAGGGGGAAGCAGCTGCCGTGCATCTTGTGCTGTAGCATATGGTGAGCTTGCAGCAACTGTTTTGAGCAAATCCAGTTTCTTCTCTTCAGGAATCTAAAACAGGTAAAAAAGAGGGGAAAACCTTAATGCTCTAGAAAACCTTCATGCTCTAGAAAACCTTCATGCTCTAAGATGCGAATTCACTTTGTTTTGAAGATAAACAAGTTCAAGGCATGGTGGGGAGTCTGATTGCCAAAATGATGGCAATTCAATTAGAATATCCATAGTTACAAAAAAATACGACAGACTTTTTTTTACCATGCAATGTTAGTGCAGAATGCAGAAATGTGCATGATTGCAAGAGCTGTTTCTTTATCACAAGTAAGGAATGTAACCAAATGTTTCAAAAAAAAAATGGTGTGCAAACTGCAAAATGTTACATTATGTATGACAACAAAACAAGGGTTGTAGAGCTGCCATGCATAATATAATTAAAAAGAAGCATTTACTGTTTTTTCCAACAAAGCACAGGGACCAATGTACAAGATAAAGAAGATTACCTTGTCAAAAACTGGAACAATTTGCTTAACGAAATAGTTGAGGAACTTGCTGCTCGATCCCCCTCTCTGCAGATCATGCAAATGTAGTGAAAAAAAAAGCATAAGATAAGATGACATTCACTAACAAGTACTACCTCCGTTTCAGGTTATAAGACCTTCTAGCATTGCCCACATTCATATATATGTTAATGAATCTAGGCACAATATGTCTAGATTCATTAACTTATATATTAATGTGGGCAATGCTAGAAAGTCTTATAATATGAAACGGAGGAAGTAACAATTTATAAAAAATCCATTGTTTGACAAAACAAATTGTTCGTACCATAAAGATAGGAAGAGCCATATACATGCACGACGTCCACCTCTCAATGTGGTCAATGTCAGAAACCTAAAAAGAATTAATTGAGGATGTTGAGAAAAGCATACAATCAGGTTCAAAGGAAGAGAACAAATACCTTACATACATAATTTGATATCATAACTGACATTTTTGTTATCAAGATGACCAGTTAATGACAGATTGAGATATGTAAGAGAACACCTATATTTGGACATGGCCACAATAGTAACAGAATATCGAATAGGTTGGTTGATGCAGGAGATTGCAAAATTATCCAGCATCAATACATACTCTTAGGGGTTATTTGGATCAGGGATTTTTGGGAACTGGTTTTCCTAAAATCAGTTCTTAGCATGGTTATAGGAACTAGCTGTTTCAATTATAACTAAATCAGCCTTGTTTTTAACAAAAACCAACAACACAAGCCACTCCCTGCAGCGATGAAAAGACAGCAAGTAGAACAGTAGATTCTTTGAGCGATCTGCCACATTGGTCGATCCGCAACTAGACCCAACACCATTACACCAGGCGACAAACACCACCTGACACCTTGTGTCCAACCTACTGCAGACGGCCGCTGCAGCCACTGGGTTACCATCATCACTCTGCCCGTGCCGCTCCATCCATCCTAGAGAAAGAGAGATGGAGAGAGAAAAGAGAAGTCGAGTGGAAGCAGAGGATGGTGCCGTTTGGAGGAACTGCGGAATTCAAAGATGGGTATTTGAGCATAGCCTCACTTGCCCATGTGCCTCAACATTAGCCAAGGCTGCTATGAACACTAGCGGATGATTGGTGGAGATGTGGACTGTTGAGCATAGATTGGTAAGTATTTATAGAAAAACCAAGCAGAAGTAAGATTGATAATTGTGCACGGTGAAAAGAGTAAGAGAGATGCCTGGGGTGTCTTGTGAAGCTCACAAGCCAAAATGTGTAAACAAAGGCTGGGTGTGAGAAAACATGACAGGCTACCTAGATACATTAGTTCAAAGTCCAGTATGAGCCTACATACCCAATTTCATGAGAAAAAAACATTTCTTCTTGCATTTATCGAGAACTGTTTATGAAGGTCATATGTAGAGCATAAGATAAACAACAGTATGGGTAATGCCCACTAAACATCACTGCTAAAATCATTTAAGAAAAAAGAAGGGCATAATGCGCAGTTAAGGATGACAGGTGACATGTTATCCAACTAACGGAGCCATTGTTTCGCTTATTCGCGGGATAAGCAAAACGGCATATTTGCAAACGAGAGGTAATTTGTGAATAAAACCTTTATATACGTGTTCTTAGCGATCTAAAAGCAAAGGCTGAAAAATAAACTTCAATGAAAAAAGCTCAAAATCAGCTCCAGATTTAAGGTTGAAAATTCAAATTTTGGCTGATAAGCATAAGCATAAGCGAAAAGATGAGGCCCTAACTTGCTTGATTATGATGCGTATATGTAAATTAGCTCCAGGAACATTCAAAGAACATACTTACATTGAATTGTGCATCAAGATCAGCTTGTGCTTGAATGATTTCAATCAATTCCTGGAACGACTCTCGAGGAGCGGAATCCCCAAATATACTGAGACTCCGCAGGAAATCCATGAATAATTTAAATTCCAACCCGGTTACATCTAGCACACTCTGAATTATAACAGCCATTGTCAAAGGTCATCACACAATGTACATGGAAACTTAAATCACTGAAAAAAAAATCAGACAGCCAAAAACTGAAATAATGAAGGCATACTTTCTTTATCAAATCAGTTATATATCTTTCCATTTCTGCTTGAGGTTTCAGCAGCTCTGCTTTAACAGGGAAGACCTGGAAAAAAGATCAGTTATTATTTTCTGGTAGAACAGTGATTGCCCATGCCTACAACTCGAGTAATTCCTATGTGTAACTATTTACCTTATCTTTAAGGAAACAAATAACTTTTTCACGAATCTCTGATCCCGACTCCACATGCTTAAATAAAGGCTGCAAGGAACCTGGCCCAAAGAAGGTACAAATCAATAAAAGCAGCCAATAGAAGTATTTCATGAAGCCAACTTGCATACACGTCAGACCATTACTATTAAATAGAACTAGTCATTCAACACCTGCAAGGATATAATATCATACGAGCTCTGACAAAATCATGGGGAAAGGGCATGTCAACAAAACCATAGCAGGGATCAACAAAGCACCGGTTCAAGAAAAATCAGATTCTAACTCTGTCATACTATCCCCGTCTCAACCAAGAGCAAGGTAAAAAGAATGGTTATTGATTTTAAAGGCATCAGAAACTCAATAGACATGCTACTTTTAGAAAGATAAAGAGTCTTACAGACAGTTCACCAAAAGCAAAAATGTCTGTGCACCAAGCTATCGAACATTCATCTTCAAATTTCTCAGAAACCATGTGGATATGGAATAGTGGGATGCCAACACAATACAGATTGACTCTCTTGGTCTTGTAATCATTTAGCATATATTGATAATCATTCAGCGCATATCGATAATCATTCAGCATATATCAATAATCATTCAACGTATATTGACAATGATAACTATCCATTTTAAAACCAAAATCATGTGTACAAAATTAATGAATCCAAAATACTGATATCACTTTTTTTTGATAAATAGCTTAAAATACTAAGAATCCTGAAATTTAGATGGCATGGCTGTAAATGCATTTCTATAAATGCAGTTTACATTACATTTAGATGGCATGGAATATATGTCATTCCTAAGAAACACTACTATTTTTCAAGTACCAAATTCTAAGGCCAATATATATTAACAAAATGCATTCGTGGATAACTGAACTAGCGATAGACCTAGTTTTGTAAGTCTGTAACTAATCGCATGAACATATATTGATAGTACAAGCTATCTTGTTTCAAAACACTGGTTCTAAAACAAGAAAATAACAATAATGTGTTGTGTCCAACACATATGTCGTGATAAATTGAATGAAAAAAGTTCAGATAGTACACAAACTGGGACTAAATAAACATAAATCGGTTGGCTGGTTCTCCTGGTTTCTAAATTTACATGAAGGTCCAATAAATTGCCACTAGGGATGAATCTGGAATAAAAAAAATATTGGTGGTAGAAAATCAACAAAGTCATCTAATGTTGTTGCCTTGAGCACAATCTACAAATTCTTTTTAGAGCAACGATAAGATATACTTGAATACTCAACAGGTGTACATCCCAAAAGGAAAATTCATGGCAAACTAGGTCAGTAGTTCAATGTTCAAAAAGAGTACATATTCAGAAAAATATTTGTAAGGTGACAAACAATGAGCAAATGGTTACTGAAAGCTTACTTTTAACATCCTGCCGTATAAGCGACATCAGTGCTTTATGAACAGCATCACGCTCCACATTTTCCTCTAAAATACATGCAGAACTCAGAAGAATGCAAATGTGTACCATTTGATCCAAATTAAAAATAGCAAAATGATTGTACCACTTGCAAGGAGTTGTCCAAGGATATCGGCAATTTTTGAGACAAATTCTGCATCTTTGGCAAGAAGTGGAAAACCACGAATAGCTTGTATTCTAGTCTGCAAGAACATTTAAGGAGGAGTTAATCATGCAGAATTAATGGAACCTGAGACACATAATGCATCCATATTGATCTAAAGAAAACTGAAGACGTAATGATGATATTCTAACAAATGTAGTTTATTTCTGAAGAAGAGCTCTTGCTTGCCTTTACACATGAGAAACAACCATTAAGTGACAAAAGACTCTTAAGTATCAAGTAACCAGGGACAAGCATGAGAAAAAACCATTAACGGACAAAGGACTGCATTACTCAGTTCATTTGTTCAGCATAAATACATTAAGTCATATATGAATATCAGAAAGCAAATGGGCATCAAAATTGGTAGGAACAGTCTAATTTTCTATATGAGAACCGAAAACAAAATGCACCAGATACATATTTCCTAGTTACCACATATCAAATAGTTTCTTTCAAAAATAAAGGTACAGTTTCAGTTAGATAGAATACTCCAAGAAAAAAATATTATAATATTTTTCCACAATGTGCATTTCGATTGTAGGGTCTATTTGGCTTGTAGCCACTTTCAACCCAACTACCTTTATTGGTAGGGTAGCAATTGTTACAGGTTACCAAGATTTGGTATTTCCAGAAGTTCACAGTCTCAAAATCTCTACTAAGATATGGTACGGCTTCAAACCAAACATAATCCCAACACTGCCAAAATTTGGTTCGTGCAACAAACCAAACAAGCCCTTAGTAGCAACAACGCATGGATAAGATAATAAGAGCTAGAGAAGAAATAATTGAAGGCTGGGAAGAGTGACCTTGTCTCTTCTTTCTCTGAGTTTGTTCATGAAATGATGATGTTCAACATGAAGAAATAAATGATAGATGAAATCCCAGTCAACGCATATTGTTTGCACATATTAGGGAAAAAAGCTTCGTTGGCAAACAAAAGAAAATGATGCGCCTAAGCAAGGGGCAGAAAATGTGGCACGATTTTGCCAAAAACTCAGTGGACCAAGCAAGTTACCTAAACAGGAAAGACCTGAATTCCAGACCTTAAACATATAAAAGCTCTAGCAATTCAGGAATTTTGTTTTAAACGAATGGTTAAATTAGCAAATAATGCAAGTGACTCGTTCTGTAATTCTGTAAAGCTAAACTAGGTCGTACACGAGCAGCATTATCTGGATTCTCGAAAAGGGAGAGTGCATACCGCGAGTTCCTCCATGTCGACGAGGTCGAACATGGCCTCCATGGCGCGCGGGGCGAGTGCCGGGAAGCTCCGGAAGAAGCGGGGGATGAGCTGCGCCGCGAGCTGCTTCGCCTTCACGCTCTGCCCCTTCACGGCCGATATGATCGCCTCGTAGTCCGCCGCGTGCTGCGATGCGGAAGGCCGCCCCCCGAGCAAAACGAAACCCCGTCAAAACCCTAGGCGGCGGCGGCGGGGCCCGTAGCGGCGAATGGAGCAGGCGGCGGAGGGGGGAGCGGAGGCGCACCTGGGACTTGTCCTTGGCGGAGGAGAGGCGCTCGCCGAGCTCGTAGAGCCGCTCGACCTCCGCGGCGTCGGCGTCGGAGGCGGCCATGGCGGCGGGGGAGCGGTGTGGGAGATTTGGGGGGGTTAGGGTTTGGGAAGGGAAGGGAAGGGAAGCGGGCGGTAAAAGATGGCTGGCTCACCTACGCAACGCAACACGAGAAACCAGTGAACTCAAGAGGCAGGTGGGTCCCGGTGCTCAGTGTGTTATTATCATTCGGGAAGCCTCACGTACCTTCTGGCGTGTGGATTACTTGTTTTTCTTTTTTCCAATAAAAAAATAAACTTGTTTTTCTTTTGAGACTAATCTTTATAAACGAGTAAATGGGAGATGAGGTAGCAAAATCAACTACTTCCTTCGTTTCACAATGTAAGCCATTCTTTATGTTAATAAATCTAGACACAATGTAAGTCATTCTAGCATTTCTTACATTCATATTTATGCTAATGAATCTAGATATATGTCATTCTAGCATTTCTCACATTCATATTTATGCTAATGAATCTTCGCATAAATATGAATGTGAGAAATGCTAAAATGACTTACATTGTGAAATGGACGGAGTATAATTTTATTTTTCTTAAAAAAAACTCTAAATAGTTTAGGGCTCCCTTCGTTCGAAATGTATAGTAGGTGAACGTTCGCCGACTAATAATCTAGCGAATCGCTCAGATAGGGAGGATTAGAGGAGGCGGGATGGAGTGGTATGTGTTCTTTCTTTTCTAATTTCTCTTTTTTATACGATTTTCCTGGTACGTATCAAGCATATATATTCTTATCTTTCCAATTTTTCAGTTTGCCTTTATTTACGTGATCCTCATTGTACGTCAAGATTTCTTTTACCTTCTTTTTAGATTTCCTAGTTTTATTAATAGAGATATTTTTATATGAATTATTCACGTGAAAACTTTCTACATATAAATTTTACATATATAATTAAAATTTCTACGCATATCCTTTATATATGTAAAGTTTCTTTATATAGACTTTATATATAAAAAGTTTATATGTAGAAAGTTTGTGTTATAAAATGTATATGTAGAAAGTTTTAATGAAAATAAATTATAAAATGAATTCTGCTTATAAATTTTATATAGAATTTATATATGCAATTAGCAAATTTAGTTTTATAAATATCAATGGAAATAAAAAATATGCTAATCAGCTCTAGATATTTTTGGGAAAAATATAATCTTATCATCAAAACAAACCTCAGAATAAACGCTAGTCATGCTGAGTATGCGTAGATTTGGTTTTTAACCAAAGATCGACGCTAATCATCATTAGACGCGTAATTAGGCATATAATTAGGGGGAAGCCTGCCGGTTCGGATGTAAAGAGGGATAAGCTGTTGTAACGTTCGTGAGCCACGAACGTTCACGTACTAGACGCGTCCCCCATCGTTTTGCAGAAGTTGTTGCTTTTCAGCACAACTTGTGCTAGGCTGATGCTTATCTATAACTATATCTATACTAATATAAAAAGGAGTTGCCACTTCCAATCCTACAGGTGAAATCATCATCCCTAATCCCTACCGTCCATCCGCATCACATCACATCATCTACCATGAGTTTGCAATGCAACAGGTGAACTCATGCATCCACGGATCCAATCACCAACGGAGCAATCTCCTCCTCAATTCTCGCAAATGTCGCCCCCATCATCATTTCCTGATTACTCCCCCAATTCATGCTCCTCTTCCCCGGGATTAAACATCACACATTCGGCGCCGTCCCTTGCACCACCATGCGATGGAGAGATCGCTTCAGGTATCATTGATTCGCTGCACCTTGATCGTCACCAGGCCACTATCTCCAACTCTCCTCGCACCGCTGTCGCCTGACGACCAACGGACGGACCCTTCGCTATGCGCGGTTCCGCAAGATTGCTGGGGCACCTCCGCTACACCTCCGACGTGCCTCGCGATAGGCTCTTGGTCGAATTGGCATGACTACATCTTGATGGCACCAGCACCGGAGCCGACGTCCGCTTTCTCCGGCACCAACCTTGTTGCCGGCCGCTGGCTTCAGCAGTTCTGGCCATCTGCATAATCAGCCAACCAACATGCTTGGTTGTGTGTCGTCCACTGCTTTCGTGCGAGCATAGAGGACAGGTTGTTGCTCGGGGCACCACTCCACCAGTTGGACCTGATTGGTTCGATCAGACCGGTTGGAGCTGACTGGTTCGATCAGATTAAGGGTATCCAAAGTCGAAACACATATGAGAATTCATATGCTCCCTTCTGATTCATTTGTTTAGTACTTTTGTGAATGAGCATAGATGAGCATCCATGAATAAATTACATATATATTAAGTAGTTCACAAAGTAATTATATATCTAACCTGAGTCTATGTAATATAGCAGTTCATATGTGTTACCTCCCTTTTTTTGTCTAAAGAAAAACATTATTGCTTCAGAAAGAGTTGTAAAGTTTTGGGATACAATTAACTAACAAGTTACACATATCTGACAGGTTATGTGTTCAAACTTTTTCCCGGATCGGCATTATAGCAGTTTAAAAAAACATTCTCAGAACATGATGGGCAGCGGCCTTCGTTTCTCTGGGACCCCAGGTATCCCTCATCCCCTGCGGCAATTTGTTCAATCGAATCATTAAGAGTAGCGATGGTCAAGCAAATAGGAGTGGCTTTTGACTAGGAGAAGAAAATGCCTGACTCAATGGTGTGGCAAATGCTGCATCAGACGGTAGTTGGCGGGACCTGTGCTTTAGAATAGCATGTGTGGAGCTGATCAGTATAGTGGGTATTTAGAGATGTTCTAATTCTTTGACTCTTTTGGTTCGATCTCCCTTGGTTATAACGAAACATTCTTTTTTTTTTACTTTTGGCATAGAAAGCTAATTTGCACAAAAATTATGGCTACGCCCAAGGATGTGGTTAAAGTTGAAAAGTTTGATTTTATTGGTTATTCCTGAGAACATGAAAGATTTATATTTTATTTCTGTAGCCTAAAAAGGTAGATCTGAATTTCTGATTTAATGTGGCACTGCAATCCACCATTTGATACTGCTAGCCATGCTAAAAAAAACTACCATAATTGTCTCTACAGTTAATACAAGCATATGCAGATATGCTGGAGATGGAGTAAGCATAATGGAAGAACAATAGGCCTTTATTTGATGGCTTTTAGCTTTAAGATGCTCAATGAGGAGGGTCAAGGAGATTTTGTTCTTTTATTTGCCATTGATTGGCCTTTGGTTGATATATCTGATTTCATGTACTCCACAGGTACAACAAAAAGGTAATATCCATATATGCAGGATTATTTCTTTACTTTAGGTTTTTTACTATTTTACTATGATTAGACAAGGATAAATGGATATATTTTGTATGAACCTATTAGATAAACTCAGCTTAGTGTATGCAGAGGTACAAGCATGAACCAGTTGATTCTGAATAGGAATTACTACTACTCTTTTTTTTTACGAATTTGAGTGTGTACCTTTTCATTAGCATGGCTTAAATGCTTCCAACTAGCAGTAGTTGGTGAATTGATAGAATTTTGGTGCTTTTTGGTGAAATATATTCTCCAAAGAGATAAACCTTATTTTAGATAAAGAAGATATTTTATTTTGAAGCAGAAGATGTGCTATATCCCCAGCCTCTGCCCCAGGGGCACGCGGCGCGACCAAAACACATTCCATGATGCTCTAGAAGTCTAGAACTACTACAACATACATAATTTTATTTTTATATCAAGCACTACTACAACATACATAATTTTCATTTTTATATCGGCATTGATCTGGGATTATCCTAGCCATTGCTCACAAGCTGCTAATAGGCATTCTTTTTATTTTCTTCTTTGCAAGAGGAGGCAACCTAGTGGCACCTTTGACCACAGGTTTAGAGGATGGAATTAGGCACAACGTGATGCATATGACTTCAGTGGAGCAATTTTATCAGGATTGCAGGTTTGGAGGATGGCATTAGGCAAGGTGATGGACATGACTTAAGTGGAGCAAGTTAATCACGATTGTAAGTTTGGAGGACACCATTACTTAAGCATATTTGCCTATCAGAATAATATTTGACATTCACATGTTTGTACTTACAGATCGCTTGATCTCTCAGTTCTATATTTCTGCTGACAACTACATGACCATATCTACATGTTGCTCAATGTTTTGATTTTCTGTGAGCTAATTAAAGTTATGAGTTCTTATAGCTTAAGTACTGAAAGTTTACAAATTCACCAATAGATGTAAGGTTTGTCTGAGTTTAGTGTCTGACCTTGACCCTTGCAGTGTGTGTAAACAATATACTCATGTTACCTTTTAAGGTTACGATTTATTCTCTACAAATTCATACTAAATTCATATTATACAAGTTCATACTTAACAATTGATTTGGATTTCTAGGTATTTATAAAATCCAGATTATTTTGTGAACATGAACATGGAATGTATCTAAATTCTGCGTGTGGACACAGCCTTGCCATGTTTCTCAAGTATGAATATATCCTTGCACACACTGTTTCCCCCCTATTTTTACTTTTCTTAAATATATATTATACAAATGTGCTTTTGATTAGGTAACTTTTCTCTCTGTTGTTGTAGCTATCAAGTTGCTTTCTTGTGTGCTTTTGATGAAGTCGCAGACTTTTATCGGTCCCAGCTTATCACAAGTGAAACTCGACATGGCATAGTTGTTGCCACGGCATTGGAGGTTGATAAAGCTTCAAGTAAGTCGTATTTTCATGTTTCGATCAATTCACTGTCTTTTACTTGCTGTCATTATCAAACACGAAAGACATTTATGTTTCAGATTGCCTATCCACCATAGCTGCAACTACAATAATGTTTTTGCACAATCGTGACTACCAGCGGTATGCTTTGTTGGAAGGTACAACATCTCAATATTTTGCTATTACTTTTGAAGAACCATTAACAAAATGTATGTGCAATCTTTGTTAAAATGGATGCAGAGGTGAGAAACTCCTTGTTGAAAGAACCAACCCTACATGACGCCATTAAGATTGCTGTGACCTATAGGAAGCAAGAGCTACTGCAATTGGAAGAACAAAACAACGATCTAGCAGAGCCAGAAGTGGTGATAGTTGAAGATGATGAAGTGGTGATTGAACCAGTGCCAAAAAAGAAGCGCACTGGCAATAAGGGATTCACTATCCCTGAGGAGTTGGGGAGGGGGGGGGGCTAATGCGATCGGTCCCCCTCCCCCGCTCCGCACTCCTCCCACTTCTCCCCTTCCTCCTCCCCTTCTTCTCTTCCTATTACAGTACACCACAAAAAAATTTTAAAAAAATAAAAAGTTAGAAAAATTTATGTATAAAAAATTTGAATTCAAATTCAAATTTGAATCGGGTATGTAAACTTTTGACTTATAAACTTTTGATCTATAAACTTTAGATGTATAGAAATACTATATATAGAAAATATTTGAATTATTTGAATTCAAATTCAAATTTGAATTGGATATAATTCAAATTCAAATTTGAATCGGGTATATGAACTTTAGGTCTATAAACTTTAGGTGTATAAACTTTAGATGTATAGAAATACTATATATGAAAAATATTTGAATTCAAATTCAAATTTGAATCGGATATATAAACTTTAGGTCTATAAACTTTAAACTTTAGGTGTATAAACTTTAAATGTATAGAAATACTATATATAAAAAATATTTGAATTCAAATTTAAATTTGAATCGGATATATAAACTTTTGACTTATAAACTTTTGATCTCTAAACTTTAGATGTGTAAACTTGAGGTGTATAAACTTTAGGTGCATAAATTTACTAAAATAGGAAAGTAATACGGTGCCAAAAAAGAAAACCAGGTGGAGGGAGGGAGGGGGAGGAGGGGGGGGAATCGATCGCTCTGCGCGAGCGAGGGCGATCGCTCACCCAGTAGCATTTCCACCAGGAGTTGAAGTTATCGATATACCCTCTACCCCTTAGGCATAATAGTTATAGGAGAAAATGTGCACAACTCAATCATTTTGCAGTCCCATTGCGCCTTTTAGAATAAATAATATTGTGCACCACTATCATAGTATGGATTTTGGTTTATGCTATAGAATGTTTACTATTTATCAAATATAAATAGTGTCAATGGCAAATAATGGTGGTGCTTGCGGTTTAATTCTTTTGTGTAATCACTAGAAGTAAGCATGCACTGTTATAGGCCCTTCGTGTCATATTTTCCCTTTTTTAGGGAAGGGGGCAGATATGTTATAATGCCACTGCTCAATAATAAATTTATTCATAGTTTATATTTTGTTTAGTTAGATGCTAGACTATGAAATTTCATCACCTGTTGTCAAGCTGGAGTCCCCAGTGAAAACCTCTGTATGGAACCATTATGCTTCAATTAAATTCCATCACCTTGGAAAACTGGTTTTGGGTAATAGTAATCCCTGTAATCTGTATATTTTGGTGTGTGCCTAATTGTATGCATTGAAAGATTGCATTAAGTTATGAGCACTAACCAAATGGACAGGCTTGCTTTCAGTCTCCTAACTTTTGCCTAATTGTCTCTATTCCTCTGAAATCCGTCATGCATGTGCAGCGTTTTGAGGATTTGGATAAACAATACTTTATTGTCAAACTTGACGATGATGACTTCTCACGCACTGAAAATCATCACCATGGTTTTTCATTTTTATCATATGAATTACTCTTTGTGGTTGCTTAAGGAATAGTGGACTTCTAACTGAATATGATACCGATGTGCCTTGCACGTGCACGATTACTAGTAATATAAAAAGGAGGAGTTCACCCCTCCAATCCTACACGTCAAATCATCACGTGTTATCTCACCATCCACCACTGGGTCAAATAATCTCATCCGTTATTCGATTCGCTAGGAGAAATCTCTCTTCCACCAATTTCACTCGGTGACCCTATCCTCTCCACCACGCTTTCCGCCCGCCCTCACGCCACTGCACGATGACTCTGTACCCGCGCGCTACTTGCTCCCTCCTCGCTCCTCTTCGCTCCCCTCACCTCGTCGTCGCCATCGACGAATCGCCAAACCCTATGCGATGCCACGCCCTCATCTCTCCCATGCCGACAGCTGCTGACGCTGTCGTCGATCCTCCGTCTTCAAGGGCGTCTGCACGTGCCGCCTCTCAAGCCTACGCATCGCTGCCGTCCGCTTCATGGCGACTCGGTCGCTCCTCCACCTCTGCGCACGGTGCACCTCGGTCTCCTCCTTGCTCCCCTTAGCCATCGCCGCCGTCTACTATGCCACGCACGTCCACCGTTGGCCCAGGTCCCGCTGTTGTCCGGTACGCCACCACTGAGGTCTCCAGTCCACACATTGGTTGACCCATCCTGCTACCACCAAATTCGTCTCCCTCAGCGCAAAGCACGGTAGAATCAAGATGGTGTTTGGCAAAAGGATTCATATCGGAGTGCATCAGATGGTACGACTGATTCTTGCCCTATGTCACCAACAATTTCGATTGACTTTAAATTCGTTCAGTCTGGTATATGTCCTGATAGGATCACCTCTGCCAACTGAGTACTTCTGACAGAGTGAAACATCTTGATGCCTATAATGTTTCTGGCTTTTGACATTCCTTGCATGCTTTGACACTCATCCAGTCTGATTGTACGGTGGCTTTTCTGAATTTTGTGATGATGAAAATGGCCTTGGCCTCCAAATATCTACCATGGTGAGCATCGCCAAGACCCTTGCATAGCGTGGCTTGGTCTCAGGCATGCCCATGACGAGGGGTTCTTGTTGGACTCCCTGGTGAGCATCCTAAGCTGCGGTCAAGGTCAGCAAATTGCTTGGGTGTTGGCTTCCTAGATGTTGGCACGATCATTGGCCTAGCTAGAGGCCAAGGAAAGAAAGGATCAAGAGGAAGGAAAAGGAAGAATATGACAAGTAGAGCAAGGGGCATATTTAACCTTGCATATTGTTTCTCTCTTAGTTAGTCGGAAATGGATATTTTAATGGACATAATGTCCAATAGCAAATAACCATTTCTTGAGAGTGTCCTTCCCAAAGATTGATTTCTTAGCAAAATTTGCCTTTTATATTTGGAGTCGTGCAAAATATTTTGTGCGTATAGATGTTCCCCGTGTACCCATCTCCCTCCGTCGCTGCAATGTGTAGGATCAAGATGTCAACTAGAGGGAGGGTGAATAGGCGATTTAAAACTAAATAACACCTAATCAAAACTAACCTAAGTTGCTAGGCTCGGCGAGGGACAAGTCTAACTAAGCAACTAAGTTATATTTTGCAATCCTAGGGTGATATGGGCTCAAATATGTATCTACGAATGTAAATTGCACAAATCTAAATGTAACAAGTAAATGAGACAAGAGACAAGGAATTTTTCACCGCGGTTCGGAAACTCGCTGTTTCCTAATCCCCGTTGAGGCGAGCCCAACTCCACCACTCAACCATGAAGCCACCGCATGCCACTTTGTCAAGGGTGGGCAAGGCGGGAGCCGGCACACGGAAAGGACTACCCAAGCCTCGATCACTAGGGGTAGTTCTTCCTTCACTCCGAAGGTGGTGAACTCCAAACCACTCACAAACCGGCGCCGGACCTCCTCCGTAATCTCCTCGGAGAGGTTACCGAGCAACACCTCCACAAGCTGTCTAGGAGGCGGTAACCTCCAAGAGTAATAAGCGATGACCCGGCTCGGAGATGATTAAGTGCCACACTAGCTCTACAATGGAAGCAATGCACTTGACCCTTGGCTAGAACAACTCTCAACCATAACAATGGATGAACACAAGCTCGAGTGAATGTGGGAGAGATGCAAGGGTTGTATGCAATTGAAGTGAGTGCCAAGAGAGACCCCTTGCTGCTAGTGGGGGAGTACTTATACTCCCACCAACCAAAACTAGCCATTGGGGGCGAAATCCCCCAACTCAATGTATTGCCGGTCAGACTGCCGTTATGTGGCCGGTCAGATCATGCTACTTTGTAACGGCTAGAAAACTAGTCGTTACAGGGCAATAATTGAACCTACCACTAGGGGCTAGTCAGACCAGCCTCGGCTCGGTCAGACCGCCACCGGCTCGGTCTAACCGGTTACGGCTCCGGCGGCTCGGGTTTTCCACCCATGGAGCACCCAACCAGTACACGACCGAAATCCCCTGGGCCAGTCAGACCGGGGTTCACTTGCCGGCCAGACCGGCCGACCTACGCCGGTGAGACCGCCACTAGGGGCCCGGTCAGACCGGCCTTGGTCACCCAGTGCAGACACAAGCAAATATTGAGACGAGTCTAAATGCAAATGACCGAATGTAGCATTTTGATCATCTCTTTGCTAGGTCATTACCCCTCTTAATAGTACGGCAGAGCTATAAACAAAACTAGCACAATTTGATCGCCCAACTCCTCGATCAATTTAAAATTAAAACACTAGTTTATCATCTTCTTTCCTTTGCTTTGCGCCATCAAATTTTAATCCTTCGATAATTATCTATGCACACATATCACGTGGTCCTAACACAAAATATATAACTCAAAGAGAACGGTTAGTCCACAATTAGTGCTTGTCATTTAATTACCAAAATTAACAGCGGGGTCTAGATGCTTCACAATGAAGTTGCCACATGACTCATTCGAGCTTGGTTAATAAGCTATTATTTAAAATATAAACATTCATTAATTTGTCACGGTGTAGACATTTGCCACAATTCATAATACACATATTGCCTAATAGGAGATATTTCTCACGAAACACATTTTGGCAACTTTAAACACATTACAAGCACAATACATATGCTCCACAATTTATTTATCCAAGCATGCATCGTCAACAAATAATGGCATGTGCATGGATATATCAACATGAGACGTCTCCAAATAACATCATTACATCGCTTAGGGAATTTATAATAAATTGGTCCATAAAAATAAAAATAATCATCTTACTAAGGGCATTGGGGGTACTTCCATGGCCTTTCCTCGTAGCCTCCGACTGAGCTTCCTTTGCACGACATGCCCTCTCACGCATCATCCCATATTCAGCCATGCGCTCTTCCTTCTCCTTACATTCTTGATCCTCCTTTATCTTCTACTTGAATACTACCTGAATGATAGCTTCTGCCTACACAAATCCTCCATGTCTTTTTGACGGACATCTATGGGTGTGTTTGGTAGGGATTCTCGGTAGAATTAGTTGAAGCTAAGCCAAACGGGCAATTTTTTTCTTAGCTTCCAGGGCGAATCAATTGGGATCGATTCCCCTTTTTATGAAGCAAGGGTGAATCGGTGGAAAGCTAGCTAGCTTCTCATGAGAATCAAGCCAACCAAATATGAACTTCTCCATAAATTTTCTCAAAAATTACTCACCTGCCATTGGGTATACCCCCTCTGCAGTGCTATCAAAACAGAATGCTTGAGCTCGCACCCATCGGTAGGGTTGCAAGAGCTAGGAGACGATGTGCTACACCTAGCTCTGCCCTCGCTGGTGGCGTCTCCTGGCCACACCCACCACGCCCTCCTAGGCGACACCACCTGTCTCCATCTCCTCCCTCGGCCCTGCAGAGACATGCCGTCGCCACCGCTGTTCGCTTGGTATCCAGGACACCTCCGACACCAGGCAACGATGCCACTGGTCTCCTTCTAGCCCCGCCACCGCTTCCCCATCTCTTCGAGCTCCCTAGGCATGAACAACAAAGGTACTAATCCCCTTTCCTTTGTTGCAATAATTTCCTCATTTCCATTCCTTTTCTGATATATAGTGGATTTTATCCCGTGGATTTGTGTATATGTGACAAGATTGTAGTGCTGATAAATACAAATGCATTGTGTGTTAGTTGACTTGTGTAGATCTAAAGATTTGTGGCTCCATAAATATATTTTAGTGATGTGAAATGCCTATGATTATGACAAGCTCAAGATAAAAATGATTTTGTTCTGCATTTGGTGCAAGAACTAATGGCTTTGTATCTGGTGGCGCATTTGCAGTCATGGCCCCCTTTGACGCCTTCGTAGTCACCGCGCTGCCCCAGACTGGAATTCAAGCTGCGATTTTTTAGGTGTTTCAGAGATGTTTCAGTTTCAGAGTATTCTAGTTCCAGAGGTATTCTAGTTTCAGAAATTTAGACCAACACCGTGTCTCTCCTAATGAAGATCGGTTCATTAGGCGGAATTGTGTTTATAAAATGAATTGGAAGAATGGCCAACTTTGGCAATTTGAAAATCTGAATAGTAATTATGCGAATTGTCAGAGTCAGTGTGGCAAATATTAATTGTGTACGTAATGGCAACATGAATGTTAATTGGAGCAAACATGAAAGCCAATTTTTTCTGTACAATTACAGTAGTGCACTATGCACATGTTTTTAATTGGGAAAATTGGTTTCATGGCATCGAAATATCTTGTTACAAACACTTTATCTTCAAGTTCTTACATTAGAATCTACATCTAACATTTCTAGCCAAACGTCTAAAGCTACTGATTCAGATTCTCTTCAATATTTGTTTCAGGAAGAATCAAAATTGCAGAATCATAATCATATAATCTGGAGCTCTACCAAACATGCCCTATATCTATTAATTCCACAAAGTCACATAGAGGCTGAGATGGCGTATGGTACCATCACATATGACAACATATTAGCAACAATAAAAAAAAATATAATGATTGAACAACCATAATACAATTGAAATTACCTCCACTGTCTTCTTGGGCTTTTCTTTCATCCCTTGTGGCTTGAGCTTCTCCAAGGACTTTGCGATAATTTGTGCACATCTAATAGCTTTCGCGACAAAAAGTGTTATCATTTTCGCTAATGGCAAACTTGTGCAGGTTACTCTACCAACACATGGGCCAAGGAACCCCCGGCAGTGGCCATTGATGATGCATAGACCCAATGAATCCATCACGACCAACAAACTTCAAAAATAAATACGAAATACATATAACTGCTATTGATTTCGACGCATTCCACTCTATCACGTCATATAAAATACAACCTATATTCAATAAAGTTGGTCAATAATTATTTTTTTCTTAGCTATAACTTTTTCTCTTGAACCTCATCCAACATAACCAATGCACTACAATCACAAACCAGTAAAAAATATCAACATCCAAACAACCCACCTGAAAGGTCAAGTTGGGACATCCATAATGTGGTGCAAAAATAGTCCATAAGTAATATACGAGTAATATTCTATTCAGCCAGTTATTATCATTGTGCAACTAGTCCATATAAAAAAACAAAAGTTACCTATATGCTTATGAACTACCTATATATATATATATATAATAAATAATAGTATCTATCTCTACTTCTCTCTTCTTCTAATAATATCTTGTATCTATATATGTTGTCGAGATTGTTATAAGTCCTATTTATATGAAAGGTGGTGTTTGAATCTTCTGAAGATGAAGATGAAGATAAAGATGAAGTGTTTCACGCAAAACGAGGTGGTAATAACATGTGATTAATTGGGCTTTAATTATTACAAACTTGAAAAATAGATTAATTTGATATTTCAGAACAACTTTCATATAGAAAGTTTTCGCACGAAACGCACCGTTTAGCAATTTGAAAAACGTACCACTTTTATCGAGAAGCTTAACCAACTCTTGTTGGAGAAAAAACCAGGCTTTTATCATATACATTGGTGATGCCCCACATGCTGGAGGGTTGAATACTTGAATAGGCAATTAAGGTCTGTTTAGATTTCAACTTTTTTTCTTGAAACTTCTAACTTTTCCATCACATCGTTCCAATTTTTTCTAACTTTCCATGTTTTAGCGTGTAACTAAACACAGCTAGAAACTTAAAAGGGTTAATTAGACACATGCCATTACTAATTTGAAGGTTTGGAAAAATGCAATTACTATTTGACAAATTGTAAAGATGCCATTACAAATCGCACGATACTGGAAACATGCCACGTTCTACGCCTGATCCGCGATTGCTGACCACATGTGACTAAAATTTGTTCTTAATGACCAAAATGCCCCTGTTTGACCGGCTATACCGACTGGAGTCGGGTCAGCAGGAGCAGCACACATTTTATCCCCTTTCTCGTTCTCTTAGACCTAACCCTAGCAGGAGCAGCGACGACGGCGGCGACGTCGTCTACGGCGGCCGCGGCGATGACAACGTCTACGGTGGCGGCGGTGGTGGCGACGGTGCGGGCTACGACGGCTGCGGCGGTGTCTTCGGCTGCGGCAGCGACGGCGTCTACGGCGGCAGTGGCGGCATATTCGGCGGCGGCAGCGACGGCGTCTATGGCGGCAGTGGCGGCATATTTGGCGGCAGCGGCGACGGCGTCTACGGCGTCAGCGGCGACGACTCTTTCTTTCCATGGAGGGGTAGGAAACGTACTGCAAGGGATGGAGCCCAAATCAAGGTAAGGTAGTCGATTCCTTCGATTCGATGTGCTGTGAGCTGGATGTGTAGGTTTTTTTTTTCTGTGCATTCCATGTGTGGTTGACTTGATTTCATTCCAATGTCAGTACACTGTTGTTCTCGATAGAGTTAAAGGTTTATGGTTTTACCACCATAGATTCGGATGGTAGACGGAGGTATACTAAGGGTTGTGTGCTGAAATGGGATGTTGAGTATGGTAGCTTATCTTTGGATTTGTTGATGCTAAGCTTAAGCTCAGAGGTTAGATGGGGTGAGTAGCAGACTGCAACCGTGTGGTTTTTGGACAAGGGCAGTAATGAGGACGTTAGAATTGTCCATGAATCTCAACTGGTTGACATGTTTGAAATGTACAAGTCAGAAATGCATGCTGAATTAATGGTCTTAGTTGTTGAGAGTGTACTCTGCGATGCTAGTGCTAATAACATAGAGCCAACATCAATGCCATTGTGTGTTCTTCCACTTACTCAGACAGGGCAGGGAGCATCTGCATCTAAAGTGGCAGTTTCAGGTGAACCTGCAACTCAAGAAGCGGATGAAACATTGCCTAATGTGTTTGACATGGAGGAGGAGTATGTGGGTGTTGATGATGAGGGAATTTATATTCAACCTATTCACACCATTCCACCTACAGATCATGCTGAAACCTCTGGTCAACCTAGTGCTGAAAATGCTGAACCATGTGCTGAAAATGCTGAACCTGGTGGACCTTCTAGGACTACTCAACCTCATGGTAAGGTTGAGGTCACTGATGATGACCTAGCAGAGTTTAATGTTCTTCATAACCCTGAGATGCCAGTGATTAAGGAGGAAGCTGTTTTTCCTGACATGATAACATTCAGAAAAGCTATTAGGCACTTTGCGGTTGTTACAGGATTTGAACTCTCTAATTTGCAAACAGATCCAACAAGATTCATTGCCCACTGCAAGCATGAGGGGTGTAAATGGCGCATTCATGCATCAAGGTTGTCTGATGGCAAAACTATTCAGGTTTGTATGTCAATTTGCACATTTGTATCCATTTTGCTTGAAAGTTGTGACTTATAGCACTATTTAAAATGTGTGTGCAGATAAAGAAGCTACCATTTGCACATGAGTGTCCCACAACCAAGCTCATGGAAGGGAAGATGGCCACTCAAGACTGGATTGCAGATAGACTGAAGGATTGGTTAAAGAAAAACCCTGACAAGGGAGCTAAGGCAGCAAAAGAGAAACTTGAAGTTGACTGATGGAATCCTGCCCAGTGTGATTAAACAGCTCAATGCAGCAACAATCAACCTGAAAGTTGTAAAGATTGCTAGGAGTGATGATGACATGGCTGAGATCACATTGGTTGAGAGTGACAACAATACCAGAAGGCACACTGTGCATTTGATCAACCAAACATGTTCATGCAGAAAGTGGCAGGTTTCAGGAAAACCTTGCAACCATGCCTTGGCATGGATATGTTCCAACAGAGGAGTTGAGATTAAAGATTTTGTTTCAGAGTACTTTTCTGTTGGCATGTTCAGAGCAGCTTATGCAGGGAGAGTGCCAACTATGCCAGACAGATCACAATGGCCTGTGGTGAATTTAGGCTTCAAAGTCTGTCCACCTAGACTCAAGAGGGGTGCAGGGAGGCCTAGAGTCACTAGGATCAGGGGTGCACTTGAACCAGGGGCAAGAAGGGTGCGATGCAGGAGATGCCATGGTTTTGGGCACTTTGCCAAGACTTGCAAAGAGGCTGAAGCACCAGAAGACACTGATGAAGTGCCTACTGCTTCCCCCAAGAAGAGGTAATATGCTGCATGGTTGACTATTTATTTTGAATTCTTTTACATATGTTGCATTTGCTAACATATCCATATCACTGTTTGCAGGAAGAAAACTCAAGATGAAAGTTCATCAAGGCCTGCTAAGAAGAAGAAGACACCCAAGAAAAAGAAAACGCCCAAGAAAAAGAAGACACCCCAGAAGAAGAAGGATGCTCGAGCTGCCTCAGAAGGCCCAGCTAAAGTTGTTAGAAGCCTGTCACAATATCTACAATCCTGAAGCTTGTGTGTTTTGAGGCCTTGCTGACATGCCACTGTGATATGCACTATATATTGTATTTTGAGGCCTTCCTGACTTGCTGTAGTGATATGCACTCTATATTGTATTTTGAGGCCTTCATGTTACCTGCCACTGTCTTGAACCTGTATTTTGAGGCCTATGTTGCCTGGCACTGTGATATGCACTGTGTGCAACATGTGAACATGCAGTGTGCTGAAATTAGTCCAAACCTGTGAACATGCAGTCCATATTGTGAAATATTGTTGATCATCTGAACACATGCCATGTGAAATATTTGTTGCTGATCATCTCAACTTATACCATGTGAAATATTTGTTGCCGAAATATTTGTTGCTGATCATCTCAACTAATACCATCTGAATGCACAAATTTCCTGTGAACTCATTTTCCTGTACTTCTTTTTCATTTGTCTTAATGATGGGCAGTCTTTTCAAAGAGGAAATAAAAACACAGAACTTTCAGTTCTTTATATACTTCACACCAAAAGATATTTCGATGTCCTATACCTTCCTTTTTTTTTTACACCAAGTGAACATATATTAGCATAGCTTTAGTGCAGGAGTCAGCAGTTAGCTCTTGCTGTAAACACACAATATCAGCTTGTACCTTGAGCTGCCAGACTTATCCTTAACAGAGCAACCAGAGTGGGAAATTAAATCCACATAATTAACACACCTATGTCATTACTCAGAAATTGAATCCACATAATTCATAGACAGTGATTAACATTACACAAAATGGCACTGATTTACCTACTTGCACTAAATATGGCCACAAAATTTACAGAACATACATAGAAATACATAATTATGGCCAACAAGAACAACATCACATAAAGTTGTCTACTACGACTACACTTCTCTTCTTTCAACATCTTCTTTAGTTGCTCACACTTTTTCTTAGAATCATTCAGCTGCTGATATATGGATTGCATCTGCCTATGGTTTGCCTCAACCAAACCCTGCATCCTCGACCTCTCTTCCTTATGCTCTTCTGCAAGCTGTCGCAACATGTCTCTTAGACCATCGTCCTCGCCAGCATGGGAATAAGCAACCATTTCCTCCACATATTCGTTCAACAGATCCTCCCATATCCACAACGAGCAACACTTTGGCTGCACAATACATCTCAAATCAATGGCATCAATCAAGAAAACGAAACAAAAAAGAAAGGAATTTCAACAAAAGAAAATGAAAAACAATGGGGTTTACCTCTTTCCCGCACTGAATCCACCGCCGCCCTGGATTCCTCGGGGTGTTGGATTTGTTCACTGCAGCGGCTTTGCCGCAAGCACATCTCAACCATGGTGCCGACGACGCTGCGGCCCGTGTGCGCTGAAAGCTGCAACCGCTCGATGTCGAACGAATCGGGCTGCCTCTCCCCGCCATTGCCGCCAAAGCCCGCCGCTGCCGCCGACGCTGCCGCCACCGCCGCCAACGCCGCCAAAGCCTGATGCCGCCGCCGACGCCGCCGACGCCGCCTCCAAATCCCGCCGCCGCCGGAGAAGCCTAGTGTTACGTTTACGGTTCACTGTGAATGCACTTGGTCAAACTGATTCCACTCGGTCCCTACATACTCATACACAAAGGCATTATGGTCCATACGTAAATATGGTACGCATAAAAACGAGTACAATCGCGGATCAGGCGTAGAACGTGGCATGTTTCCAGTATCGTGCGATTTATAATGGTATCTTTACAATTTGTCAAATAGTAATGACATTTTTCCAAACCTTCAAATTAGTAATGGCATGTGTCTAATTAACCCAACTTAAAAACACCCCACAGGCGCAGCAGCCATCCTTTCTTGTTCCCGCCTCGCCCGCCGTTAACCCCCGAAACCCCGCTCAAAACCCCCCGAAGAAAATGGCGACCCGCCGCGCGCCGCCACCCGCCGCCGCCGCCGCCGCGGATGGCAGCATCGAGGAGAACGCGATGGCCATCCTCGACACCGCCGGCATCAAGGACGCCCGCGACCTCCACGACGACCGTACCCCCGCCTCCCAGTCCCCTCCCTCTCCCTTTCCCCCGTTTCCAATCTCTCCGGAATTTTCCTAGGTTTCTCTCTCTCTTGCGCCCAACCTGGTGATTCCCGGCGCTAATAGATCTTTTGCGCGCTCCCCCACAGGTTGCGCCTTCCTGGAGACCGTGCGCTCCGCCTGCCTTGCCGCCGACAGCCCCTCTCCCCCTTCGTGGTACGGACATAATCCCTCGTGTAGTAGGCTACCCCCTTCTGTTTAATAAACCTATGCCCTTGGGGTGAAATTTTTCTGGAACATGCTGGTAGCAATCTTACTTTAATAAGGACACATCTTTTGTGTGTGTGTGTGTTTTTTTTGTGCATATTGATACTCGTGATTCCTTCTCCAGAAATTGTTTCGCTTGCTGAAAGTTTTTCCGTACATGTTCGGGGCTATCTGTTCACAGCCTTCAGATGTTTTTTTTGCTTATCTGTTTTATAAATTTAGTCCAAAGCTCTTGATATATATACTCATACCATCTTCTGCACTTCTTTTAATTAAAATGGAGTTTGCATAGATATGCACTTGTTTTACACTAATACTGAATTCACGCATGTATTTGTTACGGTTTCTTTTATAACATTCCTTGCACTAGGAATACTTAATATTTTCTTCTTCTGTAATTTTTCTGATTAACTAGTTTTCTCCTGTGAGAAATATGCTCATTTTGCTCGTTGTTTGATCAATCCACAACCCCTCATGATGATATGAAAACCTTTTCATGTGAATCCTCCTTCCTTTTGCAAGGAGAATGTATAATGCCGTTTTCCAGATTCTTCAAGACAGCAGCTCGCTGGAGCTTACCATGGCAAGTCTCCACCTCTTAATGGAGTTGGGGAAGGTGAAATGTTTCTAATCCCTTTCACAATATTTCTGGCATTTTTATGCAAGCAGTGAGGACTCTTGTCCCTTTGGTTGTATATATCATTTACTATCTATGTATTATTTATTTGTCACTATTGAATTTACTATTTAAGTTTTGACCACTAATATATTTTAAATTGTTTGATTAAAATGAATGAGAGTCTTATCATTAATTTGTTAACCAATGTTAGCTAGCAGTATTGTGTACTTCTAAATGTTTACAAATTACAATTCGTTGCTGGAAAAACAATCGTCAAAATTTATGCAGTGAGTTCAACAGTGATAAGTACATGAAAAATGGAAAAAATATGTTTGAGTTCTGACAATGTGGACATATGCTCATGATTTTTCTTTTGACTTTGAAACAGTAGGGGAATCCCCTATGGTATATTTTATATTAAAGGGGCGTTTATGTACAATGATTCACTATTTAATATCTTCTTGAGGGGTGAAAACCATTTAATACTGCAATACTTCTTGAAGTCTTACTACTAAAGAATTTTCCTTGGTGTTTAGGGCAGCTCTGCTTCAATCATTGTGTACTATGATAAACTATCACCAGAAACTATTGTTTTTTAATTGCCATCTCATCTCACTTCATTTATCTTTTACGTTATCTTGCAGCAATACCCTAGAGCATATTTGACCGATTCTGGTTCTGGCCAAGCTTTAGTGGCAGTTAAAGAGGTAAAAGGATGGTATAGTTTCAACAATCATTTTCTTTTGAAGCACATAGTACCATGTGTATATATGCTTCCATTGAATTTTCATGTCATACATGTTACCATTAAGTATTTTCTTGTTCTCTGCAGGCATGGTCACCATTTCACCTTCGCAGCGATGTTGGTTGTGGTGAGATTGGGGGAAACAACAGGCACTTAGACCACCTCTTCGATTCTTCAGTAAGTTGATGTTATATGCCATTTACTCATCAAGTTCTAATTTCTCTCTATTTTTTTTCTGCTGATGAAACTTCCCACCCATGTTTTGGCCAAAAAGTATAATCATATGTTATTATTGTCATGCATCCTTGTAACCAAGTTAACTTAGAGGTAATGGTTCAGCAGCTGTGTGCCACATATGGTTGTGGCCCTCATCTGCTAAAGCTCCTGCTGGATCACTAGAGGCTGGAGCCATGCTGGCTGGTTGGAGGCCTGCCTAATTTGCTGACTGCATCTGGCAGAATGCCATGATGAATACGACGACTTGTCCCTCCTTGACGAGCAGGTAGCTATCAACCTCTGTAGGGTGGTAGCCACTGGTGTTACAGAGTGCTCAGGACATGGCAATATCTTTGGTAGGCATGATAAAAACACAAGTCATAAATCTTTTTCTCCTACCTTTATGCAATCTTGGTCGAAGAGCCAAACCTGCTCAGGAAGCAAACAAACTTTGCTTTTGTACAGTTGTACCCTCCCCTTGCTGTTGTGCTGCTTGGGTTTAAGGCTCTAAGCCTCTAGGTCATCTAGTTCTAAGCACTGATTTCTACCTAGCCACTCAACTGCTTGAGTTCTCTAATGGATTATGGATGTTTTCCTTATTATGTTGGTACATGGTACTGTATATTGTCAAGAACTGGGAATTACAGTTGCCTTTTGAGCCTATTTTTATTTTAAGTTACTATATTTAAGTATATCCAAACTTATTGATCCTACATATCAACGTATTTGGCCTTCTGAATCCTGATTTTTCTGCATGTGAGATATCTAATTCTGGTTTTCCCTTTTGAAGAGATTTTCATCATTAATCGAGGATATGGTTGAAACAGCTAATGACACAGATGCTAATAATGGAATTGAGGTAATTGACAATAGGCCTTGGTTCTTTGAGTGATGGGAGTATTTCAATTGGAAATCCAGGAGCATATGTCATCATATTATAACTCAGCATAAATATCTGTTCTAATTGACTATTAAAAAGATGACTACACGATGGGACCATACCATAGTCATTAAAGATCAAGCTTAAATTAGAGTTCTATACCTCAATATGGTCAACTTTCTAATAGTTTAATGAAGGTGCTTAAACTCATGTTGAGTTTAATCCTTTTTGACCTACAGGATATATATTTTTAATTTCTACTGTTATGCTAATGAAAGTAATCTCATATATTGCCTATTGAGCTGTTATTTCTCAAATATTGCACATTGGTTTCTTTTATTCTATATTTTCATTACTGCATTCTATGGCTGTATTTTTCACACATAGTTATATTTATTTTGCTGCTGCTTAAGACTTCATAGTTTGACTTTTCTCTATTGTTGTAAATTAGCATATAAAGAACATGGTGCTGCTTGAATATCTTGTCAGCACCCTTGAGGCTGATTTTGTACCTCGTCAGATTGCATATAAAGGTAAGTTATACTCATGAGTCATGAACTTGGCTTCTGTTTTTTGTATGTGTGTTTATAGAAAAAGATATTCTTACCAATTCTTCTGGTTTTGTAACAGAGTCATTAGACTGGGTAATTTTCAGGGAATCTCTTCTACAGATGCTTCTGGTATGATCTACATCCAGAGTCCATAAAGAATATCTTAGTTAGATTTATTGGCCAGTTCTTGTGCTGCTTCTCCATGTCAACATTTTTTTTTATTGAAGTGGTGTGGAACTCATGCAAGTTTCTTACGTTGCTCTATGGTATTGCTGGAATTCATTCTGTTATCCATTACATCAGGTTTCACGGAAGGTGGCATTCAAATCTTTAGTAAAGAACTGCATATCTTTTCTGCTCAATCAATATAATCAGGGAGTTGAAGATGGCATATCTTCCAAAGAAGGTTCTGCTAAATCAGCACCTGATCTAGAATCTTCCTTAGCTATCATATCTTTTGAATTCGAAAGAAAAGCTCTTGCATCAGTTCAGAAACTTTTCACTATGGTGAGTATTTAGTTGTACACATAGCTTGCATGAAGTACAGATGCTAACGATTTCAAGTTTTTCTTTTTAGGTTATGAACCTTGACTTGATTAGAAAAGAAGCAGACACAATGGGTCTGACTTCAAGAGCTGATGGGTGCAGGTTATGTTTCTGATTTCTGACTTCAATTTGCTTAGCTAGGGTTCCTTTGATATCTGACATTCCATTTCTCTCTTTGTAGGAATCCTATCTTGGACGTTATTTTAGATGAGCTAACTTACAACATAAGCTATTTATCTCCATTTCTTCTGGTAACTGCAAATCATTCCATCTATTTGTCCCTGTCTTACCCTAAATATCTACAATTCTTTGTTATTGTAATTGAGTAATTCTCAGCTTGCATCAGTTGGTCATGCATCAATAACTTGATAAAAACCTATTCACAGTTCCTACATGCTACCTGTAAATTTCCACTTCAGTATATGTAGCTCGCCACGTGCTAATTGTTCATAAAGGGGGATGGGTTATGACAATTTGCTACTGTATAGAGGTACACTACTAAACTTGAGGATTTGCCACTCCATGTCTCTCAGGTATGTGGCCTAGGAACCACAACCACATGTTACACATTCTCAAGTGTCTTAATAATTGCAGTGGGGAATAATCTATACTCAATAAATAAAAAGAACAGAGAGCTCATATATTGGAAGCCTTGATGAAACTTTAGAAGCTTACTGTCTAATTAATTTCTTTGTGCTGTTACTAAGGCAGCTGTGCTGTTGTTATTTTCCCTGGAACTCCTTAATTGTTTGTGTGATGCACTCGTTATAGGGCTGTGAAGGCCCCTGAGATATTTGTAGCTCCTGACGACTCGGAGTAAAAAAAAGGGAAATACAGAGAGGGAGAGGGAGGGCAAAAGGAGAAATGTGAGTGGTGAACACTTGATATGGAATAGGCTGAAAATATGTCACATTGGAGTAAAATGTAAAAAACCTACTCCTACTTGAGTAGCGGACCATTTCTGGCCTTGCTCAAATGCACGTCATAAGTCATTTTTGTAAAGGCATATGATGTAAGAGTAAGGGTATTTTATTTGGCCACTAAAATGGTTGTCAATGAGCAGGCACATTTCTTGATTGGCCAGCTCCTATTTTCTCTAGTACAACATTCGATTCTTTTAACCATAAGTAGCTGGTAATCTTGCATTCTTAATAACAGTTCAGGCACATTGTCAACCATGGTGTTTAATAACGACAGAGACTTGAGCTGAGTCTGGTGCATAAAATTTGTACCTGAAACTCTGTACTGTTGTGAGTGCCAGAGAAATTTTTTTTGGAAAATGAGATTAAAGTTATTAACTTTATTTTTGTTCGCGCCCACCATTTTTGGCTTGATCGGATGTCTTGGCTGCAGCTGCACCACAACCAGCAGCTTCAGTGCTTGACTGCACTAGCCTGATGCATGGCTGCGGTGATGCAGCCAAGGGTGCCGATCAGGGCCTCTCAGTACTCCAGTTGTATAATTCTTCTTTTCAGCTTGTCCTTTCTTAGTAAATTAATTATTTATTCTTAAATTATATCAGATCTTTGTGGAATGGAAGTGGAAATTGGAGATTATACTTCAGTACTTTTCAAAATATTGTGGCAAGGTATGGTAAATTTAAGTTTCTTTATTGACCTGAGTACCTGACATCCAAGCATCAAAAGTGCAACTTAAGATTACCCCAAGAGACACCTTTCAGAGTTTCAGTATATGACTTATTTTACTCATTCAGCTTGATCGAATGTCCTGGCTGCAGCTGCGCCACAGCCAGCTGCTAGAGTGCTTGCATGCATTAGCTTGACCCTTGGCTGCGGCAGCCAAGGGTGCCAATCAGGGTCATTTCTGTCTCAAGTAATCTTGGTACCAAACTACCAATACTGTCACTTTCCAGCTGATCCAATTTGACTTGTCTCTTAGATAGTTTCTCCACCTTAGAATGTTCCGCTGCTATCATGTCTAGACTGGGATAATCTGAATTTGTTTCCTATATCCATAACGGAGGACATGAGATTGTACCTGTAATTTCAAACTGGTTTTTAAAACTAGAACATCTTCTAATCTTTTCTACTAGATGAATCTAACAGACTGAATTGCCTTGAATTCGGTCAAATGGAAATGTATTCTAATTCCAAAAAAAAAAAGGTTCTTGTGCTGATGCTAACATTTGCGGACTTGCTAATATCAGCTGTCAGCCTGGCACCTCTTAAATAAATATTCTAATCACTCCGAATTACTTACTTTTTATATGTAGGATTGGTTAATGATTGTTCTAGAAATGTCTATAGAAGATTAGAAGTTAGTTCTCGTAACCCATGTTAGAATTTTTAGATATATTAAATTATTTGTAGTAAGCAACATTTGATTTTTTAGGTAACATTTCCCATTGAATAGCCACATTAAATATTTTTCAAGGAACAGGAGGAAACATATCTCAGAAATAATGGCATATCTTTTTTTTTTTGGATTGCATTGAGGCACAACATATTTTGTTATGGAGTAGAGGGAGCTACTTGCATTCTTGATATTTTCATGCAGCAATATGTAAATTTCTTGATCATTATCACGTACATTAACTGTACATTTTGTCTTTCGTAGTGGAAGTATAGTCTTAGATGTAATAATTGTTGTCTTCCTTTTTCTTTGTAGCCTGCAGTTCGTACTCGGAGATCTGATAATTCACAACACGATTTGACATTGGAAAATGTACTGACTTTATTTTCAACGGCTGCAACCACAAAAGCCATTGTTAAAAAGATGAGTTCAGAAGTTGTCCAGCTGCTCTTAGCAAACGCATACCAGGTTAGGAACTTAAAAAATTTGCTATGCAGACTATCGCAATGATGCATAAATTTATTTATTTTTGTTCTGTGACAGCATAGGTCATTGAGTTTTTTTTTCTTTCTTCCAAGCATGATAAATTGATAACAGTCTAGAGTGACAAAATATAAGTCTGTTGCATTGGGCAATACTTGGATAGTAGTGGCTCTTCAAAAAACATCTATTTCTAATTATGGTTGTAACTGGTAGTTGAAGCTATCCTTTTGAGTTGTAATAGAAGAATTATACTATATTTTGTTTTTTTCACCGGGCTACTATTTAGTTAAGTTCCTCTAACTATCTAGATTCAAACCATTGTGCAGCCAGCACATTGCAGTAACCGCAAACCAGCCCTAAGCATCTGCGTTCCACTATAGACTAGCTTGTGTGCGCTGTAGTGGTGTTTAGTTGTGCATAAATAATTTCCTAATTTATATGGCTTACCACCTCACGGTTCATCTCTTAGCAGTGTAGATACAATGACATCTGTGTATGTGCCATGGATCACTTCATCCTAATTGCTTACATGCAGCTGAACCTTGCTATATGCATTCCAGAGAATGTAGCATGACTGTCTATAGCATGTTCCCTCTCCTTTTTTTTTTTTAACTCAAGACCATAATCCGAGAATGTCATCATTAATCAACTTGAAGCATGAAAACATTTGAGATCTTTGTATTAAATTTTCCTGTTCCTCATGTTATTTTGATACATTTCCAGTCAGTACAATCTACCACTTCGGTTAATCATTGTATATTTCCAGGTCTGCCTTCATCTGGAATGTGATTCTAGCAAAGATAGTGATACAACAAAGAAGATTGGAGCGACTCTCCTACAGATATCTGAGAGTTTTGTATCTGCTTTTCATAATATGAGAAAAATCAACCCGTGAGTATTTTATTTCACTACCACAGTGGCCACCAGGTTTCTAAAGCTGTCAGTAGACTGGTCGTCTTGATGTAATTAACTAAGTCTAAATAAAGCTTCCATTATCTAAAAAAGCAAACTGGTCGTTGTTTAGCAGCCAGTGTTGCATATTATTAGCAATAATCAGAAAAGAAACTGTTGTTTCCTTCATGGCTATTTCTTATGGCTTTTAATTTTTATTGGCATCGCAGGGATATGCAGCTCTCGCCGTTTGAGAAAGAAGCTCTCTTCACTGCTGCGTCAATGGCTAGAGTTCTAAAGAACAAACAAAGATAGGGAGCAGGCTTTGGAAGTGCACATTCGTTTGATGATTTGCTCTGGCAACTTGTTTTGGTCTTTAAGATAGTAGCATCCTTTGCCATCTCATCTATCGTATGCATAATTATGCTTACCTCTGTTCATATTAGTTTATCCTACTACTATCTATCTGGAGTTAATGTACATAATTGGAGCATCTGTGTTGAATATCCATTTCACTTAACACTTCCTGATATCTGAATGAGGATATCAACTGCTTGGAATTTCCTGATTGGTTAAAAATTCCCAAAATGTGCTTGCTCAGTTAATTCCTCTCTCAAGGGGGCTGAAGGGAATTGGAGGTGTGAAATTAAACCCCTATAAATCTATAATCCCTTTCTCATTGGAATTAACCAAACAAGGCCTATAACGTGTTCTTTTTTTTCCAGGAATCAATGGTTCACGTCATAATAACAGTCAAAGCAAAACTTGTATTTATGGGCATGTCAAGTTGTCAACGTTGAGGTAGTGTACTAAGCTTCAATCCACACACACAAACACACACGAGCCATGCATATGTGAAGGAACAACTTCTTTCTCCTGTGGTTGTACTATTATGCATACGATTTGCATTTCATTGTAGTGCCAAAAGAACAGACTCTTTATATGGTAGCTCACTTTGTACGGGATATTCTATTGGTTCCGGTGTCATCTGTCTCTTCAAAGCAAACATTTAGGAAGGTTAGAAGAATTATTGAAGAACAGAGATCATGTCTTGCACTCGAGATAAATGATGCAATCTTTTATCGTAAAGACTAGATGGAGGTAGATCAATGGACACAACACTGTCTATAGTATCCAGAGATTGCCGATGCAATGACCAATGCGTTGGTAGAATTTGACATCAACAATGATGATACCAATCAAAACGAATAATGTAACAATATAAGCTAATTGTTGTACTCTTATTTCCTTGCCGAGAGTCCTACTGAAGGGTGCATGGTTTTTAACGAGACAACAACTTTGTATCCCTATTATTAATAAATTGTTTCTCCTTAAGTTTTGTCTTAAAAATTCGTAGTGGATGTTTCAATTAAAATCGCAGTGCAGAGTTAAATTTCCTGCCTATATAATTTGACGAGACAAATTAAATCCCACAGAGTCAGCAGAGCAAAAAACCGACTGAATCTAAAAGCCTGAAACCATACGAAGATCGTCCATTTCGTTTTCCCTCCAGTGTTTCAGGAATTTATTCAGGTTTCCCTCCTTGATTTCATTTTTCCACTCCCAAAGTTTCACCTTTCAGGTTTCCCACCTTGTGTGAATTTCCCACTCTTCTGTTTAAGGCCTGTTTAGTTCGCGAAAAGAAAATTTTTAGGTGTCACATTTTTTTTGACGGGAAACAGCAGGAGAGGCTCCTACTGTGATATATTAATATATAATAAAGAACAAGGGTAAAAAAGTTACAAATATTTACAAGAAAATATTTTTAGGTGTCACATTGGATGTTTGATCGGATGTCGGAAGGGGTTTTCGGACACTAATAAAAAAAACTAATTTCATAACTCGCCTGGAAACCGCGAGACGAATCTTTTGAGCCTAATTAATCCGTCATTAGTACATGTGGGTTACTGTAGCACTTATGACTAATCATGGACTAATTAGGCTCAAAGATTCATCTCGCGATTTCCCCTCTAACTGTATAATAATTTTTTAATCTATATTTAATGTTCTATACATATGTCAAAGATTCGATGTGATGTTTTTAAGAAAAAGATTGGGGAAACCAGGCCTTACTTTCGCTTCACCGAGCCAAGCCATTGAGGATGGCATGTCGAGTCGAGCACGATGGGCCGTGCCGTGGAGTGCCAGCCCGGCACGGCCCAAAGTCCCACCTAACCCATCAACTCCAAAAATTCCCAAACCCTTCTTCCTCCTCACCGGCTTCAACCCACCCGTTTCTCCGGCGATGCGGCGGCTACCCCTACGGCTCCTGCGCTCCGCCGCCTCCTCACCCCGACGCCGCCCCGCTCCCTCCCCTCCCCCCTCGCCGAACCCCGCGGCGCCGCCTGCACTCCTCTCCCGGTGGGGGTGGGGGTGGGCGCCGCCGCGGAGGGGTTACTCGCGGTTCGCGACCGGGTTCACCCCACTGCAGCCCAAGCCGCTCGCCTCCATCCTCGACGTCGAGCGCGCCAGCGGACTCTCCCCCGACCACCTCGTCGCCGCCTGGGATGACGTCAGTGCCTCCTCATTTCCTTTCGTTTTGCTCTGTTCCGTTTTCGATGTGCCATTGACGGGATCCCCTCCAATGTCTGCACTAGAAGATCGTCCTGGTTTCATTTCTCGGTTATGTTTCCAGAATTAGCCAAAACAACTGCAAGTTTAGTATCTAAAAGCAAGAAATCAACAAACTGGAATGTGCTCACTTTGGTCACCCGGGATTCGTTGAAAATAACTTTCTAGCATCTTTGTTAATAGGGATGCTAGGAATTCCTTCTAAGGAAAGAACATAGCGGACAATAATTTCTGCACGTAGTTTCATTTTCTGAACAAATATTGGCCGAATATCACAATATATGCCAGTGGCGGCAGAGCAATGATATTGATAATTGGGGTGCATACTTAGATGTCACAATTCATTTTAAATAAGTGAAAAACTAGCAAATGGACAAACTAGTTCAAATGATGGAGCACTATATATCTATACACTAACATATAAATAGGGATATATAGTTTGCATTGTGCCAACAACATTGAAACTACAGCTGTAGCGGTATAGCTGCAAACTATGCATCTTAGTAGCTCCACCACTGATACATGCACTGTAGTGGAAATGTGGTAAGATGGCCATTTTAAGTAGTGTTGAATTCATCTTGCGTACTATGGATCATGAGGGTACGAGGGTAAATCGAAGAGAATCCAGGTAGTCTAAACTACCCAGTATTCCTGTATTTCTACAACTGCCTCTTCTTTTAGGGTGTGATAACTCTTTTCACCACCAGGTGGTTAGAATTAATTACACAATTATCCATGACTAGCTTTTATTGTATGCATAAATGATATATATGACATCAGTACACCAGAATAGTCCAGACTCCAGTACTAAAGCATTTCATTCCATAAGGGAATCGTAAAGTGTGATTTTTCTATTTTTCACATCCTATCAGCTGCATTATGTATTGTTAACTCGTATCTTTTTTGTTCCATTTCATTTTTTTTTCCAATTTACTTGGCTGAAATTTTGTTTCTTGGAACAATAGTACCACTTGGGGAGAGGTCATATAGGTGCATCTATGAGTGCAAAGCTTTACCATCTTATGGAGCAAAGATCAGCTACATGGTATTTCTTTGTTGATTTGAATTATGTTGTAGTGTTATGATTTTTCTGTTTGTCTCACCAATTTCATTTCATTTTGTTTGTAGCCGTCATTTTGTTATCCCTTTGTGGAAAGGAACTGGATATACTACCATGTTCATGCAAGGTTATTACTCAGTCTTTTCCATATAGTGGTAATTATCTTTTGTTGTTTCACTAATCTTTGTGTTCAATATAGCGTTTCTCATATCTCAGGCTGTGTTCTTCCCCCTCCTTTCCCAACTCACCCCTCTCGTTTTCCGAGCACGCTTTTCAAACTACTAAACGGTGCGTGTTTTGCAAAAAAATTCTATACGAAAGTTGCTTTAAAAAATCATATTTATCCATTTTTCAAAAAAAAGAGCTAATACTTAATTAATCATACGCTAATGAGTCGCTCCGTTTTACGTGTTGGAGGGATTAGTTCCCAACTGTGGGAAATGAACACAACCTCAGTCCCTTACGTAGAACATGCCTTTTGAATTGCAAGATAATATCAAATCTTGTTTACGTCTTATTCTGGAAGTATCTAACTGTATATCAAATGTTTTGTTGATTACTGTTAAATGAAACAAGTGAAGTTTCCCCCTTTTTTGTGGAAAATTTTGATCAAGGACGGAACCTAAATCTCGTTTAACTCTTATTCTGGAAGTATCTAACTTTATGTCAGATGTTTTGTTGATTACCACTAAATGAAATAAGTGAAGTTTCCTTATTCTTTGGAATATTTTGATCATGTGCCTTACAAATTGAACAATTATATGAACCCACGTCCTGATCCATTTTCTGTTTGTAGAAGTAAAGTAATTGGTTATTTTTGATATGGTTCATGTTTGTGTCTAATATCCTATCCACATGCAAGTTAGTGTAGAAACTAAGGTGCTGTAACCAATTTCAGCATTTGATCTTTATGTTTAGTATCCTGCACCTCATTTTTCATGGTGACTGGTAGTAGTATTTGTTTGTTTTCCTGTTACTCTGCAATGGAAAACCATATATAGTAGGTTTGAGTACAGTATTTCACCTCTTCTGTATATCTGGTTTAATTGATTAAGTTCACTAGAATTTTGAATTTTCAGCACGTTTTCTAATATTTAGGCCTTTTGTTCTACCCTTTCTTATTGAACATCCCAGTTCAGATGCCGCATATGATCTTCACCGGACTTGAAGACTACAAAGCAAGGGGCACTCAAGCAAGCCCTTACTATACGATCACTCATTATACAGAGTTTGCAGAAACCAAGGATACAGTGCTTATCCGAGGAGACGTTGTTTTCACCAGTAAACTGACTGATTCAGAGGCGAAATGTCTTTTAGAGAGTGCTCACTCATTCTACCTGAATGATGTGAGGTACAGGCTTGTAGAGCGCTTCAACAAAGAACCACATGAGTTTGAGTTCAAAGATGTCCTGCAAGTGCTTGAAATGCCAACCATGTGACAAGATTGAAGACCTGCAATAGCAAAGCTTCCTGGAGCATGTCAGTGCATTTTTACAGTGGCAGGGTCTAGATTGCACTAATACACTGCGTATCACTCTGAGATTGCTAGCTGAACATCAATTCTACGGTTGTGTGGTAGCAATAATACCATAATACCATGAGAAAAATTTGTGTAAGTGCTAAGCAGTTACAGCCGTAAGTCCTAGGAGGAATTCCTTAACTATCTTCTGCCGTTTCTTTTGAACCTCTTGTCTGCAATAACATGGTGGAACCAGAAGTCCAGAACCCTTATCCACTCTCAAAAACCATTGTGTAAACTTAACCTGAAGTCAGCCGTTATTGTTGCTGTTCTGACTTTTTGTTAAGGCTGAGTTTAGTTCCCAACTTTTCCTTCAAACTTTCAACTTTTTCATCACATCAAAACTTTCCTACACAAGTAAACTTCCAACGTTTTTTTTTCAAACTTCCAATTTTAGTCAAACTTTTAATTTTGGCGTGGAACTAAACACAACCTTAGTGCACTGAGTGCAAATGTGACTTGGGACTTTGCGAGTGCTCAAAATTTGGACACATTTTAGAAACTGTTAAAAGTAGCTGTGATTAGTTGGATTTTTCATTGCAAGATTGCAAATCTAATGACACCATTTTTTTAGAAGAATGGTGCAAGCACAGTGCACGTACACTATGCAAGCTTGATCTATCATGTCAAAGTGGTCGAATCACATAAGTTCACAACACAATCGACATGCATTGCATTTTGTTAATCTCTCTTAATTAGCTCGATTATCCTATTGGTTAAATTGGTTTCTAGTTAACCATATACCCATTCCTTTTCTTAATGTTTAACATCATTAACTTTTACAGTTTTTTTAATGTTTAACACCATTCCCTCGCAAAAAAAAAATGTTTAACACCATTCACTTTTAAATGTGTGATCATTCATCTTATTCAAAAATTTATGCAAATACAAAAAAAATAAGTTATGTTAAAAGTGCATGTAATGATAAAAACGAATTATAACAAAATAAATAAGAATCCTATTTTTAATACTAATGATCAAATTTATCTCTAAAAGTTAATGGTACCAAACTTAAAAAAAAATGGAGGGAGTATTTATTGCACTGCACACCGATGAACTGATGATTGAAGAAATTTTAACCCATAGAAATAGAAATATATGCACACTTCAATCTATAAGAACTTTTCAAAAAATTTGAGCAGATGAAAATTTTTTTATAGTCTCTCTGTAGGAAAGGAAATTTTTTTTTCCTATACTTACGTTCCTTATAGACCATGCTTGTAGGAATTAATCCTTGAAAATATAAATGTTTTTTTCTCCAAAGGGAACAAGCCCTCGACGTTCCCCCTCGACCAATAAATAAGAACGCAGCACAACACAACACAACATGAGTGTCTTGTCTCCGAGACGTACTCTCTTTATTCTAAAATAAATTAACTTCTATAGTTTAAAATTTGTCTAAAAACTAAACATATTTTTAACTTTTTACCTACCATTGGTCCGCAAATCGAGAAGTTTTATCTCTTCAAAACCTCTGTAACACCCTAGGTAACCACGTACCTAAAGTGCCACACCAAAATACACTCAAACCACTAACTCCCAAAATTATTAGAAATTTCAGCAGAATCTCCCCTGTAAATACGGACATCCACGACAGTCAATTATATTATAAGTTAAATTAATAACAATATCATTCCCACAATACGATCCATCCTTATAATCCATGGGGAAGAAACTATTAGAAATCTAAAAGATTATTACAAGACCGAACCATGATATAGTTTAAGTATCATTATGGACCTAGGCAATATAGTTTGATAGTGTGCAGATAAATGTGTATATAAGGGTGCTACTTCCCGCCCATGTATGTCGGTCTTAATATGTACCTAAAACCAAATAAAACACAAGAGTGAGTATAAAAATACTCAGCAAGTACAGTATGGAACTAGAAAACACATATACACATCATTGGCAATAAAGCATGAACAAAAGGCTTTCTTTCTTTGATAGGGAACACATTTTCAAACACCAAGTCAAAGAAGATAGTAGTTCCCATCCCGGGCAGGCATGAATTGAAATAGTAGTTTCCATCCCGGATAATAGTTAATACATCCTAGCATTTGCCGGCAAAGCCGAGTAAGCGTGATCAGCGCTTACCCACAGGAACTTGAATAAAGAACCAAATTGCACTCCCATGACTACGCATGGTACTTGAATAATTGAAACCGGAATCAAAGAACCAAATTGAAACCATATTGCACATCCATGGCAAGCATGGAACTTGAATTATTTAAGTAGAACCAGAATCTAGAATATTAAAACAAGAATAACATCGTACACATAAGATTAACTTGAAATCTAAATGGCGTGAACAATAATATGAACATAAGCAGTTACTTATCACGTAGAAATATATAAGACATAAATAGATAGAGTAAACAATCCATGAATCACACAATTAATTCGTCATGCACTTGCCTCCAACGAAGGATTGGTATCATGCACGATCTGATGGACCACCACCTAATCACAAACAAAACCTCAGCAAACACATCCAAACATGCGTATAAAACAATGAAAAAGGTGAACCTACTGCCCCATCCCATCAAAACTCAATAACAAGGAACACCACTTAGACTATACACAAGACTACTGTTTCAAACCTTTATATCTTGAAATATGAAAAGGCTATGACTGAAAATATATACATTTTGAAAATCTACAGAACAATACCTACAACTTTGATGTAGAAAGCATATTTTTATTCTGCCATAAAAATGGTCTAATTTGCGCTTGAAAGCAGGCTTCAGAATCTGTCCAGAATTTCAGACTGTCCACACTAAACAACCATAACTGGAGTTCTAGTTGCCCAATCAGGGTGTACTTTACCGATATGGAAAGCTAAGAAAAAACTCTACAACTTTGTCTATAGGCGGCCTGGCTGATTACATTGTTTAAACCCTTCAAAAACAGTTCAATCTACTACTATCTAGATTATGACACAAAAACAACAGTCATACTAAAAAAAATTATATCTCCTAAACCACTTGAGATAAAATCACGCCCTTTGGTCAGAAGATAGATTCAAACATTATCTACAACTTCCTAGTTAAACACTTTTGCAGAAAATAACATGTAGAGCTCCGAAACATCGAAACACTGAAGCACTGCAAATCTGCCCACATGCAAAGCTGCAACAAACCGAACCGCAACTACCCAAACTCCTTCTCTAGCCTTCCCTAACCACGAATTAAAGCACTAAAGCCATGCTAGAACAACTGATACAACAAGAGGATAAGTCTCACCTAGGGTTTCTTTAGAGAACTTGTGAGGAGACAATAGGGGAGACTCCGGTCTAACCCCTCCTACTCCTCTCCTCCTCCTCGTTCCGTTTTTCTACTTCGCTTCTTGATCCAAGCTATGCAGATGGAGATCTAGGGAGAGCAATTGGCGAGAGATGCGAACACAGGAGGAGGGAAAGGAGGCGCCGGCCAGGGACAGGGGTGGCGGCACCATGAGGGGAGGTGGGATTCGGTTCCCCTCTCTTTAGGTTTTAGGGGAGAACTAATGGCCTGGGTTTATGGTCCTTCTCATGTTAGCCCACTTCTAAAGATATTTTTCTTTTATTTATTTCTGTTAACATCTTTATTTTAACAAGTCAACCCAAACTAAAAAAACCTAAATATCTTTTAATATACGGGGTATTACAACCTCTCACCTACTCACCTATCACTATTTATTAGGGATATTTTGGTTATTTATCTCTTCCCTTATATTCACCTTGAAAAGATAGGGTTGGACTTTTTATAGGAGAGAGAGAGTACTGGTAGAGTAGCATTAGCATAAGAACTTAATACACAAGAGAGGCAGGCAAGCCACGACCCACAAAGGTACACACTACCAAATGATAGCCGGTCACCGTATCATCATAATCTGGTGGGTGAGCTAAGTTAGGGCCTGTTTGGATGCGTTTGGATGCAGGGACTAAACTGCCACATCGGATATTGGGACACTAATTACAACTATTAGCCGTAGATAGGGGTGAAAACGGTTATGGAAATTCCCGATCGACCGGGCACCATTTTCGTTTTAGGGGTACCGTTTCCGACCGTACCGTTTTTGGCTATTTTTAAATTTTGTTTTTTGTAATTTCTTTCTGCATCGTATTAATGTCGATACTGAGTAGTTTAATTAATCCATGATTAGCCTAAGTGATGCTACAGTAAACATGTGCTAATTATGGATTAATTAAACTTAAAAAATTTGTCTCACGAATTATCTCTTATTTATGCAATTAATTTTATAGGCAGTCTATGTTTAATACTCTAAATTAGTATCCAAATATCCGATATGACAGGACTAAAATTTAGTCTCTGATCCAAACACCACCTTAAACTGAAGGAGTGCCATATCTTTGCACGCACAGGGAGTCAGGGAGCGAGCATCCTCCATAAAAGATGACTCTATATGCAAAGCTGTGGTCATATACCCTAATCTGCAGGGTTAGCTATTGCGCGTTTCTGTGCATTGTGCAAGCTGATATTAAAATGGTGGAGCTTGAGTACGAACCACGTGATAAATTTTAAAAGATGGAGGTGTCTATTTTTACTTTAAACAATTTATCTGTCTAATTTCTTAGGCATATAATTTAGAAGACCAGAATTATCTATGTTATGAGAATAAAAAAAATGTAATTCTTTTTTATTTTGTCTTGCATTTTATTTGCCCAAAGAAATATTAATTTTTTTGTTCATCTCGATTTTTTGTATAGAAAATGGCCCGTGTGTTGCAACTGTTAAAACCAATATAAGAAAATATTGGGATCATCATACACTACATTTTTATGGTTTTCTTTTTCACATATACAAACATGTATATCACGCTACTCTATCATAAGTGGACTCCGTATCATGTGGAAAAATTGTATTCTATTCGGACTTCATATCACATTGGAGCATCGCACGGAAAACTTATATTATAAGTATATTGTGTCATATCTACGTTAGTGAAAAGGGATCCCAAAATTCCACTAGGATGAGCCACGTCATCGAATAAATATGAACAGTTGGATGCACGATATGAATGAAGAGAACCGTTGAATAAAAAAAAAGAAAAAAATAAGTTAAAAAAAGAAGCAAATAGTGTCATGAGATTTTCTAGACCCTTCAAGCACATCCCATAAAATGTGAGGTAACAAAGGTATAAGAATGAAAAAATATCTTCAAAATTATCCTTATAAAATAATCATAGTATTCAATAGTAATTATACTGTATTAAAAATAACAACTATCTGTGAAAATATGAATAGCTGCATAACTTAATACTATTGATTACTTCACTACAACTTAAAATTAAAAAAAACATGTGACATAGATGACATAATAAATTTTTCAAAGTTGATTTAAATCATATGATTATAAGATTTACGATAAAAAACCGTATAGATACTTCTCAACTAGTGATGACAGAATTGCAATGCGTAAGAAATGTGGCTATTTACATTATTACTAAAATTGACGTATTTAGAGATTGTAGGAGATAATGGTCGAGGTAATATATGATAAATTATTTATTGTTACGATGATATTCTTAATGGCAAATCAAGATATATAAATCCATTAATGTTATAGCTACACTTCTTTAAAAAAATAGGTTAAAAACATATTTATTATTAATTGTTATTAAACATTTATGTCCATTAACATAAAGAATATATAAATATATTTAATAGATGCAGAGGTCATATTCGTGTGAACACAACTTAAGATGCTAGTGTTTGTGATTGTAACTTTATAGAAAAAAATCCTACCATACAGTCAAGCAGATGTGAAATTGAGCGTATTAATTTATTATAATCCCAATATCAAATATTCAGAGAAATAATTCATGTACAACACGTCGACGCCTAAGTTGAACCTACGCAACTACACGTGCATGCGTCCATCCAGATGCATTCAGAGAAGACCCGTGGCCGCAGCAGCGTCTTGGCATCATCATAATTAAACAAATGCATACATCGATCGATCGATCGCTAGTGCCATCTCGCCGCAATTAACCAACCAACCGGCACTTAAACCATAAAGTTGCGCGAGAAGCTGAATTGGATGGGGATAAACATGGAATGATATGATCCGGGCGGTAGCCGTAGTAGAGCGGTTTCCGGCCGTGGACTGGCCTGGCCGTGCACTCAAAGCAACAAAAGCAAAGGAGGCTATCTGCTAGCTGCACCCAAAACCTGCCTGCTGCTGCCAGCACCAACGAAAGGCGGCAGCAGCTAATGCCAATATGCCATTGCCAGCTATGGTGCTCGTACTATCATTCTGTCCCAACCGCCGGCCAAGCTACCTCATATATCCACTGGTTGTATTGTTGTGCTGTGCTGTGCTGTGTTAGTCAGCGAAAAATGCAGAATGCATCAGAAAAGTGAACAGAGAAGAGAGAGGAAATTTATATCCTGATATGCATGTATCAACTTTACCCAGCATATGCAGTACATACAATTAATTGTTGGGTTTTGGAATGAGTTTATGCATGCATATATAGGCATATGAGGAGCATATGGGTTTTTGTTCTAGCTATAGGTTACGTTTCGGATTTTGTACTTGTGTACTTATAAAAATATTGGAAAAATGTATTTATGTAAGTCTTTTTTATATTAGCACTATATAAAAAATGGGGAGATTAATTAACTCTTAATGAGTAAATTTTAAAAAACTACAGATACATTGATCAAACTATCACAAAACTACAAATTTAAGAATATGTTTCACAAAACTACAGAGTATCAAATTTATCATGGAACTACAGATTTAAGGTATTATATCACAAAACTACGTATTTAACAACTATTTTATCACAAAACTACAAATTTAAAAACTATTTTGTCACAAAACTACAAATTTTATAACTTTAAATAAATAATAGTACTATGATCTAAACTCTAGAATATGTAGTTTTTTGATAAATTCATCACTAAATCTGTAGTTTTGTGATATGGTGCATTAAAGCTGTAGTTCCGTGAAAAGTTTGACGCTAAATCTATAGTTTTGTGATACACATTCTTAAATCTGTAGTTTTGTGATAATTTGATCCAAGTATCTGTAGTTTCGTAAAATTTACTCTTAATTTAAGTTATTGATTTTCCGTCCGATAAGATCGTAAATTTGATTGATTCCTTAAATTTGTTTAACATGGTGTCATATAGACCTTTTTCTAAGGATTTGGGATCCTTAAGCTAACCCAACTTGGCTTGCAAGCTTGGGAATTAATGCTTTGTTCGTCATGCTTAATCGTAGGAAAAAAATAGTTATAAGTAATTATTAACCTTGATATAGAGTAGTGGATTTGAATTCATCTTCATTATTAACAACAAAACAATACCATCACAGATCTCCCCTCTTGTTTACAATACCTAAGGGCAATGTGCAATCACCATCATGAAGAAAGACAAAAAACTAAAATGACTATTTTGTCTAGTTTTTTCATGGTTGTTGAAGAGGTATTGTGGATGTCTCACTTGGTGTTATTAATTTGCTTTACCTCTGAGTATCTTAATAATAAGAGAAATTCTAGGATTTGCCATTAACAAACACTAGCTCTATAAATATGTCATTATCCAAGTGTTTTTCTTCTCTTTTTGCAATTGCCGCCATTTAACCATTAGTTCACCTCCATTAGCCCCTACGAAATGAACATTTTGCCCCTAAAAATGTAACATGTACTAAGCAAGCCAAGATTCAATTAGTTTCTTTTTCATTAACATTGAAATAATAGTAGATTTAGTTGATTTATTTGCGGCCGGCTGTAAAATAGCAGTAGATGTTGCAAATCTCTTTAATGTATTTTTTGGCATTATGAAAAAAAAAACCAAAGAGCTAGTGGAGGTTAACGGATGGCAATAGCAAAAGGGGAAGAAAACCATTTAGGGTGTGTTTGGGAGGAGTTGGAAACTTCTCCCCACATAGAAAACACGGTAACTCATTATCATATAATTAATTAAATATTAGCTGAAAAATCTTAAAAAGTGAATTAATATAATTTTTTTTAAAGTAACTTTCCTATATTTTCTTTTAAAAAAAATCACACTATTTAATTAATAGTATTTAACAGCTTAGGAAGCGTGTGCGTGCAAAACGAGGCTAAACGGTGTGTTTATTGTAAAAAGGTTCGATAAGAAAGCTAAAATCATACTAATCTCTTTTTCAAGTTTTTTTTCTAATATTAATTAATCATACAGACATACACTAATAAACCACCCTGTTTTAGATGTGCGGGGGAGAAGTTCCCAGCCTTCTCTTCCAAATGCACCCTTAGGCATATTATAGGCCTTGTGTTTATCGATGATAAATCATGTATCATATAATTGAACGCTTGCCAATAATAAATCATAGAATTTCTCTAACAATATTAAGGTGCCAAAATAGAAAAAAAACTATAAATTCGCGTGTTAACTTGTGGTACCTTTTCGAGTATTAAAAACCCTCATTCATCCTGTAAGAGGGTTCGAGGGTTGCCTTGTGTTTTTTTTTCTTAATAAAAGAAGCTTCATTCATCATAAACCATATGTATTTTAACCCAATTCTCTTGGGGGTTATCACTACATGGTTTAGTTAAGACGCAACCCCCAACCCCTATTGCTTATAAACTAATGATCACTTGTGCCATATCAAAACATTATTACGCGCGTCATTTGAAGGCCGATTTGGTGGGGACCATCTAGCGGTGTGAAGCAAGCATGCACAAAACCCCCCATCATCATCATCATCTGCTTCATCCGCCTGCACTGCCGCTCATTCCAAAGATTACACATGAGCTCTGATTGATAGTGAGCTGAGACACCACAGCACTAATCACTAACCATCCCAACAGAATGCCCACTAAGTCCAATCTGTCTTCCTTTTATCCCCAGCATCCTTTGAGTAATTGTCAAGGCCGTTTCAGACAACCGGGTACAAGGTAGCAGTAGCAGTTAGTACATATATATATTGCCCATTCCTCTTGCCCACCCATCCATCAGGACCATCACTACCACCACTTCACCACCAAACCCAACCAAGAACAAGTTTTCAGGGGCAAATTAAGAAGAGCTTGGTGACGATATGAGCACGGCGAGGTTCATCAAGTGCGTCACCGTCGGCGACGGCGCCGTCGGCAAGACATGCATGCTCATCTCCTACACCAGCAACACTTTCCCCACGGTGAGCTGAGCTCCATGGTGTTCTTGTTCTTGGCTTCTGCTGAATCTTGAGGCTTTTCTCATGGTTGGTTCTTTCTCCTTTTGGGGTTAGGATTATGTGCCGACGGTTTTCGACAACTTCAGCGCCAACGTGGTCGTCGACGGCAACACGGTGAACCTTGGGCTCTGGGATACTGCTGGTATGTGTTGGATTTCAGGAAAAAAAAGTTGCACATTTGTCTGCATGCTTCAATGTTCTGTTTTTTATTTTTGTTTAGTAGTATAACTGATTTAGAAGAGAAGTCCAATTTTATAGATTTTATCATGGCATGCTATTTTTTTTGGATTTTCATTGCCCCTGCACTTGATGCTAGTTTTCTTATAATGACACATAGTACATGTCCATAGTATATTCAGATTTTCCCTCTGCGAATACTACTTTAGATTCTGTAGTTATCAGCATATCATACAAAAAACCAGGTGATCTAATTAATGAAAAAACTGTATCAGTTTCAATTGTTTTTTTTTTAAATAGCAAAACAAATATACAACCTTCTCCGCGTTGAGGAAATCGAATCTGTATTTTCTGACAACTAATTGTTGGCCTTTACAGGACAAGAGGATTACAATAGGCTGAGGCCTCTCAGCTACAGAGGAGCTGATGTCTTTTTACTAGCATTTTCCCTCATCAGCAAAGCGAGCTATGAGAATATTCACAAGAAGGTTACACATTACTCAACTACAAAACTACTCTTTGATTTTCTCCCTAATACTTTCTCCTAATTTTGACAAATCATTTCCCCCCATGTTGAGCAGTGGATACCAGAGCTGAGGCATTATGCTCCTAATGTGCCAATCGTATTAGTTGGAACCAAGCTTGGTAAGATGACCTGGCATTTTTTACAAACAGAAGAAAAAACATTGGCAACAAAATCTGATAAGAACCGAATACTTGCAGACTTGCGTGAGGACAAGCAGTTCTTCCTGGACCACCCTGGTCTAGCACCTATTTCCACTGCACAGGTCAGTTCAACTTAAAAACATAACAATTCGCAACGCAAAAAGCGATACGTGATCGAAATCCACAAGTATCATATACTCCACCCAATATGAGAGGCATATGCTCAAGTTTTTCTACGTTTCAGTTCATGTGCACAACACAATAATCACCTTTTGCAATCTTGCACATTAAGATCAGAATTTGGTATGACAGCAACTGAGCCCTTCCTGCTGCTGTACATGAACAGGGGGAGGAGCTGAAGAGGATGATAGGTGCTGCGGCGTACATCGAATGCAGCTCCAAGACGCAGCAGGTATGAAGAACATGGACGAGTTGGTATAACAGTACTGTACCATTCATGGATTTAGTTTGTTAGTTCAGAGATATTGCTACCTGACATTGTTCATCCACACAGCATTATATATAGTATGGACCAAGCTGGTGCTACTTTTAGGTAGTCCAAAGCCGGTTAGATAATATAGAAGCAACGGGAACCAAGTACATACTTATTATATATCTGAAACTGTCCTCATAATTTGCTATAGTATAAGTGTAAGCCTTGTATGTGTTTTGGGGTGAGTGGGGGACTTTTCAGCTCCCCTTCTCGTGTTTTTTTTTCTCTCTTAATGAAATGATACGCAGATCTCATGCGTATTCAAGAAAAAAAAATTGTATCGGTTTTAATGGTGATTGATATCTTGATGAACAGAATGTGAAATCAGTATTCGACTCGGCGATCAAAGTTGTACTTTGCCCGCCAAAGCCGAAGAAGAAGAACACCAGGAAGCAGAGGAGTTGCTGGATCCTATGAGTGATAAACAGCAAGATTGGCGTATTCCGCAGGAAACCTGTATTATTTTTACAGTGTGTGTTGTGTTATGTTTGTGTGTTGCAGATTAGATGCAGTTTGGGTTACAAAATTTGCTGGGTCTGAAATATTCAGCTCAGTGCTTCTTGAGTACTACCTCTGATGATTCTTACAAAAGTGTTCTTTGGTTGGTTCAGATATATATATTATGATTATTATTTACTCTGTAGCTACTACCTTTTACTTTTTTGTCTTTCCAGTACAATTAGTTGTTGAGAGTCCTTGATACCTTTCTTAATCAAATTGGACTTTTGCAATCTGTATTGCTTATCTCATCAATGTCGTATACAAAGGCATCCTTTTGCATCTTTTTTGGATTATGAAATGCTTTTTTTTCTTGAAGACCCATAGGCCATGGGGTATTCTATTGTGATGGTTGCAAGCTATGGGAGCTAATGGCCTAACTAATATGTTGATTCCTATCAGAAAAGCAACTAATTAAGATAGCTAAAAGATAAGCAATTGTTGCAACCAAATTATGTGAGTGCCAACCAAACATGCAACAGCAGCCTTTTAGGTGGGTTTAGGTTTTAGTTGGTGCAAGGTTATCAATAGTGCAGAAGGCCATAGCAGCCTGTATTTATCTGGACTTCGATTTCTCCTGGCAATTCTTAATCATATTGGTATTTGACACCCTATTATTTTTCTGAATATTTTGCGAAAGCAGCTACCTATGTAGGGAAGGCATAATTTACCTTGTAATACACTGATATGAACATGATCGAGTTACAAACCAGAAGTACTTTGGCAGCAATCTGCTTCCCATGTTGACAAGTTCATGGCATACAGTTATCTTATGATGCAAGTTGACAACTCGCGAGAATTGCCAGACAACACACACATAGCACAATTCTGCTTTGCACTTGCCAGATGTTCCCTTCTTGGAACTGCTCTCCAACGCTTTCGAGTTAAAATAGCCTCAAATACGACAAGTTGTTCGAAACCTCAAGCTATGGGCCCATTCCCATGGTGATTGGCAGGAAAAACACAAGCTACAAGATGTGTGCTTCAAAAATCTGCACATCCATGTGCAATATCACAAGCAATGCAGGACAGTAATCGATTAACTTGGTTGTGATGCTGCCATTGAAGTCTTGCCTTTGTCCTAGTTAATCAAACTCATGAGGCCTTTGTTTGGTCTGGAGCACTGCTGCTTCTGAAAAGAACTCCAGAGAGACCTCGAGAATTAGCTTGGCGCTCTATCTCGCCAAGTTTCTGCTTCACAATCTCTATCTCCCGAGCCAACTGATCCTCCTTTTGCCTCAACGCCTACAAAATAAATGTTTTTTTTTCAAACTCATAAAATGATAGAAATAATCGACAAAAAATAGCAACACAAGTCAATAACATCACCAACAGCAAGACTGAAGATATACGGTCACATAATGGCAAAGCACATTAACAACTGGAGTCAAAGGCCAGATGATTTATGAATACATGCTACTGCAATGCATTGTCTAACCAGAGCCACTCATGCACATTGAAGATAATGTTGACATCAAATGTTCTCTGGTCAACACCTATTGATAGTGAGTTTTTGTTGCAGAGACTTCAGTTTCATATGGTACATATAGGAATTTCATTTCCACTTGGGATTTATGGGATACCATAGCAATACATTACTCTTGGACTTGATTCTGTTTCATTCATCTCTGGTTCTCACAAAGCCACAACCTAAGGCATATTTCCAGTGTTTCAGACTGCTATCTGTTCTCTTGTCCTTTTCAGAGAGAAGAGTACTACCTCTTCTGCATACACCAAACAGATCTGTCTGGTAACTGTCACTTGCTTGGACAGGAAAAAGACAATCCACAAAGCTGGTCCATATTGAATGATATAAAGCATAACAATGAAAATAAACAGCAAAGAACAAGTCAACGACGTGATATTGCTGAAACATCAAATTCTAGACTATTTATGCAAAATGTAAATTGGTCAAAAAATATGCAATGCAACAAAAACTATAAATGGCCAATTTTAGAGGAAAAAAAAGAACAGTTGGCCTGCTGCCATATTATTGCTCACAGATCTGATACCTATTGAATGTTCAGAAAAGGCCATGATAACACTACAATAGCCCTGGTTTAGAATTAAGGTGTAGTGCCTGATACTAACTGCAGGCAAAGTCTGCAGCACTCTGTATGGTTGCAGCTTGCTATGGCCTTTTACAACCCATTAGGGCTACTGTACTGCAAGGTGTGTAGCATAGCTTTGGTATAAATGTATTTTTGGTTTTCATAGCAACAGTTTGGTGAAAATGCAGTACAGGTTTACATATGATTATTTGTTGCAAATAGTTGCTATCCTCCATAATTGAATCATTACTACAAGACTTCAGACAAGACAGTCTACTTACATTTGACTGATTTATAACTTCAGACAATAAAGGTAAGCACTTTGTGTCTCTTATATCGCTGTCATCCAATATTAGAGCACTTCGCTGCTACAGTCCTTCTACACATTATTTAGAATGTAATAACTCCTATACTGGAGTGTACTCCAAGAATACAACTGTATCCAAGATATAGCCCAAGCATTGCCTTGTTTGTTATCACTTGCAAGACTTCACTGAAATATTAGAGCTATCCTGACGATTCTCAGCAATGTAAACAATAGCTATTCATCCCCAATTATTCCCAGGCCATTGAACTGATTAATTTTTTTAGTAACATTTGGTAGAATAATCCTAAGATTGAATAGCTGCATCAGACAATTTGTTGTTTGGATATACCAATGAGCTATGTGATTTTTTTGGGGGGGCTCCTATTTATAGATTATAGATACATAAATGAATATAGTCACTGAAATGAAATATGTGGACGTTAACAAAAAGAAAACCATTACCCTGCGAAGACACAACTCATCTCAAGTTACAAAACTATTGACATTCCAGAGCTTATACCTCAACTTCGTTTCTACGAGCCTCCTCTTTTCGGGCCTCGGACCTTGCGCTTCTTTGCACCTCAAAGATTACAGCAGCCCCAGCAACCTACTACACAAGGGTTGCTGAAGTTTAGTGAATGGCAAAAATAAAACAACAGCAAACTATATAGAAGGCATGCAGGAAGGCAACATTTGTCATAATTTGACATGGGATCATAGGTGATGGTTAACCAATAAAATCAGCAAACTTTACAAAAAAGACATGCATTGAAGTAACATGTGGCTAGATTTTCTAAATGTTCTTATGCATTCTTTATTTCTACAAAAAAACAGACTTGTCTCGAGGATATTTCCAGTTTTTTATAAATGGAAATCACATAAAAGTACGGTTTGCCTGACACTAAGATAATCATCACCTGAAAATTAAAGAATTTAAGCAAAAATCGAAAGCCGAAATTACAACAGCAAAGAATAAGAAGAAAACATGATTGTGAATACCGAGAAAACAAAGAGCTCCCCAATAAGATCAGCAGCAGCTTGAACAGCTTTCTCCTCGTTCAAAGGCCGAATCTCAACCTTAGTTGAATGGCCATATATTCTTCTCTGGATATTTGTGGAGACCCGATGATTTGTCTACAAAACCAGTTCGTGGCCAAAATGTTATTTGAAGTAGTTAAAGAAAGAAGTAACAGCTGAGGAGGATGCAGGGACGACAAATTGTGAGCAGAATTGTTCGATCACTAGCATATTTACTAAAAGTGCACTTTTCAGATTCAGACTTCTCATTAATAAGTACAGTTACCCTTCTCATTTGGAAGCAATGCATAATTTTCTGATAACGAATCCCATTCTGCGTATCTCAATCAACAAAGTCAAGAAATGGCCGCAAGAAAATGTACAAGCTAGCCAAAATAACCTGATATTGCGGAGCAGCTCAAAAACAAGAACAAGTATATCACAAAGAATTCAGCAATCAAAGAACATTCACCCTAGCCAAAGATTTGACACACAACGGCGAAACCCTTCATTCCTCGGAGGGTAGTAAAACTGCGCTACGCGATCACAAGGCCGGGGAAACCCCAAACCCTCGGCGGCCAAAATCCTCTCCACATCCTATTCTGCATTTCTACCGCTAAATTTTCACAAGGCCTGACGATTTCCAAGCGCACAACGAAGAACAAAATGGGGGGAAGGGGAGACGAGAGGAGGGGGAGATGGGCGGGGGCCCGCGTCACCTGGGCGAGGTTGATGATGAGCTGGCGGAACTGAGGGTGGCGGCTGGCCTCCGTCTTGAGGCGGATGGCGATCGGCTTCGACATCGTCTTCAGCGCCAGCGTCCCCAGCTTCGCCAGCGGAAGGATCATCCTCCCCCTCCCTCCCTCCCCCGGCGGCGTCGACGAGGAGCTCGTGTACCGGACGGATGGATCCTCCTTTTCCCGCTCCGCTTCCCGTCACGCGGCCGCGGAGGAGCTTGGGAGATGAGGCGGCGGCGGCGGCGGAGGTCTTGGCGAGTTCACGGCGAGACGATGCCGGCGTTGAGATCGGAAGTAGGGGATATTAGGAAATTTCCAGCACGAGCTTCACTACTGGAGAAGGCCTTTTTTTTTCATTTTTTCTTTTTTCACTTCACACCCTCCGGTTTGACAGAATTCTCATCAACTCCAAAACCATCTGACTACTTCCCGATAAACCTAAAACTGTACATGAAAACATGACCCATCATTATTCACCAGCAATAATTACTCTCTCCAGTTTCACAATTTTTGATGTTTTGGATAATCGCACGGTCTTCGAAAGATATACTACATTTGATTATGTTTTTCTATTATAATATATGTAATCAATTAATTATTTTTGTTTTTATTATAGTACTTTATAATATAACATTGATTTACTGTTTTAAACTAAATAGTTTTAAAGTTATAAATAGTCAAAGTTATACAACTTTGACCTCAACATTTTTAAAAACATCAAGAATTATGGAACCGGAGGGATGCTTATTAAAACTCATGTAGTAACATCATTTACAATTTGTTGAATTCTACAAATTTTCATTCAACATATTCAATTACCACCCTCACATCATTTCTATAATATTTCAACATATCTATAATTTTATAATACTTAATATATATTCATCCATATAATACGCATCAAAGCACGGGGTACCATTTAGTTTGTTTCTTGATTAGTACTAATAAACCTTGACTTTTTAGTATTTTTTTCCTATCTTTTATTTCTTGCAATGCAAATATTGGCAAACGTCCTAATAGTTCATCTATAACGTCCTATAGAGTCTATTAAATTTATTTATCTCTAAATATGGATTTTTCAAACCACCTTTAATTGTTGTTAATAACTAATAACCTTTGTACTCCTAGTTTGATTGTTGACAAAAAAATATATGTATTTAAAGATTACTTAATAATTCCTGCTGCAAAGCATGGAGAATCTAATAGTATCTTATATACACAATATGCCTTGAGCCACATCATCTTTTTTGAGTTTAATCTCTACCATCCTTCAGGTCGTGAGTTACATTTCTTTCATTTATTGATGGTCATTACTCCTATGTGTTGAAAGTGTATAACATTGATTGAGCGAGAGGGATTGAGCGAGAGAGAATTGCACAAAAGAATGTAGGGAATGAATGAGCGGGATCCTTTATTGATCAATGCGGTACAAAATATAGATGGGTAAGGGGTGGCAACCGGAGACGCGATGGTTGGGAACCATTGCGTCCGTTGCCAAGGAGCGCCTAGGGAAGACGCGGTTGCCTTCGGTTGCGATCCATCCTTTTATATGGATGAGATCACCTGTTGTTTCATAACACTCCCCCTTGAGCTTTGATCATTGTTCTTTCATTGTTCCAGATATCTATAAAGATAATCTTAGAAATAATTATAGTTAAATACATCACGTAAAACTCCTCGAAAACCCAGTGGGAAAAATAAGGAGAGAACCGTGATATATATTATTGACTATTTTAGATCTATGAGTAAAGCTCATAGTATGATCCAAAATAGTATAATGTCTACAGTTATCATTTAGTAAAAACCCCAGTGAGGAAAAGCCAAATGATAAGACATATAAGCTTATGTTGATATTACCTCGTTAAAAACTTTGGATGAGAAAACCTAAAGGGTAAAACTCATACAAAGGAAAAAGAGTATAATATGACGAAAATAGGTTATTTGCCAAAGGAAGATACTCCCCCTGAATCCTGCAAATTTTTAAGTCGTCTCATACCAATTCCTTCGACACATTTAAAGAATGTGGAGTATGGCAGAGATTTTAGGAATAAATCAGCAAGATTATCACATGACTTAGTTTGCAAGATGTTTATCTCTCCATGTTGCTAAAGCTCATGAGGATAAAATAATTTAGGAGCAATATGCTTAGTGATGTTGCTCTTAATATAACCAGTTTCCATATGAACAATACAAGCGGCATTATCTTCATAGATAATGGTAGGTGATTCCAATGAACCAATACCACAAGATGTTAATATGTGGTTAACCATTCTGTGAAGCCATACACATTCACGTGATGCCTCATATAATGCAATTATTTCAGAATGATTTGTGGAAGTGGCTACTAGAGTCTGTTTAGAAGACTTCCATGAAATAGCAGTTCCACCTTGTAAAAATACGAATCCTGTTTGTGATCTGGCGTTGTGGGGATCAGATAGATAGCCAGCATCAGTATACCCAATTAAAGTCGAATCCTGGTTCTTTTTAAAGAAAAGTCCAAGATCTCTTGTGCCATTAAGATATCGAAAGACATTCTTAACTCCAGTCCAATGGCATTTGGTAGGAGCAGCGCTGTATCTTGCTAATAGATTTACCGAGAAAGCAATATCTGGTCTCGTACTATTTGCAAGATACATGAGTGCGCCAATAGCACTAAGATATGGAAAATCAGGTCCAAGCACATCCTCACTATCTTCCTTTGGTCTAAATGGATCTTTCTCCACGTCTAGAGATCGAACCACCATAGGGGTTTTGGAAGGATATGACTTGTCCATATTAAATTTCTCCAAAATTTTCTGGGTATATGCACTTTGGTGCACAAGGATTCCAGAAGGTAAATGCTCAAGTTGTAGACCTAAGCAAAATTTGGTTTGACCCAAATCCTTCATCTCAAATTCTGTCTTTAAATGATGACGTGCTTCATTAATATCTTGTGTATTGCCAATGATATTGAGATCATCGACATATACCGAGATAATACAAAATCCTGTGGGGGACTTTTTGATGAAGACGCATGGGCAATCATCATTTTTAGTGTATCCCTTTAGTGAAAGGAATTCACTTAATTGGTTGTACCACATCATGCCCGATTGTTTTAAGCCATAAAATGACTTCTGCAACTTAACACAATACATGTTACGATTTACCTTCTGATTCGGGATGTCGATTCCGTCAGGAACCTTCATGTAAATATTAGAATCAAGTGACCCATAAAGATATGCTGTCACTACGTCCATCAACTGCATAAATAGACGATTTTGTATTGCCAATGATATTAAATATCTGAAAGTTATACCACTCATAACTGGAGAGTAAGTTTCGTTGAAATCAACGCCAGGTTTTTGCGTAAAACCTTGTGCTACAAGCCTTGCTTTATATCTCACCACCTCGTTGTTTTCATTCCGTTTCTGGACGAAAACCCATTTGTATCCCACAGGAAAGATACTACGAGGAGTAGGCATTACAGCCGAGAATACATCTCTTTTGTAAAGCGAGGCGAATTATGCGTCAATTGCGTCCTTCCATTTGTTCCAGTCAGAGCGCTTTTGGAACTCTTTTATAGACCTAGGTTCTGGATCAACTTGGAGGCAATCAGCAATTTGTTCAGAAAAATTAATGTCGACAATTGTAGCTCTTCTATCAAAAGATTCTCTAGTTTCAGAGTAGTTGATGGCAATTTCATCAACCCCTATAGAATCATCGTGATCTCCCGAAACAATGTGTCTATGGTCTTCCGAATTCCTAGTCTCAGCATTGTGCACCACCGAGCTAGGTTGCAGACTATCACGATCTGCTTGATATATAGTATCAATTTGGTGTGTACCAACTAAAGGTTGGTTTGCATTTACCATCTTTCTTTGCTTATTAGCAATTGTTTCTTGCTAATTGGCCATACTTCTTCCTCTCTTTTTAGTGAGTGGAAGTTGAGTGGTTTTATTTGGTACCTCCACTCTTTCTGGCGCATTCTGAGCAGGAATGAAAGATTTAGTCACACCTTTATAATTGGTAAATACATCTGGTAGATTATTTGCAAGTCTTTGCAAATGTATAATTTTCTGAACTTGAAGATCAGTTTCAGTAGTACGTGGGTCTGAGGCTAGAATACCCTAGGCATCCCAATCAATTTCCTGGCATTCTTTCTGGTACTTGAAGTCTCCCCCTATTGCCAGGAAATGTTCATCATCAAAGATAGAGTCAGCAAACCGGGCAGTAAATAGATCACATGTTAAGGGTTCTAAATACTTTATGATTGATGGAGATTTGAATCCCACATAGATCCCCACTTTTCTGTGTGGGCCTATAGCGGTACGCTGCGGTGGTGAGATCGGTATGTATACAACACAACCAAACTTACGCAAATGGGAAATACTTAGAGGATTTCCACGTACTAACTGCATTGGGGAAGTTTCATGATATGCAGTTGGTCGTAGTTGGACAAGGTCAACAACGTGCAGAACTGCATGACCCCAACACGACGAAGGTAATTTGCAATTCATTAATAATGGTCGAGCAATAAGCTTAATTCTTTTGATCAACGATTCAGCCAAACCATTTTGTGTGTGGACATATGGAACAGAGTGCTGAACCTGAATTCCCAATGTCATACAATAATCATCGAAAGCTTGAGATGTAAATTCGGCAGCATTGTCCATACGGATTGATTGAATCCTATGTTCAGGGTAATTTGCCTTCAGCCTTATAATTTGAGACATTAATTTGGCAAAGGCATGGTTTCGTGTCTGAAAGGACCTTAATGTCGCCTAGAGGGGGGTGAATAGGCGTTCCTAAAAATTATCACAACTTTATAGCATATTAGAATGATGAGAACTTTCGGTTCAAATAGGAACTTCCGATATGAGATTGGAAGTTCCGGTCTCAACCGAAAAGTTCGGCGGATAATGGAATAAAGCACTAGCTATGAACTTGTAGCTCAAATAAACAAAATGAATATGAATCAAAAGGTGACAAATAAGGTATCTAAACAAGATATAAGGTCACCAACTAAATCAATTAAGCATGCAAGTAGATCGGGTAAAAACAAGCTCAAGCACAATATGAGAGAATGCACAAATGGGCAAACCAAGAGAGGAGACGCGTGATTTGTTTGCCGAAGTTCGGATTCACGGATCCTACGTCTCCATTGAGGAGCCACAAGGGCCGGGCCTATTTCAATCCTTTCCTCACGAGGTTGCACAAATGCACTCCTCGGTTTCACTCTTGATTTCTTCCCTTGCGGAGGCGAAATCGAAGCCTTCACAAACTTTCCGTGGCACACCACAACCTTGGGTGCTCACCGGCGACACCTAGCCGTCTAGGAGACCTTAGTCCCCA